TGGATGTTCTCGATCGACAATGACGTCGTCGTAGTCGTCGACGTAGTTTATTTTGATCTTGTCTAAATCTACGAAAGGGTCGGTTGAAGAGATGCCGGCCGTGTAGTATGTCACTGTTCGATCGTTGACGACATTGGCGTATAAACTTCGGTTCTTGAATTGAGCCAGTCCCTGGATAAAGATGCTTTCCGAGTCCGCGAGGACGCCTAGAAGTGGTCGACTAGTGTCTCTGAATTTATCCACACCAAAGAGTTGTCTTCCGCTCATGGACAGTGTACGCGCGCCCAGGACATTCCACAGATGGCTGTGGTAGCCTTTGAGGGGTGTTCGAACGCCGAGATGGGGAGTCGCAAAGGTGGTGAAGTTCTATTGGGGTTAGCATGTGGTGCCAGAATTGTGCCGAGGAACGTACTATCGGCCGTATCTTATCAAAGATGCCCCTCCGATAGAGCAATCCGATAGCATAACGGGAGATGAGACCTCCTAATGAATATCCTATGATGCTGATCTTGGTGATGTTGTGTCCGCTCTCAGCTAACTCCTCAAGCTTCACCTCGATTTCTTGGGCAACGCGCTCGCCGCCCGTGTCTATGCCGTCGTAGGTGAAGCTGCCCGAGTTACGCGCCGCAACAAGGACATGGAGTTTCTCGCTAGGAAACCTCTCACTCAGAGTGGTGCTAACGTATTTCAAATGGTCGGGGTTGCCCCAAAGGCTGGTCGTGGTCAGGACAATTGCTTTTTCTTGCATGTGAATTTAGGCAGCGATTGTGTTGTGGTGACGTACCCATGGACGAGGACACAGAGGTGGTCAGGCTTCTCAGACATGGTGGCGGACGTAGTGGTGGTGGTAAAGGTAGACCTGGTGAGTGTGGTGAGTATGGTGAAGGTTGTTGGCAGGCAGATGGTAGGGAGAAGTCTGGTGTTAGTATAAGTTATGTACGGCACCCCCACGTCCAGATATCGTCCGTGAAAGGCGCAGTCGTGTTCGATGCGCGCACCGCCTCAAGCCACAAACGGAGTTAAGGGATATGGGTGGGCACAGGTGCGCGACAAACCGTCCGAGTCGCAACACCAATGTCGACAGTACTTAGGGGATTGGACACGAGATGGCTGAGGGAGAAGTCGAGTTTGAGATTATTCAGATCACGGCGTTATGACGGAATCCGAGACGGATCGCCGCTCCAAAGTCCGCCTACGCGTGTGTGGACCCTGCATGCATCGCGCTCGGACCACCATACGCTTGCAACAACGCGTTCCTGGACGGAGTCAACTCAACTCGTCTCTTACCTTCACCGTGTGATTGGCTTCGGCGTTATTCCCAAGTGGATCTATCTATTCACTCGCAGCAACTGCATGCCTTGATCGTCCTGCTGCAAATACCAATGGACCCGTCGACACAGTGAACGTTGCTCTGCTAAGCCGAAAGGCTGTCTCTGGCCCTGCGCAGCCTGCATTCACTTGTCAACTGTGCACTGCGCCTTAGCGTGCTTCGTCTTTTGCTTACTTTGTATTGCCTCCGTGGATGGGCTGGGTAGAGTACCAGTACTGCTTCTCCTGCTTCAGAACCAATCATCCTCTGAGCGCATCTCACTCACGCCCTTGACCGAAGCTCAGCCAACCCAGCTCGGTACGTTGAGCACAATCTGGGCCTGCTTATGTGCATACTTACAGTGAAGCCATCAATTCACAACCCCAATAACAATGTGGCCTTCGGTCCCAGCGTACAGAAGCTTCGCCAAGATATCATGTCCCTCAGGTGCCTCCTGCGCGCTTCCTCACTGCATTTTCGGTCATGATGCTGCTAGTTCACCTGACAGGTCGCCCTCACCCTCCCCGGTGACAACCGTATATGGCCCCCAGACGGTTGCAAAACAATCACAGCTTAGTGAAAATGCACCTGGAGCCGCTCCTGCACTGAGGCAACCAGGCTCTAGCGCTTCGGCCAATCCATCCATAGCCAAGGACAAGGTGCCGTCGACAAACAAAGAACCCGAACCTGCGCAAACTCTGGTGTCGAGATTACCTGCCAAGCCGACTGTGCCCACTGAACTGCCGCCATCTGCCACCCGGACAATATCACCGCCTCCATCCAAGGCTACACCAGCAAAGCCAACCGTCAATCCCGACGCGCCAGTCGCTTTGATGCCGCGCAGACTCAAAAAAGAGCCATCGACATATGCTAGGCGAATTACGCTCCTAAAGGCACTGCACACGCATATGAAACCGCAAAACGATAGACTTCTCAAAGCTACCAAACTGGAAATAAAGGCGCTGCACCTTAGTCCAAACCAGTTAAACAAATTGGCTGTGGATGAGGAAGAAAAGATCGCCATAGCCAATCCGTCTGTTTACGAGAACATATTGAAGCAGCGACTAGTAAAGCTCAAGGGCATGACACCAGAGGAGTGGGTCAAGGAGAGGCGAGCAGCCATAGCTTTGGAGAAAGGTGAGCCGCCCAAGAAAGCGCCACTTAAGAGGGTCGATACAGGCTTGAACCCAGAAGAAGAAATTGCCTTTCTCCGCACACTCAAGTGCGAGCAGAAGGGACTGGATGCATATGGTTATGTCACGAAGTTACCGAGCGACGCCGAAGTGAACGAAACCCGTTTGGCGCTCGAATCAGCCGCTGGATGGGAAGAATGCGACCGTTGCAAAACTCGCTTTCAAGTGTTTCCGGACCGCAACGAAGAAGGCGCACTCACGACTGGCGGGGAATGCAAGTATCACTGGGGCAGAACCATCTACCCCAGGAAATCGAACGATGCCACAGAAGTGAAGAGACTGTCTTGTTGTAGCGCGGAGGTAGGATCGCCAGGCTGTAGTACGCACGAAACCCATGTCTTCAACGTCAAAGACACAAAACGGCTGTCTCTAGTCATGCCATTCGTTCAGACACCAGCAAACGACAAGGTTCCCAAGACTTCGGCTGTATGCTTTGATTGCGAAATGGGCTACACTACCAATGGCTTAGAGATGCTTCGTCTTACTGTCATATCATGGCCACAACACAAGCCACTCATCGACGTCCTCGTCCGCCCACTGGGCCAGATACTGGATTTCAATACACGTTTCTCTGGCATCACGCGAGATCAGTTTGTTAATGCCAAGGAATATGATCCAGAAAACCCTCAGCCAGTACGCAAAGACCTCCGTATCGTCGACTCGCCTTATGCAGCACGAGATCTCTTCCTCTCACACGTCTCTCCAGACACTCCTATTGTAGGACATGCACTAGAAAATGATCTCAACACCATTCGCCTCATACACCCTTTCATCATTGACACGGTGCTCCTCTATCCAACACGCCAGGGCCTACCCTTCCGCTTCGGCTTGCGCAAACTAGCCAAGGAGTATCTCGGCGAAGAGATCCAGCAAGCGGGCGCCGCTGGCCACGACAGCTACGAGGATGCGCGCACAACGGGAGAGTTAGTGAGACACAAGATCAAAGTAGAGTGGAAGCTGAAAAAGGTCGACGGCTTCGAAATCAGAGACGGTGGCGTGCATCCACCAATGCCACCTGGGGCTCCGCCAGCGCAGGCTCCCAACATGCGCCCGACGATACCAACAGCAGACATGACGGGGTCGATGGGCGCGAAGCCGGCCACTAAGAGGAAGCTGGAAGACGAAGGAGAGGAAGGTAAAGGCGAAGAACCGCCGTTGAAGAAAGTGGAGGCTTAGAGAGTCGTTCGGCTGATGCTAGTGAATTGTTGGTGTTGAGATTCCTATTGGTAATCACCATATGAAGCTAATTATGTGATAGTCTCTGAAGTCTTAGCATGGCGTTTAGGGAGTATCTGAATCTCTTGAAAAAAAAACGCGTATCCCGCCTTCAACAAGGCGTTGGGGGATACGCTCTGGAGTTTGGGCTTCCTCCTCCATATTGGGAGCGAAAGGAGTGCTAGACCATATCCCTAGCACTCCGCTGCCACTCTGTAGTAAGTATACCCACTCTCAATCTATGTTTTACCTTGCTTCTCCAAATCTTGACTTGTCTTCCTCTTGACCCTATCCTTCTCTATCAAACAATACTGTGCCTTGCGATCCCATCCTACTTCACCCAACCTTACTCACATCCAGCCCCTGCACACCCTCTAGTCCTTCTTTGGTAGGTTCATACACAACATCTGTATCCAGCTCCTTCATCACCGCAACTACCACCCCCGCGCTTTCTACAAACCCGTTCACAGCAACCCGCAACATGCGGTTCGTAGTCGCCGCATAGTCGACTTGCAGTACGGATTGCTCGGTTGAGCCCGCGGGTGTGGTGAGTGAGAAGGCGCGGCGTACGAGCGGCGAGAGTTCGGCGTCGACGGAGAGGGAGAGCTGGGCGGTTTGGGCGAGGTGCGCGGTTGGGAAGGGGATGTGGATGGTTCTGTGGGAGGAAAGGAGAGTTAGCTATTGGGAGAAGGGGAGGGGATGGAAGGGGAGGAATATACAAGGTACAAGGGAAATCTTCTTGTTTCCAGTCTTTGGTAGATGACATAGTTGGCGGGGGTTGTGCGATAGTTTTTTTTTGGCAATTGGAGGGGCAGAACGGGATTGTGTGCCAGAAAACGTCTAAGTCTTGCTAAAAGAAAAAACGCGTCAAGTCTGCCTGGTCGAGGGTACGGAGAATCGGGATATGAGTACGTGAAAGAAGGCGCGGAAAACGTCCGCCCATGTTTTGCGCCGTGAGGCTCAAACGTCCGCATTGTGGGGGAGGGGCACAAGTGGTTCTGTCGACCGTAAAAGGCTTAGCGCCGATTAGCCGCAGGAGCATTGGTACCTGATTCGAAAGCGTCATACATCATCATTGTCCAACGCGTACCATAGTAATGCGTCATGGCTCATTCGCTAGTGATTCTCCATACCTCTCTTCTCTTTTCCTCATTTCTCCATGCTTTCCTTGACTTAACCTCATTTCCAGTTTTTCAAGAATTCAATCAATTGCATATATAATTCCAACCACCAACATCTCTTGCATTTGATCAACTACAAAGTATCGTCCAGCATTCTCCAAGATGCTCCGCACCACCATCACCAGGTCTTCCACACGCCTTCGTTTATGCACTCCCTCCACCCGCCCTTTCTCCCTCTCGACTTCCCACCGCGCAGCCCAGTACCCCAACGACCTAAGCACAAATTCGAAAACCAAAACAGATCTCTACGACGGCGATACACCGCATGCAGTCCTGGATAAAGTCCGGGAAGGCGATACACATAATGTGCATGAGAGCAACGCGAAGGCTGGCTTGGAGTGAGTTTCCAACCCGGCTACCGTAGTGAAAGGGGGCGATGAGGGCAGAATAAGTGACTAATACAATACAGCAGCGCGCACAAGGAGGGTAAAGGTGGTCATGCGACCGAGCGGAAGGATTCAGCAGGAGGGAAGGAGACGGCTAAGAAGGAGTTTCCCGAGGCGCCGGATCCAGCGATTGGGATGCAAGATGAGAGGGGCGGACGGGGTGGTTGAATTGGGTTGGGTATGAAACGTGGGGTATAGGGTGTTAAGATGTGGCAGAGAAATAAAAGATTTGATTGCATTGTTTGACGAGGAGTACATTGATTATACTACGTAAAAATGTATCTATACTAATATTGTGTCTCTGTAGCCATCGAAGCAACATCTATCTCACTAAACATGCTCTTAGAGCGATGCTGTTTTTCCAGATTGATACTCACCACACATCATCAGGATCCAATAAATCCTCCTATTTAATATTAAACCCCGCCCCAAGGAAACAGTTTCCTCGCATCCTCCAAACCTCTCCCTTCCCCCCTTGAACACAATAAACCGCCATCAACAACCTCGCCGTACCTACCACCTCCAAACTCCCCCCTCTCAACACCCCTTTTCCTCCCCTCCTGCCCCAAAATCTCAACACAGCACTCCTCCACCTCCCCCATCTTCCCAATCTTAAACTTGATACGCGCATACCCGTACATGTCATGCATCCAATCCCGCATGTCGCTCCAGCATCGTCATAAGTAAACTGGAGAATTAAGGTCTCGGCATCTTTCCCCTGCCCAGTCTCAAAGTACGCATTCCCGAGATATTGACTGCGCCATCGCGGTGCGAGGTTGAACATGGCATTGATGGTCTGTGAGGATCTTCGGGGCCAAGGTGCTGTGGTAATCCGTTGACTGCCCGTTCGCCAGTCACCTTGGACATGTGTCTTTCTCCAGCTAGCCAGAGGGTGAGCGGGGATGTCGTTTAGAGCGAGGCATTTATGGTACGTGGATTGGTTTTCCATGTTGGCCAAGTTATCCAGTCTCGAATATGCGGGCGGCTCCAGCGTAATGCATCTAGGATGCGCCTCTGGACATCAATAGCAGTTCTGGTTCTCAAAGAGATTCCATAGAGTGAGTCTGTAGCCTACGCTGGGCATGGATCGTGTCGATATGGTATTTTTCCCAGTAGTCCTTGCCGGATCCGAATCACACGCTCTTGCAAGCGACGTGTAGACTTTTATTTGCCCCTTGCTCGGCATACACCCAAGTAAGCCTCTCTCGATTTGCGATACACTTTCCAGCGCCTCGGTTTTGCCCAGCTGCTCTGAGTTGTGTAATTGCAGACATGAATGAATGTGCGGCAGAAGTAGTACTCGGAATTGCATGCCAGAAGCTTCCAGACTTGGCGAGATGCAGTGAGCTAAGATTGCCATTGTACATTCCAGCCACCGTACTTGATCCTCACTGCTGAGTCTGTCTCTTTCCCAGTTGTGAACTACTGAGTGCATAGTAAATAGACCCTTGTCATACTCGATGATTGAATGATCACACAAGACGCTGATTGCTTGCCGAAATCGCGCTTGTACCCCTTCGTTCCAAACTGGCTGTAAGATGTCTGGATGGTGTGTGGCTGTACCTTTGTTAGATTAGAAGTCCTCCCATGACCTCTGGAAGATGCGCTCGGGTATGGTCTCGTGATGCATAAAGGCGAAGGTATGCATCAAGTCCATGGCATCCCTGTGTTCAAAAGATTCTCGGATTGCAATCTTTTGGGAAGGTATTTCCCATATCGCAATAACGTTGCTTTCATCCACGCTTTTCGAGCGTGAGTGGCTCAGTGTAGACTTGCGTCGCAATAAGTAATACTTCAAGTGCCTTTCCAAGGTATAGATGTTGCGACAGATCGTTGCTCCAGCATGTACAATTGCGAGGGGGCAGGTAACCCAACTTTATCGCAATTTCTTTGGCGAAATCCTGTTGCTTAGAACCCACAGGCTGGAACGGTTGCTTTTGATTCGAAGAAGCGGCTTTCAGAAGCCGAAACGCAATCTACACTGTACTATTTAAAAAGAAAGACCTCCCATGGCTTTTTTTTCTTTCTCTCTCTCTACTCCCGCCCATGGCCGATTGTGATGCCAGAATACAGCGTTAGTATCGAAGTTGCGGTATACTCGAAACCCCCTCCCCCCTCGATCGTGAATTATCTTTGCTAATGTACATTGTAAAAATAATTCTACTTTGCTTCCAAGATATCAGGTTGTAAATGTATAGATTGGGCATGCCTTGCGAAGAAAAAAATCTTACTCACAGTAAAAAAAAAAAGGGGGGGGGGGGGAAATTCGCAGATGCGATATACTCTGATATTAGATAAACCTTTATATTATACCAAAGTATCAAAGTCAGATAATTTACAGAGTACCATTCTCCCCCTTCAACAACACCAATCTCCCCTCCCCTCCCTCCCCTACGTCTCTAATACTCATACCTAAACACCCTTGTCACCCCAACCCCGCCACAAGCATACCCATCACCCCCACACTTGACCCTACACACCGCATCTCCCGCCTCCACCAACTCCTCGCTAAGCACATCACCACAGTAACAACTAGTACCATCCGACAGCCCAAAGAACCTCGAGCCACGGCAGATATGCTTGCACTTGTACGCCGTCATTTCCGTGTCTTTGATGTAAAAGTCTGTGAGTGCGCGCTTGGTGGTTGTGAAGTAGCATTTTTGGATGCTAAAGGTTGGGGATTTGAAGGGTTTGAGTTGGGCTTCAAGGTCACGTTGGGTGGCGAGGTGGGCCTCTTCTTTGGATTCGAGGGAGGCGGTTAAGTGTTGTTCGCGCGTGGAGGCGCTATCGAGATGGGATTTTAGTTGTTGCTCGCGCGAGAGGGCGTGCTCGAGGTCAGTCTCGAGGGACTGTTCGTGTGCGGATGCAGTGGCAAAGTCTATCTGTAGTTGCTGCTCACGCAAGGCTGCGGCGTCGAGATCCGTCTTCAGCTGCGTTTCGCGTGCGGCTGCATTTTCAAAGTCTGTTTTCAGTTGCTGCTCACGCGCTGTGGCGAGACCGGCGTTGATGGCTAACTGCACGAGATACTGCTCCTTCTCTGCTTCGCACGTACTGCACGACGGACTTTCTGGTGCATCTGTAGATAGTGTCTGATTGAAGCGGATGCCGTTGGTACAGGTGCAATCACAGCTTGGCTTTGCAGTTGAATCAACGCATTCCATAGAAGGTCTGGCACCTACCGTTACATTAGCCCTTTTGTTGCATCATCAGAGAATGCAGAGTCGCACACCATTGTCACATGTGTACGAACTACCTACGGATCCGGGCGTGTACAAACTGTCCATGGAATCGGGCGTGTGCGACCTGCTCATAGATTCTGGCGTGCCGAGGTTGCGTGGCATGGAGCCTACATCTTTTGGGGCCATGTAGCTATGCGCACTTGCGTATAGCGTGGAAAGAAAGAGGATCTGAGAGGTTTTCATCGTGTGCGGTTGTTTAGTGCTGAAAAGGATTGCTGCAAGGATGGATGGGTAGTGAGTAGATGTTTTATAGAGCAGTGATGTCATATGCCATCTTTGTATTACTTTTCTGCATCATTGGCTGTCAGTAAAGCCTTTTTGTATCTCAACATGTTTCTGTTTGGGTCGAGACATTGCCTAGACCCTGGGTAGTATTAGTCGCAGCAGCGCATCATGTGCGTGGAAACCGTTTGCCAGTGGCAGGTTCGCCTTGCGGTGCAGCATTGAGGGATCTCCATTGCACTAGCCGTTAGTGTGTTACGCACTGTTGAGTATTTGGTGCAGTGATATGCGTATTTTCGACAAAGGTTCTAGCTCCGGTGCGGTTAAACGGATGGTAAGTAGACAGCGAGTCGGGTTCGGAAATGCCAATTCCATGGTTCGTACGCAAGCTAGTAGCTAGTTCGAAAATTTGACATGGCATTCGTGGCTTCGCGCTTGTGGAAGGCTAGCACGAGTTGAAGTTATCTAGAATGCTTTTTCGAGACTTGGACCTCATCCCATACCTGTATCGGACACTGGTGCTAGTCTCTTGTTTGCTTTCAGAATACTCGAAGATGGTTGATTTGCAAACGAAATGGGTTGATGTGAGTGAATATATGAGTGCCGATTTCTGTGAGAAGACGCAGTTCTCAAATATAGAGAAGTCACTACCTGGATGGTTGGTCTTGCCGAAATAGGTTTAGTGTAAAGCGGGCTTCACTCAGATCTACTTGAGCTAATAATCACCACTCTTGCTTTTTATCGATTTGTACCGTTATTATGATAGAAGTCGATTCTTAGATGTTTGATGTTGGGGATGTTGCTTGAAGTTTTCTTCTAGCTGCCTAAGGGCGCTTCTGTATAGCGCTTAGTATTATTATAGAGGGAACGTGTATCGTTACCATTACCAATGTTAAATGCGGTGAAATTTGCAGCAGCAGCAGAAGAACACCATTAGCTAACTGCAAATTTGGAAGCTGGTATACCAAGTCATCTACTGCGATGTAGTGAGGAACACATGAAATACTACCCTAAACACCACGGCTAGTACATAAAAGTGGTGCAACGAATGATTTTAAACAGCATTACCTTCTCTTGTTTCGAATCTACCATACATTCTCTAACCACAGTGCTACACAAACCACCCGAAAGCGACTCTTCATTCAAGCCTCCTCTAACTTTTCTCAAACCTCCTTGGCATGCATACTCAAAGCCCAACCGCCACCACACATGTCACTGCTACCCACACACTTTGTATTGCAATTGCTCTCTGCAATCTGTTCCGTGGGCGCCTCGAAGCTATTTCCACAAAAGCAATACCTGGCAAACTCGACTCCGTAGTACTTGTACTTTGTGCAGGTAGCAGCACACTTTTCCCTCGTCATGTCAGCTGCTTCGGACATGAGGCTGAGTACGCGCCTTTCCGAGTCGCGGTAGCAGCCCTCGTATCTCCAGGTGTTACTTTTGCATGTATCTACTTGTCTTTGCAGATCCCGCTCCGTTTCCAAGTGCTGTTGTTCCTTCATCATGTACGATATTTTGAATTGGTCAAAGTCGCTTGCAGATTCTAGTTTCTTTGTGCGGGGTGTCGAGTAATCATTGAGTAATGACAATGATGCTTGGATATTCAATAGGCGGGCGAGTTCGTTGTGTTCGGCTGCAATTTGCTGTTCTTTCATCGTGTAGGATAGTTTGAGTCTGTTAAAGTCGTTTGCAAGTTGCTGTTCGCGAAGCAAACATTCTCCTCTCTCAGTCTGACAATCATCCGAAATACGACTTCTAGGCGAACCAAGGGAAAGAGGCTGGTTAAATTGAATGCCATTGGAGCATGTGCAATCGCAGTTTGGCTCTGAAGACTGAGGACCACATTCTAGAGAGGGCGTTGCACTTACATTTTGTACATGAGCCTCGGTGGACAACTCAATCGCATCCCGGGTGTTCTTACCGTTATTGCAAGTGTACGATTGACCAGAGACATTGAGTGAGCCTAGTACATGCTGAGCGGCATCCCCGACTGGTGAAGGACCAAAGGCATGGATTCCTACGCAAAGCGAGGGGACGAACAGGGCCCAGGAAGCTCTCATGTTGTATCAATGGCTGGTGTTGGAGGCAGTAAGAAGAATGATAATAAATTGTCTGAGTGGCTTCCATGACTGCGATTTTATGTTAATTTCTCACGTGCCATAGTTCTTGGGCTCAGCACTTGATAGTCAAGGCTTACCATACTTTTGGGTCAACGTATTGCCTTGTCACCGCTATTAGTAGTGTAGCGACGGCTGTTGAGTTACCCAGAATGCTTTTTTCTTCTTCGAGCCTTGGCCTCGTTTCATATCCACCTTCACCAGTGGGCAGTGTTTTCTTGTTCAGGCTAAGTTTAAGTTGGTTGAAAAGACTAGTAAATAGACACGACTAAGAACAAAAACGGTGTGAGCTCAGGGGAATCAAGGGAGGAAGGCCGAGCTTGAAGACTGAAGAAAGAAGATCAAAGGACACGTGTGCACAGAAAATCAAGATCAAGGTACAGAATACGAATAAGAATGTCTAAGCCAACTCCTTCTTGGATAATGGACCAAGCCAGCCAGATGTGTTTTTTTCCCTTTGCATTCAAGGACAAACGCCGTGAACCCCCCCGCTCATGCTATGCAAACACTACATTTACAAAATCCGGACATGGCTTCATATCCATTACCCATTCAAAAACAAACGTCGTACTCATGCTATGCGGCCCAGTCTTCCCAATCACCCGTCTTGTTGGAGGGACGACCTTGTTGGCTAACGCTCTTTTTTCTTTGAGGGGCAGGATCCAGGAAACCCTCAGGGATATCGTTCCAATTCGATGTTCCTTTTGGGGGTGGTGCTACTACAGGTTTTGTTTGCTGGGCTTTTCTTCGGTCTGCGGCTTGTTCGTCACTGGAAACGTCGTACTCGTCCTCGTCATCCTCTGAGGTGTAGTTGTATGGGTCGAACTTCTTTCGTTCGATTGGCTGGAGCTGGACGTCGTCATCGGCGTACATGCGGCGGTCTCTTCCTAGGATTTGGTCTGCTTTGCTTGGACTTCTCCGACCGTCAATGGGACCTCTTACAACACCGTTCGAAGTGGTGAGGTAGCGTGTTTGTTCGCCATGGCGGACTGCTGACTGCCACTCGGGACGTCTTGCGGGTCGTGCCATGGGCTGGCTACGCTGAGCGGGCATCCATCCCTCGGGACCGCGAGTGGGGCGCCTGAATTCAGCTTCAGTAGGAGAATCAACCCCCCAACCTGCAGCGCGCTCACGCTGCTTTTGCAATCTTTCTTCTTGTTCCCTCTCTCGCTTTATGCGTTCACGGACTGCGAGCCACTTTGGACTAGGCTCCCAAGACCAGCCATCTCCCGTGGTACTAGGTATGGGCACAAGCCATTTCAAGGGCGAAGGACCGAAAACATGGCCAAGATTACGTCGCCAGCCGAGGTCGAATGCGTTGGGGAGCTGCTCGTTGTCGCGTTCGTCGAGGTAGTTGTCGTATCGATCCTGGTTCTGCTGGCGTTCACGATATTCGTACGATTGTTGATAGGAGTGGGAGAAGCCGTTGGCCTGACCGGGAACCGGGGAGCGTGAAGTAGAATGCGAAGGGGTTTCGCCTTCCTCGGGTCTTGTGACACCTGGCAGCGCATTGGCATGGATCTCGCGTAACTGATCGCCTATGCTCAGCCGTCCGTTTGCTTGCGCATCAAGGTAGTTTCTGTCGTTGAGCTGATGCTTCATCGTGGATCGCAGGGGAGACAAGTAGCGCGTCTTTTCCAAACTTTCAATGGTAGTCTGACCCTTTACTGTGAGCCACAAGTGCCAAATGGTGAATCCCGTGATGACGATGCCAATGATGCCGGACAGCACAGCAAGGAGGACGTAGTTGACCGGCATAAAGGACTCTGTGTATTTGCCGTCGCTAAGTATCTCGCTCCAAACCCATGTAGCCGACGTGGCAAAGCATATCCAACAAAAGATGCTCAGGTATACGAGGAAGAGGACAAAGGCCTTGTAGTTGCGGAGACCAACACAGGTAGCGAGCCAGGGACAGTGGTGGTCCATTTTTAGAACGCAGCGCTTACACGTGGAGCAATGGTGGGAGCGATCGGGTTTTTTGGTCTGGCACTTGTTGCAGAAGCGCAGCTCGCCGGTCGAGGCCTTTACGGTAAAGGACGTGTAGTGGATGTCGCCGCCCTCCTGCGAGGGCAAGTGGCTGTAGCCATCTTTGATGTTGAGCGGGGATCCGGGGTCGGTGAAGACGGCGGTGGTGTAGCTCCAGTTGAGCATGAGGTAGAAGAAGAGGCCGAGGGCGGAGGATGTTTTGCCTGGTGGGCATATGTTAGCATGGGTGTGGGAGTGTATTGTTGGCGCGGCGGCGGCGGCGGTGGTGGTGTCGCATAAGCAAGGGCGACGATGACATACCCGTCCAGGCATTCTGCGAGGGGACCAGGCCGATGCCCACCTGCACCCACACAGCCCATGATGTGAGGCCGTAGACAAAGACGAGAGGGAAGTAGGTGACGCCGACGCTGCAGTAGCGCTCGACCTTGCGGGCCCAGCTGCGGCGGCGCATTGTTGTCGAAGGGGAAGACGGGGGCGAGGGCGAAGCCAGCGTGGCCATTACGATTGGGGTAGCGAGTGGGCTGGCATGTGGTGCGCGTGTGGCAACAGTGTGCGGGGGGGCGTGCAGTGGACGAGTGCGTAACGTATGGTTCCCCTGTGGCTCTGTCGAGATGGGGAAAAAAGGGTCTCGGGCAGGGTGAGATGCGGAGGACAAGAAGCCGGGAAGGGTGGACGCCTAGTAGTTTCAGGGCGCAGCGGCGCACACCATGTCACAGACTACCAAGCCGGGCGGCAGCGGTGGCAGCAGCAGCAGCAGCCTGCAACCGGACAAGACATGGAGGACCGCGTCGTCGCACTGCAGTGAGTGTGTGTGTGTGTGTGTGTGTGTGTGTGTGTGTGTGTGTATGTGTGGTGTATGTTAGGGTGTGCTTGTGTAAACATGGACGTGTGTTTGTGTCAGTATGTGCTGTACTTAGTATGCGTGTGCGCATGTGGGTGGATTTGGCCCTCGCGCTATCTCGGGCATTGAACGCCATCCATTCATCGTCGTCGTCTTGGTCGTCGCGGCCTCGAATGCACGGGCCCCTGGCATCCCGTCTGCGATCGGCCTGTATGGAACTGCGACTGCAACTGCAACTGCATCTGCATCTGCATCTGCGCTTGGCTGCGCCGTTTGGGCGACGATGCGGGACGGGCAAGGCTTCAGAAAGGTATGCGAGCAGGGAAACAAAGCCGCCGACTGGCTCGGGATGCCGAGAGGGAACATGTTGCCAACCCCCAGCCGAGCATGTACCTACCTGCTTACACTACATGGCCCCAAGTAGGTATATATACATAGCACACCGGACATGATTCATCCACACACACACACGCGCGCACAAGCACAAGCATCCATGGCGGCCGCTGGCCCAAATGACGACAATCCCAGCTGAGGCCGTGGTAATCTAAAGTAGCCTGTTACAGCCGTTACACGACGCCATGTCTGTGCTAGCTCCCGTTGGATGCGCTGCGACATTTAGACATGGCCGCCGCCCACACACACACGCCCATCTGGGTCCTGCCTCTGTCGCTGCCATCCCATCCTTCCCTCTCCAATGCCGACTTCACACTCGTTTTTGTTCTTGTGACCCCAGCATCGCCCCTGTGTTTCCTCACCCCCGCGGACATGTGCTATAATCCCACACGTGCGCCCACTCCACAAGGCCCAACTCCTTAGTCCTAGCCATGCTTGCCTCGAGGAAGCGCCCAGCACCGCTGCTGATCTTCATTCTCCTTGTCGTCGTCGGCCTCTGGTGCCACAACAGAGGCTCCGACAGCGCCTACGCACAATGGCTATCGTCGGTTGAGTCCCGCTCCGCCAAAGTCCCAGCAAACAGAACCCTGGGCTTTGGCACCATCCTCGTCGTATCCAAAGATGGCTCCGCCCGTCGACGGCCGCTAATTCAAGCCGCCAACGTCACCGAAATCGACCTCACCATCCCCCAACAGCCAGAGTGGACAGAAGGCGACGTCCAGCGCTTCATCAACGGCCACTCCAACACCCAAAAGGGCTCCATCCTAGCCTGGATGGGCCATCACAATGCCCTGCGCTGGTATGCAATGGCCCCCAATTTCCTCCTCCTCCTTTTCTTTGTCGTCACCACCTACTGACTCGCTCCTCCAGGTTCTTGGATTCTGGCGTTGAGACGGCGCTGATCCTTGAAGACGACGTCGACTGGGACATTCGTCTGCGCAGCGTCCAGATACCTCTGGCGGCAAGTGCAACCCGCCAGCTCCTTCCCCCATTACGCTCACGCCACCCCAACATCAACAAAAACCCAAACCGCACCCAGTACTGGGGTGATCAGGATGGTTGGGACCTCCTCTATCTCGGCCACTGCGGCGACTACTTTGATGTCGTCGAGGAAGACGGCCCAAAGACAGATCGCCAGTCGTACAACCTGAGCTCCATAGCCCACAAGCTGTACCATGACCCCACCATGCCCTCATGGCTCGACTTGCATCCCTTTACCCAGGCCCTCTTCCGCCTGCTGGGCATGCCCGAGCGCACTCGCGTCATGCACCGCTCCAAACTACCTCTCTGCTCCTTTGGATATGCCGTTACCCGCCAAGCTGCCGAACGACTCCTCAACGATCTTGCGCCCCCCAAACTCAAGAAGAACGGAGCCCGCGCTTTTGACGTTGCTCTCTTGCACGCTTGCAACAAGGGCGAGAACACCCCTTCACCGACGCCCGAGTGGCAGCACCCTAAGAATTCACCCGATCCCAAACTACGAAGCAAATACCCGAGCCCCGGATTGCGTTGCTGGACACTAAATTCGGAGCTGTTCCACCACATGCCTGGTATGAGCGAGATCGACATGTTGAGCGCACTATCTGGCGAGAAGCCTGGCCTGCCGCCGGTAGATCGTGCAGCCCAAGCCCAGGTCATTGCGCGAAACGAAACTACCAACATTGACTGCGGTTTCTGGAGCGGTGCCTTTGCCTTTGACAACAACGACACGGAGCGCCTCCACTTTTTGCAGGAAAAGGTCGGGCGGCAAGGCATCTGTCTCAAAGACGAGAAACAGCACGGAGACACGTTTTATCCGCCACAAACCGCCCTGGACTAACGGGACGAAGAACGTCATGTACATATATAGTATATTTCATTACGAGCACACACACACACACACACACACATCTTAGCGAAATACCCAGACTCCATGTAGCACATGGACAAATGATTACGGGCGTTCACGGGAGTTGCAAGGCATGTTGGCCACGAAACAATTGGACATACGGCGTATACGGGGGCATGTTTCTTTCTCTTCTCGATTCCGGGCGAAACGCCATTCAGTACGCATGCGAGTGCCAGATTTGCCCACCGCAACCTTTTCGGACTTTTTTCTTCTTCTTCTTGGACTCTTCTTTTCAACCACTTTCACGACGGCGGGACCCTTGATACCAACAGTGCAAACCCTTGAGATTTTCACAAATTCCAACCCCTTTTGGCAAAATAGAGAAAACCCTGTTTGTTGTTCATAGAAAACACGCCTAGCATATCGTTGAATAACAAAGAACAAATGAAAAAAATTCAACATTACCACCAAAGTACCACCTCTGCAAGATTTCGCATGCCCATGACTCTCATTCTCCGCTCATGCTCATATCTAACTTTTTTTGTCTCTATCACAATCTAGGAAATGACATTCGCGCACGGCTCTCTTTCCCCCAAATGAGTTAACCCCCACCCCGGTCGAAAAGTCCCCAACCAAAGAAAGAAAGGAAAAAAGGGTTTCAGCACCATGACTAGGAGTACGCGGACTTTTGTAGATGATGCATTCCCCCATTCCTCACCCCGAAAACCCAAATATCCCAGAAGAAGAAGAGAAAAAAACGGTTCATTGCACGCCCGCCATACATCCAAGATAACGAAATGAGCGACGATCTATCACTATCAACCGCATGATGCTGTCAGCAACGCACAGGCACAATCAATAAAAACAAACGTCGCGTGTGCAAGCGAGCGGATGAGTGAGCGAGCGAGTAGATAAGCAACGGCGAGCTTTATCGGCCCGATGAGGGAATTGCTTCCCCAGGGGGGGTTGGGGGTTGGGGGTTAGGGGTTAGGGTTTAAGTAAGTAGGTGTACCAAGTAGTTAGGTGAGAGTCAAGGAGGGGAGCAAAGGTAAGTACTTGATTTCAAGTCTTTAGGTGAATCGATACTTGGGGTACTCGACTCGTGTAGATGGATAGATGGATGGATGGATAAAATTCTTCACCATTTTTCTCTCTTTCTGTCAAAGGGGACTTACTATGTAAGATTGAATCGGTGTGTAGCGATTGAGAGAATCCCTGATTATCTACATCTTTTCGTGTATGTCTGATTAGGAGGGGGGGGGGGGGTTGTTTGGATCGCTACGGGGGTCTTTGAAAGAGCGACGTACGGGTATAGGTAAGGATGTAATCAAGTAAGCAGTGGGATTCCTTGGCGGTATTGGAAATAGTTCTTTTTATCTTGAATGATGGATTAGTGATTTATATCTTGATTTTTATTTTATTTTATTTTTTTACTTGCAGAGGTGGGTCTGCCGAAGGGGGAAGTGCATGCGGTTTATTTTGTTGAAAGGGGGGAAAAGGTAAGGGGATAGGTTGGACTTGGCATGTATGTAGTCGGAGATCAAATGTTTCTTGGTGCATGATTGGAAGTTTACTTGGAGTTATGCTTAGGTGAGATAAGAATGGGTCGTGTGCTTTGTGGGGGAGGGAACAGGTGTTTGGTATAGGGTTTGGTATAGGGTTTGGTATAGGGTTTGCTAGTGGGTAGGGGCGTTTTGGGTTAGGGGTGGCAGTTTCAGGACGGAGACTTGAGCTGCTAGTGGTTTGTAGGTTCTTCTTGGCCATGCTATATTTTCATGCTACCATATTGGCATATTATTATGCATTTGTTTCGATTTCTTTCACCGGGATATACAGCATGTTGTCGGGTACACCGTGTCATGCTCATAAAAGTTCATATAACTGCATTGTTGTATTCGAGCATCTGCTCCAAAATCAGTCATTGTTACAAGCAACGCCATAACCGTCTCGCAGTAAACGCAGCTTCGTGGACCTCCTCCATAACCCCATCATTTCAGCCTTCACTTTACAACCCAGCTTCCCGTCACTGAATCACATCCTGACAAAACATACGTCCCTCACCTATCCGCTCTCATGTGCGCCTCCATAATCCTATTCCAACCTTGAACTTCCACATGCTGCACTAAATTGTACAGCACCTCGCTCCTCGAATTCCCCACCACAATGTCTGTCAGGAAGTTGATATTCCCGTACATATTCCCCTCGTCGTAGTTCGTGACTACAGCCTTGTGAATTACTCGCCCACCGCCTGTTATTTGGCGCCCGATTTGCACGCTGGCACCAGTTCCGGGTGGCCAGTTGGATTGTACAAGTAAGTTGATGAATTGCAAGATGTTGAGGTCCATAGTGGAGACGATTGCAAGGGGTCGGTGAGACATTTTGAGCGATTGAATGTAGACTTGAGGATTTACTTGAAGAGGGAATTGATGGGAAGTTATTCTATATAGTGTTTGGTGGAGCGACTGATCATCAGAAAGACTTCGTGTGCCGGGCATGTGATCATGTAGAGCATGTTTGTTGGCTTGACAAGCAAGGTAAGTGAGCAAGTGATTGTATACGATTGACACAAACATATTGGGGTGGTAGGCGATGTAATGGTCTTGAAAAGTCACGTTGTTGACAACCTCGCAGATACGCATTCTAAGATACGTAGGTGAAGATGAAGATGGCACAGCCAGAGCAAATGTTTTAATTGTAGCTATGTGACGTAAATCATGGGATAACTTGGACCCATTCTCACAACTTAGCTTTCTGATCCAACAACGGTATACCAACAGCCGCCTCCAACTCCATCACTGCCTCCCTTGTCTTGCCTAGATTGACCTTGATAGTCCTCAGGCCTGTCTTCTTCGCAAACTTCAGATTGATTCCAATATCATCTAAGAAAAGTGTATCACCCGCCGTCACTTCTCCCATACCCTTCTTTTTTGCGATCTTATCCATCTCTCTTACTGCCAATTTGTATGCTTCGGGATCTGGTTTCCGTACACCAACGGCAGCCGAGCCGAGAAAGACGTCGAAAAATGAGGTGATGTCTACAGAATCATTTGCGTAAGGATTCGGCGGCGGCGCATGTACGATCTCCTTTGTGAAGAGGGTGCCTTCATCGTCCAGGATGCCGGTGGGAAATATGACGTTATTGCTGAAAGCGCCAAGTACGAATTTCCCGCTCTCGCCCAGCTTGCGCAGTGCAGGGTACATGTATGGATCCGGTGTGCGACTGATCTTCATCATGCGCCAGAACAGCCTCTTGGCATCAATGTTTGGGACTGCTGCTGTTCCCCCAGCAACAGCCTGACCACCCCCTATGCTTTGTTGTTTCGCCAGCTTCTGCAGATATTCGGACCATATTTCGGGACGCGAGAGTTGCTGCTTGAACGATGCAAACCAGTCGTCATTGAGTTCGACCTCGCCCCGTTCAATCAGCTGCCATGCACCTGTGTCGTGGGGTCCTTTTTGGATCGCATAGTTGATATAGCCGACCGGGATCTTGTTCTCGATTTCATAGTCAAGGATTGCTTGGAAGGGGCTGACAACCTATGTCAAGTAAAGAAGTTAGCATACGCGTTTGTTGTTGATGAGAATGATTGCTGGCTACGCACCACTACACCGCCAATGTCGAAAAGGATAGCCTTTGGGGGTTTGGAAGGGACCGACATGTTTGTTGAGGGAGCAACGAAATGTCAAGCCTAGTTATGACGACTTCATGGCGGTCTGAAAAGCGCCATGGCTGTTGTTAGAGGTTGTGGAGATCGAGGTACCTCGGCAACGGATAAGCTTCCCTGAATCGCGTTAAGCTTCTTTCCGCTAGCGCCGATTGTGGAGTTCAGCTGCACCTTAACACTACGGAGCCGGCTCCACAGTCTATATGCATATTAGTAACTGTAGATGTACGTGGAGTTATGACGTGATATGCTCCAGTACCTGGAAGTACTCAATACTGGCTACACGGTTCTTGATATTGTGAGCCTCATATCAGTATGAGTAGTCATAAAAGTAGTCATAAAAACACTGAAATGCAAACAAGAATGAGACAAGAGCACCATTTCTTGTCTCAATATTCAAGTGAGCTTTGATCAATTGGAAAGCAAAAAACAAAATCCCAAGACCCATCTGACACATGAGCTACAAGACATTCTTATGAAAACAGCCCTCTCTATCCAGGACACCAACTCCATCAGTTCAATTTATTTCCTCGATAGGCGCAACAACATCTCTGTTCCCTTGTACACATCTTTGGTCCTCCTAAAGATTGCCCAAGTAATTTTGCTTAAAAGTTCCTGGAGACTTTTGGATAAACGTTCATCTGGCTTGTTCTGGAGACATTGCTTATGCCGCTCATACATGTCAACGACCCGTGCAGCGCCCCTATCGTGGTACTGAAGCAACTCTGTTTCAATGAACATTGCGATATATCCTCCAGTAGGCTGCATATTCAATACGTTGAACTTGACAATGTTGCACAAGACAGCATCGATCCAATCAGGGGATTGAAAGGTCCAGATGCTTTGCACATCAACCTCATTGACTGGCTCATTCTGCAAGCGATATTCAATGTTTTCACAAAGTGCTTCGGCTTCTGGAGTGTCGAAACGCGTTAAGCTACTGTAGAGTTCTACGTCATCACTAATGGTTCTATTTATCGAGACTTTGTCGGTCTTGGATGCACGATTCCCCATATCAGGTATCTTAAGTATACTACTCAAACGGATTGTTTCTATAGAGGATTGGTCCCTTTGGGATTCAATTAGGCAAAGACGTTTAGTGTTCAGAGTTGCGTGTCTTGGAGTGTAAGAAGGAAGGATGCCTACTGGGAGAAGTACTTTTATACAAACTGATGAGACCTAACATTGTGAAGAAAAGCGTACAATGTTAGTGGACATATGTCATGTCTTATTAGTAGCCCAATAGATGTATTCTATTTATCCGCTGAAGATGGAAAGTGGGTATTTTCTGAAACGACTTGACACAGACTCAGTACGGCTCTTGTCCGATTGTATATCTTTCACTGCTGCTGTGATTTTCAAACTTCAAATGCAGATTTGGGGGCATATTAAATCAATAATATGAGTACTCATAAGATCCCCAAGACTGCGAGATTTGGTCTTTGAAAGTAAGTTTGTAGCTAGAATTCTGGACCAAATCAGGATCCCCAAGTTAGCTCGTAGGCAAAAACCGTACGGCGAAGGAGTTCATCCTGCTAGCATCAGTAATGTTCCCCGGATTTATAAGATGACCGGACTCACCCCTGGATCTTCCTCAAACATGACCTTATCCATAACCTTCTCAAACATCTTCTCAACGGTGAACCCCGCATTTCTAGCTAGATCAAAGAACGCAATGTCCTTTTCGTATAACCAAGGGCGGTAAGGAGAGAAGAAGACAAAGGCTCGGGAGGTGGGTGCCTTTTTCAGTGTCAACTCCACCGTCTTGATGAGCTTTTCATGTTCCGAGTGGTTGAAAAGAAGATCAGCTAAGATTAGAACATCAAACCCCGAGTCATTATCAAGATGCTTTATCAGATCTTTGGTAGGTGCGCCCCATAGATAGCCCTGCGCGCTTGTCAGTGAAGTCCGTCACACCTAAAAGCGGCTGCGCACCTCAGCCACGATCCTTGGCGGCTTAGAAAGTAGCTCGCAGTGGTCGATATTGTATCGCAAGTTCTCGATCAGATCGGCATCAGGGTAGTCAGTGACTACCGTCTGACCAGCACCTTTGAGCGCACAGACGAGACTGGGAAGTCCCGCTCCGGCACCCAGCTCCAACACAATCTTGTCTTTCACAAGTTCATTTGCGTTTTCTTCCAGATACGTTGAAATTGTCCGCCCCGCATTCCATAGGAAGTGACCCTAATTACTTCAGTAAGTATACTTTGAAAGAGTGGGGCAGCTAGAAAATCTATAGTGTGGACTGGCGGACTGGGGGAAAATCCAGGATAACTGTTTTTGGACACTGGACATGAACAAAAGTTCCATGCTGTGTTTGAAACCATTGCTGCATGAATGGCGTCTTACCCACAATGGATTGTGTCCCACGAGCCGGACAGTGAGATCCTTGCCAGAAAGCAATTTGTGAGACGCAAAAGTGGCCTGTTTTTCTGGTTGGTAGTAATCAGCGGGCTCCTGGAATAGATCCAGACCCTCATCTTCAGCATCTGATGACATGATGAAAAGAACGATGTTACGAAAAGAATGTCTTGGCTCGTGATTGAAATTCGGGTAATCCAGAAAGATGAGCCATATACAAAGTCACGTGACACACTAGCCACCGCAGCCACACTAACCATGCGAGCCACCATCTTGTCTACTTGACTGGGCAGCCTTCCAGAACACCATCATCTGAACTAGCAGACGGCTTATCGTCATGGGGTCAGGGCGGTTCCAAGTACATCGTATAATCTTTTCACCCTTAGCGAATCTCGCCTGCGGTTGCATTCAGTGTCACTCGGACTCTGGGTAAGTTTAGGGCGGCTCGAGTAGCGTGGAGGTGTTGGCGCCACGATGGGTGCGCACGCTGCCGCCCAACTCGAGGGCACCACTTACGCACATGAACATGGTGGTATCGCGGTGCTCAAGTGCAAAGACAGGCCAAAAATGCCCCACGGCACAGCGACTCCATATCCCCACGTCTCAGTTTGATACCCGGCGGCCGCAATATGGTTTCCGTGGTCCCACAAACTTTCGCCGGCAAAGCGATCCTCCCTGTGCCACCTGGTCATTCATCGCCACTTGGTCATTCATCGCCACTTGCACGCGCCCCGTTGCAACCGGCTCTGTTCCCCTTTGTAGTCCACCAAACGGCTTGTTGGCCGGCGTTTTTCTCTCACATGTACCTACCTTCCCTATCTACCAGTGTGAAGCAACTAAGGCCCCTTAGTAAGAAACTTGCTCACGCTAAGACACTAAACCCAATCCATCTTCTGACGACCCTCCCATCCACACACTTCACCACAACCCTTTGAGCGCCAACCAGAGATCTCCCGCGCCTTGACGCCGTGGCTTCAGAACTGTCATCGATGCACCACGCGAGAAACTGACTGCTGTATCTGTTCTATGGTCTGACGGTCAGGTGCTATACGCCACAACCCACACTGTGTCTGAACAGACCAGCCATTCCCGGACAACTTATGCTGGGTCAGTTGCTCGTCAACGTGGGTTCTTACTGCTCTACTTCTATTGCTTTTCCTCGGTACATCTGGCCCCATTGCACTGCTCCGCTCAACCCCGGCGTAGGCCGTGCGTACCGACCCGGCTTTCAACCGCTTCCTGCTCACAATCGCTTCTGCTGCATGAGGCACCACCACAACTCACTTTTAGTGGCCGCTATCCGTCGGTAATTTCCAGGGTTATTGACCCTCCAGCCATCTGGAACTGGACCCTTAACAGATCACACATGCCAGGTCAGATCTGGCATCCAATCTACTTCCTCACATCCGGACGGTCAAGCTGGCCACAGTCGAGCCCGTTGGCTATTGCCCCAGTCGACAAGGGTCCCTTACGCAGGGTTCTTGGTTACATCCCGCGCCACACGCCACTGTACCCCTCTGTAACCCGCTTGCACGTGTGCGTGCGTGGTGGACGTTCGCTCTTCCAACTCACCAGCAACTTTGTTCTTTGATACCGGACCCACGGTGTTACTGGCCGTCACTTGCTGCAGACTGAGCAAATTTCCTTCGGAATCATTACAGCCCCAGTACCATGTGGGCCGAAGTCAACGGAGAACGTAAGAAGGTGGCCTGGTAAGTTTTCATATCTCTGGGAGCTTGTTATCGTCTTTTCCTCCTGAAAACTCTGACTGCATAATCTCGTGCATGCTTGCAGCCTGCTTCGAAGATTCTCTGAATATGCAACATCCCACCTCCCAGGCACGCGGCGTACCCTTTGACGGCACTCCTTCACCGTGAAGAGATACTAACCTAATCTAGTGGCCCGTGCATCCGCGGTCATCGCTCATCGAAATGCGACCACAGAGACCGAGTACTAGTTGAGGTTCGGAAGCCTGGTCGACCTTTGAGTAGCTGCCCGCATCCGACTGGTTCATGTAGCTGCGAGCGTGTTGTTATCAACTACACGATCCCCAAAACTTCACAATGCGCCTGTCCGTCCGAACGAGAGGCGCCCACAGCTACCGTTGTCGGAAACAGTCGAATCTCAAAGGGTAGACGAAAATCTACAGCCGTCACGCCCTTCTATCTAGACAAGGCTATCCGAGCCGGTCTAGACGCCGAAACCGACACCTCTTCGAATACGCAAACCCCTTCCGAGACAAGCGGTAGCAACGCGCCATCACTACCATCAAGTGCAAGTTCAACTCCACGCCTACTACCTGCGCAAAGTGACTCCATTTCGAGCTGTTGTAAGCCGAAGCTGGCTTTGGCACCAGTTCAGACAGGAGGATGTTGTGGCAATAAACCCAATCCAGTTCCAGAGCCACCAGTACAGAAGAAGTCTTGTTGTTCTGGGCCATCCAAGCAAACACCTACAAGTTGTCAGTCGAATAGTTACCAACATCCTGGGCAACCGTTTCAGTTCCCTCCACAACCTCCAGGAATATTGCCGCCGCAGTATCAGATGTTCTCTCCTCAGGCAATGTCGCCGACTGCGGCGAACCCTTTTGGACTCGGTACCCCGATCTATAATCATGCGGCAGCGGCTTATCATCAGAACAGCCCGGTGCCGATGAGTCCGGGGGTGAACACGCCCATGTCACCGCACATGAATACTTCTTCAGTCGGCCAGCATAATCCTGAACACAATTGCCACTGCGGCGAATCATGTAGCTGCTTCGGATGCGCCGCCCATCCGAATAATGCCACTATGATGGAGTATGTTAGGGTCATGGCTCACTTTCAGTACACTGGCGGTTTTGGGGGAATGGTCCCCCCTCTTTATGATATGCCAACATACCCTCATCAACCAGGTTATGGAGCTGAAGCTGGTCACAGAATGAGTTACGACGCAATGTCGCAAGGCATGACAACGCCTACCCCAACACAAATGAGCTTCCAGGCCGGTCTCAGCTTGCCGGCAAAACACAGCCAATCCATGCCGATGCCCGGAAACTGGCAACAGCCACTTAACACAGTACCCAACATGTCACAGGCCCCTTTTATGAGGAACACGAACTATGCTGCTCCTACTGCCATCGCAGAAAACCACCCCCCTTTGAAGACAGAAGAAGGGGCAGGCTCACCGGCTGCTGATAGCCCTAGCGATAGCAAAGATGAAGATACCCCCACACTTTCGCCATCATCATACTTCTGGAATGAGATGACCCTGCCAGGCTGCTCAGACGCCTCTGGCACTTGCCAATGCGGTGACGGGTGCGCATGTGTAGGCTGTCTAACACATGGCGGCCATACTGGAGAGCAGCTTGAGAATATCTCGACCGCGGAACAAAACACTTTTCCCAACTTTACCCCTGATCTTGGCCTCAATATGAACGATCCAACGGATTTCATGAACTTCCCAGTAGGCTCTAGTTCAGGCATGTAACCGGCCCCTCTGGAATATCAGACTCTACTATCCATAGCATTCAAAACACAGAAGTCACCTCCGCCTTCATGGATTTATACGCCTCAAAGGGCTTGCATCCTCCTCGAATAGTCCTTGGGACCGTCATACGTCATTGGCAGTTAAGTCACCAATGACGGGAGTTCATCAAAAAAAAGTCTATTTGGTCTTACATTTAGTCTAAAAGTCCTTACCTACATGTATTCCAAGAACATCCAGACTGCATGACAAAACATGGCATCGGAACTCGACCTACCAATCCCTACTACAATCGTCTCTCGACTCCTTCACACTTGCAATCCTTTGTTTGCTTCCTGTATATGTTTGTACGTCACACTGCTTTGGAGTGGCTGCGGGTTGATTTGTATACCTACAGAGCTTGGGTTTGGAACTGCATTTGTTTGCTTTTTATATCTTCATCACGATACGATACCCTGCGCGTTGGGCGCGAGACGTGGGAGGCCGACATTTTGCCATGTTCTTTTTTCCGAATACATGATTTATATCTTCAATTCAAAGTCTAGACGTGCTCATCTACCTCACTGTCCTACGAAAAGTGATTTCACGTACAATACTTCACATGCAAGTGGAAAGGTAGGAGAAGGCTAACTAATACCATTCACTACAGAGAGGTCATATCGCCAAACCCTACCTTACTAACCACTAGCGATCGAAAGCCATCCATTTTTCTTCGAATCCGAAATGATCCATTGCCAAATAGCTCGTCATTCACTCTCGTGGCTAGCCCGAATAACGTCCTCATAAGAGAAAGGAAATTTCGTACATGAAACTGGTGAATGAAAGAAAGCATGTCTGTGAACCTACCTCAAAAGAGTTTCAAGTCCTCCAAAAGATCCCGTCAAGATAGTTCGTCACAGTCCCTTGCAACTTTCGACATGGTGGAAAGTATGGACCAGAAAGACATGAGCCAGATCGGTGACTGATGTGACAGTAGTAGAAAGGTGGAAAAGATGCTAGAAGAAGATATAAGACCCTAATGAGCATGTGGAGGAGGAAATGGGTGGTTAGAGGGCTGGGTCGGTGCACGAGGCGACATTGGATGTCGCTATCCTTCCGAAAGTACTACGGTAAGGTCTCCGTGCGTGATAGCGGCCTAGCATAAACGATTAGTATCAAGCAGCGAACAACAGGGGGTAGCCTACAGTGCAACCACGATCAGGATCTTCCCAGCACTGGTCACCCTCACACCATTGGTTGGTAGCACTCTTGTATCTGCATGCCGAGACGACGCCATCTCCAACGAACGTGATGTCGTAACCGAGGCGTTCCTGCTTACACAGCTCGTTTTGCTTCAAGCTAGAGAAACCTTGCTGGACAGGACCGTCGTCAAATGAAGTGCCGAAGACTGCGGGTGCCCAGTTGCCTTTACCGCCCATCTCCGTACCCCAAGTGCAGGCTTCGTCCTCAGGTACGCCTTGCTTGTTAACATAGTACTGGGCCGAGGTCCTCTTGCCCTGCCAGAAAAAGTACGTCTGCTGGTCGGGGTTGGCAAGAAAACCGGTCTGACCTGGTCCAACAGTGACGGGAAAGGTCATGGACTCAGTACCTGTTCACGTCAGAGCCAATCATCTCCCGTAGCAAGAATACCGACCTGGATAGTCGGTGCGACAGAACGACACAGTCTGCGATAGATTGTTCTGCACCTTTACACCCATCTTCTTGGAGCCTGGGACGCATAGCATATCGGCAATTTTGCCGTCAGCCATCTCCAAATAACCGTCTTTGTTGCAGTATAGGCCACCCACAGTCTGACCGTGCCTTCCTTGAGTAGACGGGAAGGAAGCCTTGAGGTACGGGTTTGGGCATCCATATGAGCAGTACCTTCCTGGTTTGCAACAAGTACCATCCGAGCATGAGCCCTTGACAACGGTCATAATGTCATCGAAGCCGTCGGATCCCACGTATTGTGGGTTCTGTATCCCGGACCATCCACCCAAGCCTTCGTGATCGATGGGCAATGCGCCATACCCGTGGGGAAACTTGGTGCAAGCGATCTGGCCGTTAGGGAATACTTTGTCGCATTCCGCACAATGCCCATCTTTGTCGACCAAGTCAACCCAAGGGTTCGATGGAGCATCTGGCTGCTGGGTGGCTGGTGGATCTGGAGGAGTGACGCTGCTTGGCGGTGCCTCAATTGTAGGCTCTTCGGGCTCAGACTGGGGATTGTCGACAGGCTCTTCAGGATGATTGTCAACGGGCTCTTCGGGATTATCTTTTTCTGGCTGGACTTCTACAACTTCTTCGACTACCGTACCAGGACCGATATCCGCAGCTTGCCCATCATGGTTAGGGGTTGGGGGCGCAGTAGGCAACGCAACATGGGTATCAGTTGACGACAAGACGTTGCCCGGTCCCCACATCAAAGTGCCATTGGCGATACCTTCGCGAACCTCGTCTTCAGAGATGGCATGATCTTCGAGCCAGTACACGATCTGAGTCTCGGTCGCAGCCGGAGCATAGACGATGTTGCGTTTGACCGCATTCTGAGGATAGGCCCGTTGGTGCAAGTGATGCGGTTTGGCTGACGTGACTGCAGCAAGCGCAGTGGCAGTAAAGACGTACTGAATCTTCATGTTTGAGTCTCGTGATGGTGCAAAATTTTTGTGACAAACGGCTGATTGGCCAAGCGATTGGAGGTTAGTTTTGCAATGGAGTTGGGCAGTGTGGTATAACGAACCTGTTTTGTCTCTTGAAAGAAGTGCTCTAGGTCAGTGCTCAAGCCTCGCGGGATGTAAAGCAATGTTTGCTCGCTTTGGTCTTGCTTGGGTCCGCGTATGAAGCGTCAAAGTATGCTGGTAGTGCTTAATGAGTGGAATGGAGATGGAGCTCCAGGTGTGGGCACAAAAGAATGGCTGTAGCGGAGTGACCGACTGAATTGAGTGTGAATGATGATTCGTGAGCAGGATTTATGAGACGTCTCGAACAGTGAAGTAGAGGACAAACGGGGTTTGTTTGTATGCCTGTGCCAAGACCCACCTTCGCTAGTGGACTACTCTGTTTGCATAGGAGGCAGTAACGAACCAAGCGTCGCACAATAGATGGCTAGTTCTCCTTTGGGCCAATTGGCAGTTGCTTACTTGAAAAGTAGAAAGGAGCGGTGGGCGTAGGAGGCCCTTGCTCACCTCTCAAACAGGTGAAGAGGGAGTGATGGAAACTGTAGAAACAAGCGGGATGTAGAGAAGGATGAGCAAAAGAAATTAACACCCATCTGTATAAACCTTTTCATATGCTTACCCAGACTTATGGTTTTAATGCGTCCGGTACATTTTTGGTCCGTCAGACTGTGCGACTGGCGATTATATAGTTCTTGGCTGTAAAACCATGGTAGTATAGATTCAGGACCAAACAGCAGCCTGTCGCATAGTGAAAGATAGGAAACCCACCAACCCAAACTACCCCATAGGATAAAAGTTAGTTTCCGTGTGCGTTAGATCTTACGTGGTTACTCTGCAACATCGCCCCTGAGCTAGCTCATGTCCAGCCACATGTACGTATATTCCACGAGCATGGATCGTCGAACCAGCAACCGTCATAGTCCAACTATTCTACTTATTCCTTGACGTTACATCAGCAGTAGCTTCTCATCAATATGGTGACTTCAATATTCATCTTGCATATCCGATGTGAATGCAGACATGCCAATGCTCTCTTACTAGCACCATTTGGATAGGTCTTCTTGGTACGAGAACAGTAAAGAGTGGAGTCAGACAGGGCATTCAGCACCAAATTTGAGCGGTCAAATGTAAGGGCCTTTCCCCACCCGCACACGTGTTGCAAAGAACGTGGTATTGCGCGACTGACTGCATGTGCGCTCAGCCCGATCATACCTCTTTCAGTCAGCATGCCAATCGGTTAATTAAGCTGACTAACCCAAGCTGAGCCACGATGAAACTGTGTACCGAATCAAAACTACGTGGCCAAAGGTCCACCAGGTACTGATCAAAGCCAATGTGCCGCAAACCTCGTACTTTCATGTAACCGTGTTATCATGTTTTGCAAAGTCTTGGCATATACCGTGTTAGGTAGTTGCGAGTGATAAGATCCCATGTTGTCGGATACACCATGACACAACTGAACGTGATCACGCTCATGATAACACAATTAAGAAAAGTGGATGAGTGATACTGGGGTGGGCTGAGAGCCGACTTCGCTGACTTTTCTACAATGAACATTGAAGTAACAGGAGGTGTTTGCGACCATGTCCGTTCTCACGCAGTCTTGGTGTAACACAATCAACTTCTTCGAAGTGGTCCATCTATGACCTGTATACTAGGGACAGTAGTAGTGTACGATAAGATCAAGTCCTCGAATACGAATAGTTTTTTGAACTATGTACAGAATATCAAGCCACGTTGGCGATAAATAGCGCCCTTTTCTCTGCCCTCTTTACCCTAATGATACAATGAGCCAGCTGCCCTATCAGAAAGTGCCCATCGCTCGGGCTGATACAAGGCGAGTGCCCTAAACTAGATGAATATAATTTGCTGGAACACTGCGTACAACTCCATCTTTTTCTACATCTGCCCATCCGTCCCCAGCGTCCATATTAATGAGCACGAAACGGTCTCCTTCTGCCATGGAATGCTCCACGTCGGTTTGCGCAGTGTAATCGTATAGTGCTTCGACGTATTTGAGCTTCTTTGCGCCACGTTTTGGCGCTACAGCTGGGCCCTTCTTCTTAACAGGAGCGGCCGAATTCAAATTTGATGTCGACGCAGAAGATGCAGAGTATGTCGAGTCTGGGCGCGCTGACGAGAATGTCGAGGCTGTAGTGGGCGGAGTTGCTGCTATTATCTCCACATATGCTGCAGGTACAAGGCCTTCCTTGAAGCCAGCGCGAACCTTGATCCATCCAGATCCGTCTGGTAGTAAATTATCAGTAACTTGAATGTAAGGGAGAATCACAATAGACATACCATCAGGTTCTAATATAGTAACATCAGTGCCCTCAGACACGGTCACCTCGCCAGCGCCGTTTTCTTGGTAAGCATACAGCATTCTGCCCTTTGGCTCAGCAGATTTTGATGTGGGAGTCGGGATGTCGTCGTCAGCCTTGATGTACTGAGCAGGTGGAGGTGCGACTATCCGGTTCCTCCTAGGACCTGGTGCTGGCGCTGGTGCTTTCTTTTCCGGAGGTGGGGGGGTTTCTTCGACGGTTGGCGACATGGCTCCTCCGGCTATCGATCGCTGTGCCGTTGCTGAGTAGCCAGAGCTCAGTGTGTTCATCGAATTCACTGTATCGCTTCTTCCTAGACGAGGCATCTCTGCGCCCGAGCCCGTTGCGGTACCATTCGTTGCGGTTACAGTGTGTGCAGCCTTCTGTCGTTCATCCTTCAGTTTCTTCTTCGCTTCTTTGGTCTGCTCTCCAGGGCAGTCTGCAGGGACCTTCATCTCGCACTTGCTATGGCATGTGTAACCACAGTCTTTACAATCGAAGCCTTTTGCAGATAGACCCCATATCCGATCTCCGCAGAGGTCGCAATTTGTGGGTATCTTGAATGTTTGAGATTTGAAGTTGTGGTTTCTTGCGCCAATGCTAAGATCACCCACAACGGAGGTAATTGTAGAAACTTCAACTTCAGCGCTGACTTTCTGGCGCTCAACTTCATGCATTGCTTCCTGTATCGCAAAAATGGCGCGAACAATTTCCACCTCGTCTCTCTTATCCTTTCCTTCTCTTACTTTTTGTCGTACTGCTTTAGCATTCTCTACCTCCTTGCGCTTTTTCTCGAGCTCCCGCTTATGCTCTCCCAATGAAGATTTTGACTTTGTAAGTACGTTGCGCAAGAATACAGTCGCGGACTCGTCGACAGCGATATTGGCGTCGTCTAACCAGACAGGGCTGGGCTCGAATTGGAAATCGCCTGGCTCTTGCCATGAACCGGCATTGTGTCGCACAAACATCATAGAGTCAAGTAAGGGGTTGTTGCGCGGAATCTCACCAGCCAGATGCTTCATATACTCCGTACTTCGGGTAAGCGTTTGGGTCTCGATCTCTGCGGCAAGCGACCATATAGTATTTAACTTATGGACTCGTGTTTCTGAAAGATCTTGCAGGCTCTGCGATGGTCAAAAATGCCCCGACTTATCCATGATGGCACTTACGTCTAGTAGCTCAGGGACATACTCATGGTAGTACATCTCCTTTTGCTTGTTGGTCACATTAATGCTAATCAGATAAGTATTCTGTGAGAGATCAGCAATCGAACACCAGAGCTTGATGCGCCTGGCCTACCTTGACATTGCGCATTTCGACTTGCTGTTGCTCAAATGCATTACGAGCCTTTGCTTTGCCATGGTCGAACGCAGTGTCAACCTTCTTGCGCCGGCTCTCGACCTCCTGGCAAACGCTGTCGTATTTGCCCTTTTGTTTGCGCAACTCTGCGTATTGGTTATCCCGTTCCTTTTCCAACTTGGCTGCGTAGTCTCCGTGAAGTTTGCGCAATTCTTCGGTCCTTGTTCCAAGGACCTTGAGGGGGTCAGCCAGTTGTGTAATGAGGGCGCCGGCGAATTGTTCATGTTCGGCTGCGCGAGATTCAAGAGTGCTCAACTGGACTCCCCATGTGGTCATGGAAGCGCTGGGAGCTGTCGTTAGTTGACCTCATGCCATGGCAGCGGAAGCCGTACCTTTCCAGAGAGCCGGGAGTAACCGTGGGGTTGTCGCCAACACTCAAGCTGCTCTGCTTCTTTGCCTTTTTCTCGTAGTACTTTTTGGCTAGTGCGCTCAGCTTCGCCGAATACTCCTTCTCTATGGCGCTTCGTTCTCGGTAGAATTGCTGAATGTCATCTAGCCAGGAGATGCCGCCGGAGACCTGCAGCCTCTCACGTTAGCGACAGGAGCGCAAACCTCACGGCGCGCACAGGTAATGAGCGCGCAGGGCGGACATGATGGGGCACAGGCAACATACCCAAGCATTTACATTCTTGAAGCCATCCTGGGGTTCTAAGTTAGCATACGTTCGGTGGTGTGGCACAGTCGCGTCCGCATACCTTGAGTTCAGCGCCGAACTGGGGCGCAATATCAACGTCCATGATTCGTGGAGAGCTATGGGTCGAACGCTGCAAGGGCGGAGATGGGCACCCCGGACATAGAGGGTGAAGGACTTCTGGGGTAAAGATAGCGAGGGTTACGTGGAGTGTATGTATGTATGTACAAGGAGCCTTGGGTATGGGATGCCCAAGAGTGGGGCAGGAGGAGGCAGGAGGAGGCGGTGCTCGCGCCGGGCTGGGAAGGCCGGGATCTGATCCGATGACGTTGCTGCAGTGGTACGATCTTGTGTTTGGTATATATCACTATTCTCTACTGTGGACAGCGCTTAGTGTGAGCCACACAAGTCTGTAGGCGCATCAAAAAGGTGGACGCTTTGCTCGGTCGCGACAAAATGCAGTAGGCTCATAGGAGACGTACATATGTACTTACGTACGCCAGGCCCTGTCCATGCAACGCGGGCGCGGGCGCTAAATCCGGCTAGCGCCGTAGCCCCGCCAAAGGCTGCTCTCTGGAGCTCTCACAATTTCCAACGCGGTGCCTTGTACATACTCCAGCAACAACAGCATATTCTTCCAGTCGCGTGTGTCCACAGACGCGACCACATATCTGTTGATTAAATTGTCTCAAAAATTATAAACAACTTCCCCCATACAACCACACCGCCGAGACCCTCAGGCCGCGAGATACTCAACTTCACCGCCCGCAACGCGAACTACAATAACCGCCAGCCATGTCGTCAGCGGAGGAGACACCCATCAAGCAAGATGCTGCTGCCGGAGAAACACCATCAGACTCAGTCGAGAAATCCCAGGTCGATGGCAGCGGCCCAGAGGGCAATGGCTCTGAACTGACCGACACCAAGTTCAATGTCGAGGTCAAGCTTGCCGACTTGCAGGCTGACCCCAACAACCCCCTATTCTCGGTCAAGTCTTTCGAAGACCTGCAACTGTAAGCTGGGCTCGCTCGCTGCCTGGACATGCTAACAAATGTAGCTCCGAGGCACTCCTCAAGGGCATCCGCAACATGAACTTCCGCAAACCGTCCAAAGTTCAAGAAAAGGCCTTGCCCCTACTTCTATTGAATCCACCAACGAACATGATTGCGCAATCTCAGTCCGGAACTGGCAAGACCGCTGCCTTTTCACTCAACATCCTTTCCCGCATCGACCTCTCCAACCCCGAACCTCAGGCATTGGCACTCGCGCCCAGTCGAGAGCTTGCTCGTCAGATTTTGGGTGTCATTACTCATATGGGACAGTTCATGGACGGACTCAAGACCATGGCCGCTATTCCTGATCCATCGCGCAGAGGACAACAGTTCAACGCGCAGGTCCTAGTCGGCACACCGGGAACAGTCCAGGACATGCTCAGGCGGCGGTTGATCAACTCCAAGTACATCAAGATCCTCGTCTTGGATGAGGCGGACAACATGCTGGACCAGCAGGGTCTGGGCGACCAATGTACCCGTGTCAAAGCACTTCTACCCAAGGATATTCAGACTGTCCTCTTCTCCGCTACCTTTCCGCCCAATGTTATCGCATATGCGAAGCGCTTCGCACCCAACGCAAACACCCTTACCCTGGCACACGAGGAGCTGACCATCGAAGGTATCAAGCAATTGTACATTGATATCGACAAGGACAACGACAAGTACGCCACCCTGCTCAAGTTTTATGGCCTGATGACACAAGCCTCGTCCATCATTTTCGTGCGTACACGAAAGACTGCCGAGGAGCTGGAGCAGCGCATGGTAGCCGAGGGTCACAAGGTCGCGCAACTGAGCGGTGCTCTAGAGGGTCCCGAGCGTGATCGTATCATTGACCAGTTCCGCTCTGGCGAAGCCAAGGTTCTCATCACTACCAATGTGCTCGCGCGTGGTATTGATGTACAGTCTGTCACCATGGTTATCAACTATGTAAGTCATAACTTCATTAAAGTTGGCGGGCCAAGTAACGGCACTAATAAAATCGCAGGATGTCCCGACCATGGCAAACGGCATCGATGCAGACCCCGAGACCTACCTCCACCGCATTGGTCGCACTGGTCGTTTCGGACGTGTCGGTGTTGCTTTAACCTTTGTACACGACAAGGCAAGCTGGCAGCAACTGCACGCGATTGCCTCATACTTCAGGACCGACCTACACCCTATCGACACATCAGACTGGGACGCTGTTGAAGAGATGATTCAGACCGTTATCAAGTCATCACGAGCCGGAAAGACAACGGAAGAGATGACGGAAATGATTACCAAGGGATCGTAAAATGTTTGGAGCATGGAAATTTATGACGTCAGAGGACAAGGTTGAAGGTGCTTGTGGGATATATGCGTTCGATCTACAGGACTGACATGGGTCTGTATCTGTAAGAGACGGTATTTTACGGTGAATGCATATGTGGGGGTTGCGATGAAGAAGGAAAAAGGAAAGGAATTACGTACGATGGAAATGAATCAAAGATACCCAAACTTAAAGCAAGCAAGCAAGCAAGCGAGTTTACCGACTCTGGTCTCCCTTTTCTTGATTGGTATAATCAAGTCTCGAATGCACCGGGCGCCGTAATCAAGATGACAACCAGACTGCTTCCTATCAGCGCGCCTGAAATAGCGCTAACTAGAATAATGCTGCCTCTCGAGGCAGGAAACTTGCCCCGTATAACATAATGCTGCGCCTCAAAGTACCTGTGAAACCCAATCAACAGCATCACAATACTTATCCCTATAAACGTCGCGCCCAGCGGCTTCCCCAGCTGCCTTAGCTTAACCTGGTGCGATGACAGCGACGAATGATCTGGCGAATCCGCTAGCGAAGTATTCAGCCGGAAGAGCTGCGTTATCGCTATGCCGATGCTGGCGAACGAAAGCGAAGTACGAAGCCAGGCGAGAAATGTCCGTTCTATATTTCCCAATTGAATCACATGTCAGCGCATTGGAAGGATTGCATGAGAGAGGAAAAGGGAAGGGAGTGTGTTACCCAATGCCAAATGATCCCTAGCTACACTCCCCTTGTTATCCAACTCTACGCTTCCGTATTTCTCCCAGAATCCCGTCCACCATCCTTTTTCTCGCCGCGTGGTGGCTGCGGCTGCGGACTCTGCTGTTGTTGCTCTGGGGTCGGTGTGGTGTCCGTTTTCCGACTGTCGTGCGCCGTTGGATACGTCGGTGCTGCTGTCGCTTTTCTTGTGCTCTCGCGCGGGCTGTAGGTTTGATCCTGCGGTGCCTTCTTGCTCTGCGCCGGCTGCAGAGTCGCTGGTAGCGGACGGGCCGGAAGACGGGCGGGCGTTGTCGCGAGCGCGCATGTCGGGGGATAAGGTGTTATAATCTTTTGTCGAGCTGGGCTTATTGGACGGGAGTATGGGTGATGTTTCTGTTGGTGCTATGGATTGTGATGACGTTTGTGTGTCTGCGCGTGACGAGTCTGGGATGCGTTTGCGTGGGCCTGAGATAGATGCCATTGTGGATCCGCAGGTAACCTGTATGCAATCGCGTATTGTCTTCTGTTCTCTTAATCCAAGGGCAAAAAGGTTGAATATTACAGATGGATACGCGGGGAAGTGTGCAGGTACTAGGATATGTTATGGCCGGTGGGATATTGACTTATTTGACATGATAAGCAGCGGCATGTAGACATTCCTCGGGACTCGGGAAACGTCATTTAAGCACGGGAAGGCGACTTGGATGTTCCTGGCGTGCGTTGAAACAATCCCGGCGGGGGAGGAGATAAGGATTCGATATGGCCTGCATGATATAGTTTGAGGTGCATATGTAGGTTGCTTGTTGAATTGATCATATCAAAAGAACATATCACAATTGTCGCAGTGGTCAGCGAATCTGTGGAGCTCATCCTGCGGGTCGCGATAGCTAGCCTATCGGGGGTGCACATTCTCCGCGACGAACCAAACAGCGAGTTCGTCAGATGCCAACAGCTGAGCAGCTTCCACGTAATATGTCCATCCGTTTCTTTTGCTACAAAAATCAAGTGTCCGATTGAACGAAAAAAAATCAGTCATGTTGGTATTTCAAGTCTAAAAATTGCTAACTGGTATATTTCTTGCCCAGCAAGCCACCATACCTCCAAAATATGGCTGCCATAAATGCGCGGCGGTAAGATTCATGATTGCAGTAACATCTTCAAACCGCCCTTTCCAACGCCGCCCAATGACCACCGAAACGGAACAGCCCGCAAGAACTTCAAAATTTCGCCGTCGACCTAGTTACTCGTTGTAGTGGTACACCTGTAGCTGCTGTTAGCATCGAGGTTATAGTAAAGCATCAAGAAAAGGACACGTACAAGGTAGTTGGGCAGTCCATAACTCTCCCAGTTTAATCGGGCAGCCATCTTGGCAAAGCCCTCCGTCTCTATGAGATGGTAGAAGGAAAATGGAGGAAACATGGCACCGTCTCGGTGGACCTCGGCCTTGACAAGTAATGTAGCACCTCCTACACCGTCGAGCTTGACCTTTGCGTGAGGATCCGCCGATGGGTCGTACATCTTGGCCATCAAGCTACGGTAGGTTGGCATCTCTGCATAACCTTCAAGCAGGATATCATCCTTGCCCATCTTCTTGCCCAATTCTTGTGCAGTGCTGCTGTCGATCCAGTTGTTGAAATCGTATTCGCGAATATCCATGGCCTTCTTTTCCTCGTTGTAGTACCTCTGGAAGCAGTTGGGCACAATAATAGGCACGTTGTAATCGGCCAAATCCTGAATCAGTGTGGGTGGAGTCTCAACAATGTCACCATCCATCCATAGAACCCAAGAGGTCGAGGGACCCAACGTTGTGAACAAGAGCGAGTTTCGTGCCTTTGCCATGGCTGCTCTCCGTGCCTTCTGGTTCTCCATCTTGTGACGCTCTGCCTCGTTTTGCGATTGTAGGGGAGACTCGGTGTCCTGGCGGAGAATGGTAACGGCAGCGAATCGCTTCGATTTGGTGCCCGACTGCGTCTTTGCTACCTGTGCCTGCAATGCAGTGTATGCAGCATTACCCTCCTTTGTTTTTGGAATTATGAATCCAAGGGAGATGAGGTGGTGGGGATAGGTGAGTTTGAGGAGGTTGTCCCAATACTCCTGATAGAACCGAGCCAATGGCGTGAGGATCAGAACTGATTCCTCGTTCTCAGCAGGCGTGCGGGAATTGGTCACATTGTTCATGTAGTAATGTACAACTGGCGGTGCGACCTGGGGGGAATTGGCTTTCGACTTCCGAAAAGGTAAGGATGGCGGAGACAGTGGGTTAGAGGCTACTTCACCGCTTCCCCTGGACATGGAGGGGACATCGCTGCCTGAGAAGAAGAAGATAAAGAAACCAATGCAGAGGATACCAGCGAGGATTATGGTGATGGGATTCTGGCGTCGGAGCGAGCGTGACATGGTGGCTGGAGGAAACTAAAGGGTAAGGCGAACCGCGGCTGCCAGAGTGGAAAAGGGCCTACGGTTGGCGCATCAGAAGTTGGAGGCGGTAAGTGGTGATCGTGGTGAGGATAATTGGGCGCAAGGAGGTGCGCGAGACGTGGCCTGGCCGGCGCTCGGAGAAAGTTTTGGCGGCGTGCACAGCCACAAGGTGTACACTGGAGGCCGGGCTGAGTGTAGAATTGAGGGGGGGTTAAGGATGAAGGCAGGGCGGGAGGAGAGTGCAAGAGTGGTCGTGGACAGATTAATTCCAGGAGGAATCTCCGCATTGTCGGACCCATACCCCGTCGCGAATGTCGCGGCTTTGCTTACGTACGCACCCTAGCGTCGAGGCGTCATGGATGCCCGCATGTTCAACACCACTTTCGTCCCGCGCCGTCATCAATTGACCCCCAACAAATGCCTCTGCTGGTTGCCCGACGATGGCCAGTTGTGACGCGTGCTTCTGCTGTTCTGCGCAGTCGGCGCCCCCCACTGCGCTCTTACACTGTACCTCCATCAACCACCGACCTCAATGAAGCAACCAAACGAAGCACCATCCATGGTGGCATAATCATTCCAGCCTCTGTCCACGCCCATGTGAGAAGTCCGCACCTCAATCGAACGCCGCATGCTTACGACTTCGTAGCCTCATGACCTGTTCGATTCCATCAAGCCACTGCCAACTGTCATTGCCCACAAGAAGTCTTTCACGGTCTTCTTTGTCACTCCCTCATACGCACACTTTCTACTCGATCATGATGCTTTTCTTCGCAGCGCCCTTGTACGAATTTACAACAAGGCAATTGAGGTGCCACATGTTGACATACGTGCGCTTTGTGCTGTCGTAGACAAGCTGCCGGTTCCACACCCGTGGAGTGGCAGTACCTTGGAGTCTCAGCTATCACGGCGCAAAGTGGACACACCCGTCGCGGGAACAGGCTTTGAAGGGATAGCCTATATTTCTCTCCCATCTAGCGCTTCTATCGAATCCGACAAGGCTTCCCTGCCACAGGAGCAAGGTACTATCGACTTCATCACCTCAAGCCATGTACTCAAGGATGACATTTGTCTTGACACATTGCGGCTTCCCCTTGCCAACACTGTGTTTCAAACAGGAATGCCGACAACCATGATCAGCTCAAGGTGGGAGAAATACAGCACAAGTAGCGAATTGACCAAGGTCACACAGACGAGTCCTTCTCACCATGTCATTCGATTAGCTGGTGATGGTCCCACTCCGGACACTAAATCTGCCCTTAGCATCCCATTGCTTCCGCTTACTTTACCTCGTATTGTAGAGGGATGTATGGGTAACATCATTCGTCGTGTTGTCGACACTGATGGCAATAGTATCCAGGCATCCTCGGAGCTTGAGAACGTGGTTCCTAGGTTCTTCTTGTCTAGGGGCCAACAGGTGCAAGCCACAGTTGCTTGGGCCTTGGTCATACCCAAAGATCTGAGGAGAAAAATCACGGAAAAGACTGAAAAACTTTTATCTAGCGTTCCGGTTGATGATGAACCAACTTCTACTGGCCCAGACCAAGCCTGGGAACGTCTGTGGCGCAACAAACCACCTGTCTGGAATACACTTGTATCTGAAGCGCTCTCCGAAGGGGCGCGTCTCCACCGTGTCCTAAGTGGAGGAGGTGGATGGGGAAAGAAAGCAGGTCTGCTGTCATTGGATCCCATGCCAGTCAATAAATCTTCTGGTCTAGGCGCTCCAGCCATCGTTGATGACCCAGGAAACTTCGAATCAACTCTTACACCAGTTGTGCAAGATGGTGACTCGATTCAATTCTTCACCTTACCAAAGTCTGAACTTGCTCAAGAGGCTCGTGAGGCTGACAACTATGAGACGATCTCAACACTGTCAAAGGTCGATAGGTCTTGGGGCTGGGAACTAGGTACCATTCCTAGCACGATGGATTCCATTCCCGGAGAGTCCTGGCAGCACATGACGACCGAAAAGCATCGCTCTACTGTATTCGAGGGCACTTTCGGCGCCTTGACAGAAAGTGCCTTGACTATAGTACGCCATCGTAGGAAAGACGTGGACGAGACTAGCTCAGTCTATGCAACCAAGCTTGATGTCCCCTTTTCGCGCCTTTGGACCACCAACCTAACTAATTCACATGACGAATCCACGACACGTACGAACTTGGAACAGGATGGTAAGGACAAGGATGTAGGTGAGCCTGCTTCGGGGTGATCTTTACTCGAGCACATGTTCTGATTCTTAAGTAGCAAAATTCAACTCCAAATAAACTGAACTCTTTATCATCACGGAACACTCTGAACTCTTCTCCTTGTCATGCAGGAGATATTTTGTTTAATTCACTTTCAAATCATCTGCGGAAATTCGGGACCCGACATATACTAACTGTCAACCGACCACTGTCTATGTGCAAATTCTCCAGTTCTGCACTAAACTCAGATACACAGTCGAGTAACGCAATCGTAGATTTGGAAGTTTCAACTGCTAACACCAAGCCATCCCAACCTGTACACCAAAGACCCGAACTGGAGGAATCACGAAGAAAAACGAGTGGATCATCTCTAAGTGCAAATACTCGCCCACATTCTTCGCCAAATTTGACAATACTAGAATTGGTAAATGCCCTCAGTATTGCCGGTGTCAGTACGTTTGGCCGACTCAGCTTTCGCACAGCAAAGCGCATACAGTACGAACTTCGGAGGAGGTTTGAGAAACAGAAACTTGAATATGAAGCGGTAATGTCAGTCTGCCGTAGGCAAGGCTCTCGGAGGGCGCACGGCAGCGGCAGAATCAGTAAAGTCATCACTAGCAAGACTCCTAACTCTACGGGAAAAGCCATTACGCATGCAAGCAAGAAGAAAGTAGAGAAACCTAACTCCAAGGCAAAAAAGTCAAAAGCACCCTTGATCCGCAAGTTAGCCATCCCAACCGAGCAAGACCCCGAAGCACTCAGCAAAACATTCCGCATCATATCCTTCCAAACCGCCCGTCTAGCAGAAGAAGCCGGCGCCATCCTCAGCAGCATCCAACCCCGTCGACCACATACACAAACCAAGCCCCGACGCCGTCTATCCCGTCGCCTCCACACTCCCCGCCGCAGGAAATTCGGCACAAAGATCCGGTACCACAAGAGCAACCTCGGCGCAGACCCCACGACAAGAAAACATCGCTCTAAGCGCAAGCCCGCACCCAGGAAAGGCAAGACCGTGACCAAAACACATACTTCACGGCCCAGAGTCCGGCGCATAGCCAACCCCATCCGCATCAAACGCCACGAATCCTTCTTCATAGGTACGATACGGTACGCGGATGGAACGAGGGCGAAGTTCAAACGCCGGTCGCCATCTCGCTTGCGTGGCGAGGCTGTGCGGGGGAGGACGAGGGGTGCGGTGCTGAGACGGGTGCCGGTGGAGTGGCGGGCTACTAGTGCGGCGGTGGCGGTGAAACGGAGGGAGGAGGGGAGGCGACTGGCGGCTACAGTTGAGGGGTGGCTTGGTGGTGGAGGGGAGGCTAAGAAGTGAGTGGTGTGGAGTAAGGTTTGCGTTGAAGGTGTAATGTGAGAGAGGATGGAGACGGTTGCCAGATGTACGATATGGGTGAGTGGCGAAAGCATGTTGTGCTTGGAATGCGTGGACTGTACGATATATCAGTGTTACCCAGTAGTAGACAGATACACTATTCATCTGCTTTGACCCTTTTTCTGTTCTCGTCTTTTCGTAACGACTCAATGTCATTTCTCTCTCTCATAATTTCATTTTCTTTCACAAAACGGAGTACACCAATGGTTGCATTGCCCTCTTTATCAGAGAGGAGGGAAAAAAGATATAAAATGAAAATCTGGTATACGCATCCACCAGCCACGAATCCCCCCTCCGGTTCCGTAAAAAAACAAAGAGGGTCGCTGATTTGCGAAAAACCACCCATACACATTCATCCATCCAGCCCTTTTTAAGTAGGAAAAAAAGCCCGTGTCTAACTCCGAGGCTCGTAGGAAAACTAGAAGTTGAGGAGAGGGAACAGTGGAACGAAAACAGACATGAGATTATCCTCCAGATCTTGACCGCGCCACGTGCAGATATGAGGGAGAAGTCTCGCATCTTTACACACAGATGCGAGTCTTGCTTGTGAAGTAAGCGGCCGAATGCTGCTACTCAGGTCTTTGGAGAGGATGTGGTAAGATGGTTGGAAATGGCGCATGAGGCATCATGTGTGTGTGTGATTGTAGATCAGGATGCGTTGATCGAAGATGAGATAGCTAGACTGTAAGGCTGGCTTACAGGTCCACTTTGGAGGCCGTGAAATCCCATAGCATCTTTACGAGGGAATCGGGTAGCGTGTACAAGTCGACATGGAACTCGCCGTCTATCGCATGTCAGCATATCTCGCTTTATCTGAGCAGATGGGCCAACTTACTCTCTACATCATTCTTCGTGTACGTCTCGCTCGTCTTGTTGTCGTGGACCATAGTGACAACGTGCAGGAGGTCGTCTTCGCCAAGCTTTTGCAGACCATCTGCCAGCTTCTCCATATCGACGTTCTTGTCCTTTCGGCTCTTCTTCTTGACGGCATCCTTGTTGCGCATACCGTTTGCCTCGGCGGAACCGGATTCTGCGAGAAGGGCGAGGAGCTCCGGCTTGGGATTCCGGAAGGTCTAGCATAAAGTCAATAATTTAGTAGCTAGAAATATTCAGCGCTGGCTGTAGACATACCACCTGGTGCTTGGCCTCGTAGCGCTCAGACTGGAAGTTGAGGTCATGTTCGAGAGTGTGGTCGCCGCCTTTGCCGACAGCGGTCAGGACAATGGTCATGTCGAACTCACCCCAGCCCTTCTCCTCGATACGGAAGGGGGGCTTCTTGAGGACTGTTATCGGGGTCAGCAAAGCTGTAATCAAGGCAGGACGGCACGGCACACGCACCATGCTTGGGCTTCTCGAATGACGGGTGGAGGTTGTAGACAGCCTTCTCAAAGACGTTGGGCATGACCTCGTTACCCTGGTCGTCAAGTAGCCAGATCTCTATACTCCATGTTCGCATGGGAAAGCCCTCGACAGGTGAAGGCTCGTCACTGTGCGCGTGTTAGCGGGTGGCCTTGTGGATACGCGTCGAGAGAGCGGTTGCGACTGCGCGCAATGCAGACAGGCGTACATAGGCTTTTGGTGAGTAATGAGCTTGACCCATCGCTTGGCCTGCTTGACTGTTAGTATTTCTAAGGTAGGGTGCGCATTTGTCGAGGGCGCAACGTACGTCTGGCATCTTGTCTGACTTGCGCCGTGAGGATTGAATATGGCAGAGTAACTAGTTGTTGTAAGCTGCTGTGTTCCGCACAAGGTATGCACCGAATGCAGGCTAAGACGGTAGCCCGGAGGTATGCGACTTTGGTAGTGTGCCGCTGGCGATAAGGTTCGAGCGCGTTGGGCAGAGAAGAGGGTTGGAAATACAGGCGGTGGCTGGTCTGGTCGCTGGTCGTGAGCTATGATTTGGCGGAGGCTAGGTGATGCACGTCGCGGCGGGGCGGGCGGAGGCTGACTACTTACGACTCGTTCGATCTTCTGGGCCTTGGCACCAACGGTCAAGCTCTACAACGGCTACGCCATCGTAAGGCTGCCCGACAGGGGTTCTGGTCTGGTTTACTTCAGCAGGTGAGAGACGTGCTGATACCAGAACTACGCCCCTTATTGCATGCCTTTCTCACACCGCCAGGTCAGAGTGAGAGAAGGCCTGGCACAGTACTGGCACGGATAGAGATAACATGACACTGGCGATTTACAGAGAAAGCCGACTTGGGGGAAGTGCCATTGACTTTATTAGCCAGGCCATTGAGTTACTATCTAATTGTTGTGCTGATAATGGGGCACATCTACTACCGCCAGGATATAATATCATCCCAAACCGTTCCTCGCTATTCGTGCAATGCATGCTCATCCTCGTCCATCGACCATCATCCATAATATCGGGTTACTTTTTCCTCGGCCTTGTTGTGACCTCTCTTACTCTGACTTGCCGAAGAGCGCCTCGTTCTCTTGCTGGGCCTTGATAAAGGCTTCCTTGAACTGGTTGGCGTCTGGTACAAATAGTTAGCCTTCTTTCATCCATCTGGTCAAACAAATACTACTTACTCTCGCTGTTGGCGAAACGGATCGCAAGTGTCTGCGCCTCAGGCTCGCCTTCACTGACATCGGCCGCGGCGTTCCAGACCCAGCTGCGGTCGCTGCCTACGTTGGGTGACAGCTTCATGTCGGGGACAACTATTCACGTCTCAGTGTCATCATATCATGGCTCCAATCAAGTCACTTCATACCGTAGTGGTTGGCGCAAACCTTGAGAGTCTTGTCTCGTCGCATGACAAGGCGCGTCTTGCCGTTCTCCTTGTGCTTCAGTAACCGAACATCGCCAGTGCCTCGCTCCTTCCACTCCCGTGATTCCCTGTCAAACTTGAACAGCTTGGCGCGCATCTTGAACACTTGCTCCTCAAGCTCCTCGTTGGTCTTGGTGTCAACCTTCTCGGTGAGGTGGACGACGGGCTGGAACTCAACATCAGGCTCCTCGTTCTCCGGGTTCTCGTCCTGGTGCAACGTTAGCATAACCTCCAAACCACTTGGACAGAGATACCGACATCGCCCTTGTTCTTGGAAGAGCCTGATGGCTCGTCAACGTCATCGGCCTCGTCCTTCTTCGCCTTTGCGGGTCCGCCACCAAACATAGAGAAAACGTTGTCCTTTACTGCGGCCGCTGCCTCTGTCGCCTTCTCCGTGAGGGGCTTGTTGTCTGTGCTCTCCGTCGTCGCCTCGGCCTTGTCGGCAAGCTTGTCAGTCGTCACCTTTGCAGTCTCGTCCTTGACAAGAGTTGGGCCAGGGTTGGCGGCCTGGTCGGCGGCGGGGTCGGGCTTGGCTGCTTCAGACATGGTTGCTATATTGGTAATGTATACTGGGGGTTGGTATGTAGTGGCGAGACAAAGTCTTTGTGTTAGGTAGGTACGGGAGTGGGTGTTCAGTGTCAAACAGTCTGCCCACAAATTGAGCAAGTGGGATGCATGCCCCTCCCTCTCGCGCTTTACCTCTTTAGGCCCTCTGACGTGCGTGCCACCCCTGCCCAACATGCTATTCAGTCAACGTCCTGTGTCACAACCTTTCCTGCAGTGTACATGTTGCTTTCCGCGCACTAATGTACAACATTGAAACAAGTCAAGAGCCAAATCTTTGGCATATGTACAGTTAGTTGTACACCAAGGCAGGGGCGCAAGGCTCCATTCGGCCAGGGTATTACTATGCTAAATACATTGAAACTGTAACCCGACTTCAGTAACCTATCAGCCCAACGCCCCCATACAAACGCCACTCGCCAGTTCGCCTCAACCAGTCCAGTGTGCACACCGGGTATCATGTTCATAACTCCACGCCCTTGTGTCCATCAATAAATGCTGTTGCAACACATACATATTCTACTCCACCAAAGAAAAACCCAGAAGCAAACATGGCGTCCTCCCACAGTATTCCTCCCATAGACCTGAGTGTCCGAGTACCCTCCACCCAATCCCATCTCACATATACCCCTTCACTTTGGAGCACGCCCAGCTCTGCTTCTCTTCGCCATCTTTCCCAGACAGTCCTGCAGCCATTTCCATCTTGCATCGAAGGCGAAGTGCATTCATCCTAGCTCTCTTCATTGCCCGTGATGTGCGTACCGGTGCTGTCGCCTCGCGTAGACCCACCCATGCCGCCCCAGGTATCTGCTTGGCCAGACGACTTTTCGTCTGCAATTGCTCCTGAATCTTCCGCCGGACCTGTTGCATCTGCTCAGAGGCACCGGCGACATCGATATCCCGCACATCCATGTACGTCTGCATGTGTTGAGTCGCCATCAAGGAAACGTTTCGCAGAGCGTCTTGAGTACTCATGAGACCAGATCTGGCATTATCCATGAATTGTTCTAGCATCGACTTGTTGTGGCCGAGCATGACTTCGAAAGACTGTCGCAGAAGGGGCTTTGAGTGAGTTGCAATGCTGACGTTGAACTTGTCGTATGGGTACTTGTGCTCGAGGTCGACAATGTATTCTCCAGTCATGGTTCGATTGTACCGGATAGGAACCTGTTGCGACTGACGAGCAATCTGGATTTGAAGTTGAGGTCTCTTACGCCTCGAAGAAAATGCCTTTGAAGGGCGAAGTATGAATTGGTGATCCCCAGTAGCTTGAAGCTCAAAACTTCCAATCTTTCCGTCTTCTGTCTTCAGCTTTTTGCTAGGATGCTTCAGTGAAGCCGGTACGACTGTTAGAGCTCCCATTGCCGTTGGGGTAAACGAAGAAGAGATGGATGTCACGAGTCGTGAAGATTCCGACGCAACAGGAGTAATGCTTGGGTCAATGTTTTCCCCCTCAGAGAGGACTGATGATGCTGATACGCTTCGTGAAGCCTTCTGGAGTAGCATAGGGGCAAAGGCTGCACCCTGGAACAGGGCGGGTATCAATACACACAGAACCAATGCAGATATGAGCGTTCTTGCCGAGGGTAACTGCAATCCAATCTTCTTCGTGAATGTCTTGATCTTACCACCAAACCATGATGCTTGTGCCTTCGTACTGTCTTTTTTGTCTCGTGCAGTCATGAGGCGAGGGCTGATGTAGGCAAGGTGACGATTGAGTTGCGATGGGTCCAATCTACTAAAGCCGCGATGATTCAGAGGCAATACTGCTTTCAGCTCGTAGTCAGTGTTTGAGTCGTCTCGGCCCTCAACGTGTACTTGCAACGCTGCCGGGTCCTCGATGAGCGATGGAATACCATGGGGGATGACCTGAGCAAGTTCGATGCATGGTATCCTGGCATAAGCAAAGATCGTTCTGGCGAAATCAATGGCCTCTCTTTCAGTAGGCGAGTGTGGCTGTGTTCGATGACACATGATGACAAGATCTGGCCGGTCTAGGGAGTGAGCGGCCGTACTATAGCTGAACTCGAGCTGCTTGCCATCCTCTAGTTTGGCCACGATGCGTGTTGGCTTTCCACGTGAGGTCACAACCTCTAGCCCGGTGCAGCGAGAAACTTGCGGGACAGGGACGTATGGTTCGACCTGCCCACGTACCATGACCGACTTGGACAGGCTAGGGTAAGCACCGAGTGCCATGGCAATCTGGGTAGTGGTGATGTCTTCTGCCCATCTCTCAGGCATTCCAATGTATAGTATCTTGTACGAATCTGGAGGGGGCAAGGGGTGTTTCGACAAGGCTGCCTTTACGGACAGCCTGACCTCCTCACAGCCGTAACGGCTGAATACTTGTGGGAGCTCGTCCGTATAGTCGGTCGAGCTCTGAATGACATTACCTCCCTGGACAACCTCATCATTGTCCGTTGGCTGCTCGTCTAGTGTGATGCGCCAGGAGCTCTCGCTCCCAGACAGGTATGACGGCACTTCGGTCAACGTCGAGTCTTCGCCTGCTAATGCAGGGCGTGCGTCGGATTGCTGTTCTGGGGGCTCGGCTTGGGATGAATAGATGCTATCTTGTAAGCCTCGGTCACCCATCTCGTAGTCGGCCTCATCGTCAGTGAACTCGTCGGATGTATCATCGGGAGTTGGAGCGTCGGTCGAGGCGATCGATGCCGTATGAGCTTCATCGTCCGAGACATCCATTACCCCATCGCCGAGCATATCATAGTTGCTATCTTCAAGAGCGCTGCTTGCCTCCTCTGGCTGCGGGCGTTGGGTGGACCGCATCATAAGCGTTTCAAGGTCAAGCCTTGTCAGTGATCCGTTCACTCGCACGGGAGGAAACTTGAGATCTGGAGAAGCAAGAGATTCGCTAGAAGGCATGTCAGCTTGAATTCATGTAAGAGACAGTGTGTTTACAACTCCTCAGGTGTGGAGGAGGGAAGGTAAGTAGATAGATGGAGGGGCAAGGGCGGGAATAGGTAGCAGTGGGCACCTGGTCGCCGCTGCCTGACTAGCAACGGGCGAGGCGCGTCAGGGTGTCTTGGGGGCACGGTGGGGCGGATACGGAGCAAATGAAAGCACATGCGGGTTTGCTTACTGTGGGCGTGAATGATGCTTCAAATGGTTGTATTAAATCCAGGTGATTGTTAAAAGTATACGCAAACAGTGATAATGGCACGGCGCAGCTGGGTGCATGGTGAAGGCGGGATGATGCCAACGGGGGTACCCCGCATAGTAAGCGATAGGGTACGATACATGGTTCACATGGACAAAGGGGGTGGGGGCGAACACCAAATCCGCGACAACGGAACAGTCATAAGTAACTAATAAGGTTCACTTCCAGGCTATAAGCCTACTCATGCATTTTGAAATGTGGTTCGTCTTCGTAGATATATGGCAATTCCGCCCATACGCAGCAACCGAGGGGCACCGACAACGCCCGCATAGTCCTGATGATCCTCTGCTGGAAGGCCGCCCAACAGGCATGCAATACCAACACCTTACGCCTTACTGAAACCAGTAGTCAATGCTAATGCGCCCACAAAATGCTCACTGGAGGCTGGTAGAAAAGTACGCAACACGAAGAGACCACGGTTCTGGTGCCTAGGGCGAAGCCCAACCGCCCGCCACCTCGACCCACTCGGGGAAGCAAGACCCTTCTTTGCCTTCCACCTCGACGATATCCGTGTCACACTTACAGCGGCACCCGACGCCATTTTCTTTGACAGGGTCTGGCGTCGCCCAATACTTATCTTCCTCAATTCGCTCTTTCTCGTTCTCTGTCGTCAGCTCCAGGTAGGGGTCTCTAGGCAGCTGTCGTGCAGGGGCATTGGCTGGACAATGCTGAATAGTAGTGTGCCGGTACCCAAAGTCGCGGAAGTAGTGGATGTCTTCGGGGCCAAGCAGTGCTCCTACAGCTAACGAGTGGATGGGCGCATCTCCCCATCTCTCCATCCAGAAGCCACCGCTGCGATCCATCAACTCGAAGAAATCGTTGTACTCCTGGCTACGGAACCAGTTCAGGTTGGCAATTTCAAAGTTGCTCCAGAAATGGCACATGTTGTACGACTCGCCCTCCATGTTTTCGGGGTGGATGTCAGGTAACGCGTCTGAGCCAAATTCCGAGTCCATGATATCTTGGGGGAAGAATGCCTTCTTCGGTTTGGGCTCATTCTTTTGTGCATTGTCGTCCTCGGGTTTAGGCTTCTCGACGAACATTTCCCACATGCCCTTGGAAGTAAGGTTGTTGTTTCGTTTGTATGCCGATGCATATCTCCAGATGTTGGGCACCGTCTCCCTCAACTCTTTCACGGCAATTGTAAAGCCGTACGTCTTCTTGTTCCGAATCATGTGGATGAAAGGGTCGTAGGTGATGTCGCAGAAGTATTTAATCTCCGGCTCGAGACGCCAGTACCAGTCGTATTTGGCAAGTAATTCGTGGTGGTAGAATTTACTGCGGGAAGTTAGTCCAGACCCAGCTTGCAGTGTTTTTTCTTAAACGTACCCTGAGTAAAACCGACACATGTGATGGTAGCTCTCCATACCACCGTACATGATAGCATTGTCTCCCTGCTTTGCGATGCCCTCCTTAGCAACATCAGGGTCGACCCAGTCTGGGAAGCCCCACTGCTCTGGCGGTATCTTGCCCCACTCGACCGGAGCACTAACGTGCTTCAAGACCACCTCTCTGAATGTCTCGTTGAAGTCGCCGTCATTGAGGAAGACGTATGGGTAGTGGAACCACCGATTGAAATGTCTCTCTATGGACTTGATCGACTGTATAACACCGTCAAGCTCCTTGTTTCTTGCTAGCACTACGAAGGCAGCGTTCGCTCGGGGTCCGTTGACCTGGGGCTCGAGACAGCCTACAGCGAAGGGCTTGTCGTATTTTTCGCTGATCTTTCTGTGGATTGTTAGCCATATAGTGTATGCTGCTGCAATGGGGGCGATAGTACCTTATTGACGGCGGGGTGCCCGCAGGCATGTTCATAATACCCTGAGAGTCTGGCGACCTCACGAAAAGAATTATGATTATGATTATTACAAGACATGGGAAGAGGAGCACCAGGCCCAGTGGAATGGAAATGGACGAGGATCCCTTCAGTCGTACCCGGCGGCGGAAGAAGGACAATCGGGGAGCCGTCTTTTCAGCGCGGCGCGAGAGGTCGTCGAATCTGTCCAGGCTCTCTTTTGTCGTTGGCAGCCTCTGCGTCATGTCCTGCAGGAGGCCCATGGTTGCGACGCTGCGATGGCGGCCTTGGAGAAAGACGTTACTGCCAGTGGCAGTTCTTTGCTAGGTGATGCCAGTCGTAGGTGGCCAGATATGTGTTCTGATATGGCCAGGCTTGGGGCGAGTGAGGAGTGCAAGCGTTGTTGGATGGCAGTTCCGAACCGGTATGCGACCATCAATGGGAATTTGGACTTTGCGCGACACTCTGTGAGTCGAGAGGTCGGGGGGAGCGTCGAAAGGGGAAACCGGGGTTGTCGAGTGTAAATTATTAACGGTCGGCGATTGCGTATGCGTTTCGAGAAGTGCTGATTGACAAGGAACATATCGGTGGAGACGCGCCAAGCTCACTAAAGTAGGTAGAGCGCAGCTCGATAGGTGCAAGCAGATAGGTGCAGCTAGGTGCAGCTAGCCAATGCAGGAGGCTGCAGCTCTCGGGGCTGGATCTTTCACGCACTAGGCCCGACACACAGTCTCTGTACCTGTACCCTGAACAGCCTATCAATAGGGAGTCGCAGAGAATCTGCTCAATTCCTGGTTCAGGGACGCGCACGAGACTGTCTGAAGGGGCCGCACAGGAGACTGCCACTACGTAAGCGACAGACAGATACCACATCACTCCAGCCCTGGAATCTCATCCAGGCGTCGGCATACATTCCTGCATCACCAGCCCTTGCACCACCTGCCTCACCATGAGCTTCAAGGCCAAGGACCTACACTTTGGTGAGTGTGCCAGCAGAAGAGTGGAAGCGGTACTGATTAGCGCAGACAGCTCTCAGCCAGCCTTCTTGCAGCGGCTGCGTGGGCAACTTCAAAGTGGGGATACTGCTCGTCATGAGCATCCCATTGCCAGAAATAAGAGGATGAACAAAGATGATGATGAAGATGATGCGCCGACGTACGTCCTGGAAGATACTAACCAGTCGTTGAGCAAGGAAGAGTATGATGCGCTCGTCTCTGGCAAGGACGGCAAGGGCGAAGAAGGCCCAGTAGTAGCAGACGAAGCCGAGCAAAAGGCAACCAAGCAGGACGAGTCGAAACCCAAAGACAAAATTGCTGAAGTTGGTGCGAATACAAAGAAGCGCAAGGCCGCGAAGATTATTGGCGATGATCAAGGCGATAGCAAGAGCCAAGTAGAAAGGGATGCCGAAAAGCCCACCATCAAACCAGCCAAGAAGCCAAAAAAGAAAGCCAAAGCAGTCAAGCTTACCTTTGGGGACGAAGATGAGGGATGAGAGGCGTCAGAATCTACATTATCTTCACAGACACGTAATCCTGCTTGGTGCGAGGCATGTTCTCAGCAAGAGGCCTCTCTTGTACCTTGATCCTCCGGTTCAAATGCCCATAGGCTACCTCGTCTGCTAGTCCGAGCAACGGCGTCATTGCTAAGCCACACACATCATACAGCACGGACACATCCTGGCTCCTCCAGTCCCTTGGATTGGGGATTTATAGGAGATGAGGCTACCAAATGATAAGGCAAGGGCATGAAGGTTGCGTTTGTTGCGAGCCGACGCTGCATGCATTGGCTTTGTTCGACTAGTGTTGGGATTTGCTACTACTTCTCCTTTGTCCCTTGTACAACAGCTAGATCGATTTCAAAGAAGCCTTTGGTAGTGTTGGAATACACTGGTTCATCTGCCAGACTTTGGTGTTGGCCAAACGCGTCAAGATCTCGTGTTACACAGCTTTCAGGAAAAGATGCAGGTTCCGATCGGAAGTATGTCGGAACATTGTTAAACAGGGGTTTAGCTTGAGCCGCCTGCAGTTCGGGAGTCCGCAATCTCAAAGTCTCCTGCACATGACCTTCCGTGTCCTTCACACTAGCTTCACCACACAACATGGCAAGACTATCGCTCGATGTAATTCACTCGGTTACCCAAATTGACAAACAACTTATTCACTTGCTAGGATTTTGACCAACATATCAACAGCCTACGCGCCCAGTTGCTGTTTCTCAACGAGACTCTTGAGGCGACAGATCACAATGCCCCCGACTGGCTGGCGACGGATCTTATATCGCTACGAAATAAATCGGGTAGACTGCATGACGACATGAAGAGGTTTAGAGACCAGCTTGAAAGCGAGGGATTGGCAGAGAAGAAGGTACGCATGCGCACCACCTACGCTCGCGATGATTCCTGACACAACAGCAGGTCAAGACTTCAAACAAGCGACTCAGCCTTGAAGGCGCAAAGTACGCTTCACCGACCCCCAATACCCAGACTCACGCATCAAGTTCGCATGCCATATCCCCTCTCCCCGGCCAATCGCCCACGCCACGCGCCAAAACAGCGCAGGCGGAAGGAGCCCACCTAGTTCAGCACGTCGATGTTACAGAAGAGGTCAATAGGCGACTACAAGAGAGCCGTTTACGGCGCTTGATGCAGACTCCTAGCACTGCACAGAAGCGAAAGTACGACGAATACGAGGATGCGCCCAACTCAGGCGGGCCGGCCGCAACAGACGAAGGCTTGAAGAACCAGCAAAGCGGAGGCGAATACGAGAAAACGCCAACGAAACGGCTGAGGAGTAGTGGGTTGTTTGAGCATACAGGAGACAGGAAAGACGACGGCCCTGTGAGGTATGACACGGAACGATTTGACGACAGAACCGACGTAAAAAGACGAAAGTTTCGATGATGATGCGCTGTCTCTCTAGCAAAAGAGTGCAAGACCCTGACAGCACAGTACGAGCTCTGCCGGTGCGCTGGCAGCGTAGCGCATTCGCGCCAGGCGATTATGGTCTCAGATCTAGAGTACCTCAGCGTCACTTGTTTTGGATAGAAAATCGGTCCCAGTAAGACAATGGATCGCATCGTTGTTTGGATATCGCGAGCTGGTTTGTACTGTACATAGCTCCGCAGCCCTTCCGCTCTAGTGGGGAAGCTGCAGCCGAGCGGAAGCTAGCCGCTCGGTCTTTGCATCATTGAACTTTTCGACCTTACATTCACAAAACCCCCCCGCCACGCTACCCTAGAATCCTTGTAAACAGACCAAACGTTAAATAAACAATTCAATACAAATATCTCGTCTTGTGTTCCGGTTCCGCAGGCAGCGTCCACACCGCCGATGGCGACCCCAAATCCCATACAAAACGTGCCCATCCCACCGGAACAACGTCTGGCCCTAGAACAACAACAGCGCTATGAACGTATAGTACGAAACCTGGCGATCGGAGGGCTCGTGGTATGCCCAATAATTGCACTGCTTCCACCGCGAAAACTGGACCTCTATACTTTCTCGCTAGGAATCGGGTTCTATTTGTCCGCCGACCATCTAATCACCCTTCGCACCGGCCGCGGCCTCGTACAGAACCTTTCCCCCATGCGCGCAATGGAACTTCCCACGGACCGAGCGCAAGAGACACAGAGGATACTGCAAGAGGAAAGGGAAAAGGGCAGGAAGGCGCTCGAGAGGAAGGAGGGACAGCAAAAGAGCGTACTAGGGAAATTGTGGATGGGAGATGAAGACGAGGACTGGAAGGAGAGGCGTCTAGAGGAAGAGAGGAAGGCGCTTGAAGAAGGCAAGGGCTATGGAGATTTGATCATGGAACAGATTTGGGATGTTTGGAATTGGGATAAGAAGAAGGGAAAAGACAATGAGAACAAAAAGGAGTAAATATGGCGGCCTACTTTTTACGAGTTCTCACATGTACATTATATTGTGTAAATTATGGTGAGCGGCGCACCAGCTTCCACCGCTGAGGAAGCCAAGCCATTTCGTGTATGAGTATTTGGTATTATAATGGGGAAAGACATACTGGGTGCCGGTACAAGGCGACAAACTCCACGAATTCATGATTCGCCGTATCGGCAGCACTACTGAAACACCTCTGAGATCAAGACTCAAAAACGAGGTGAACAAACACGGTTTTTTGGAGGATCTGTGCACTTGCAATGGAGTTGACTCAGACTAACTGTATCACAGCATGACACGTACGGCAATGAAGATCGCGATGTACGCTATGGAATGTTTAACCTCAGCGTACTGCACAGACAATGCTCTAAATTACCCCAGCACAAGCTGGCCCACAGCTCAAAGGTGTTTGCCCTGATCGATGCAACAAGCAGCTACCCGCTGATTCGCTCACCACAGTGCGGTTAACAAGTCTATCAAGCTCTCTTCAGCTGTATGTCTCAGCCCAGACCAGCCCATAAAGAGTTTGACGACTATATCTGAACGCCGATCACGCGGCTTTCCATATTCTGTGCAACATCCTTCCCGCAACTATAGAGCTCTGTGCTACAATCGATCATACGCTCTCCCAACCGCTCCGAGGCTATTGTGATAAATTGGGATACGGCACAATGTCTCAGCCAAGCACGCCATTTGATGGAGTCACTGAAGATCCCTTTCTTTCGTCTTCAGATCAGGATCAGTTCTCCCAGGCCAACTTCGAGGAATTATTTGGCCCCGGTAGTTCAGATGGAGCCATCTTCTCATCGAACAATAGCGAAGTTTTTGACGGCACTGACTTCGCATATGGAGATGTTTCACTAGTACCTATCGACTCATCCATCTCCTCTGTCATATCGACACCGCAACCCTCCAATTGCAGCTCTAATCGGCACTCATCAGCGTATCCGACCCCACAAGCAAACAAACCACACCCTTACCCATTCGGAACTCATGGACTCTATGAAGCAGGTATACCTCAGTCCGTCTTCAATTCTCGGCCTTTGCCCATCAGATCACAGACGAACAATGTCCACTTCTATTCAACACAGCTGGCGCCGCCTGGCAGTCGCCGACGATCACTCAGTCATGGCGACATGGACCGAGTCGTAGCTGCAAGCATGCCGAATCCGACCTTCATCCGTCTCCAAGCACCACGCTCGAGGACTATACCGGAGGAACTCCGGGGGAAAGATCTTCACTCGCATTGTGGAAGGGGTTCATGTCAAAGTCCTCCAGCTCGAGGCAGGCCGATGAAGCCCACGAGCATGCCATACTCACTACAATCTAGCCCGCTGGTAGGCGGCATGTTGCCGACCCCGATCGGAACACCGTTGAACGCAGTGGAAGATGTCGACTGCGACACCAACATCACTCACCAAAATCACAGCATAGAAAACAACAATCCCTTCTTTCCTTCATTTCCAGAGGGTCTTCTCTTTCGACAAATGTCGCGTCCAGAAGAACTTGCGAGAAGCTGGCAGATTATCGAAATCGGAGCCCTTGCCGTCACCAATCACGGAAGTATTGACCCTAGGCTTCAACCACACACTTCTGCATCGAACCAAGAGCGTATTTTGAAGAAGCTGGTTGATATCGAAGCACATTTGGGGAAGAGCGGAGGCGCCGAGGCTCTTCGCAGTTGCAAAACGATACGGGAGGTCTTGACTGGGAGGGTTGAGTGTGAAGAAGAGACAAAGGATATGGATGGAGTGTTCAAAGATGGTGAGATTACGGCAGCAAACACCCCCAACGAAGCATATTCCGATCTGTCCAATGGTTGCGATGATAACGAGATCATGGCAATGCTGATGAGTCAGCATGGGGTCAGAGAAGGTGGAGATGGCGAATGATGAAATTGGAAATTCTTCATGGTAAAAACTGATATTTTTTGCATAGCAATGGAGTTTCTGGCATGTTTTCTTATTTCATGTCTGATCCCACGATGGTACGATTAGAGAGGTGAACTTGTGGGGTTTTAATGGCGCGAAGGAAAATTTGGCAAGATAACAAATGTTTAAAAGACAAGATTGATTTTAATGATTTTGATGTAGATGGGGCGTTCTGAAAAATTCATTGCGGTCTGCCCACAATATTTCCCTGAAAGTAAAACAAAGTAAAGCACCTTGTATCCCAGACACGCTAAGTCGCGGCTTCACATGATACATAACTGATGCCGCCCCCACCCGCCACGGCTGACTTACGCGCCACACCACCATCAACGTGTCAAGATAGTCTACTTTCCTGCCTTGTTATTTGCACCTGCAAACATGGAATTGCGAATAGCAGCATTAGTCTCGGCCATCGCATACTTTACATTTGCCAACGCAGAAGTCGCGCCGGAAATCACGACTGTGGCAGAAGGCTACAACGTAATCGCCAAGGTCCCTTGCGTCGAGTGTCCGTTCTTGTACCAAGACACGTCGAAAGGCAATGATGCGCCATGGACGCAAAGAAAAGATGCGAATGCTCTGGTACCTTCATGATCACAATTCGCTTTGCTGAATAAATATGCTGATGATTTTCACAGCTCTTGAATATATCTCTACCCTACGACTCAGCCCATCTAAGCATCAACAACGCCGCACTATTGACAAACAACAAGATTCTCCCGCGCATCTACGCCAATCAAGTGCTGGAAGACATATCCACCGATGACGTGGCCACGCTCATTTCCTCAAACCAGCTCGACAATCTCGGCGGCAGCTACTTTGGCGCATCTTATTCGTACACGCTGGCCCGTGTCAAGGATGAGCCCAAAGCCCTGCTTTTCCAATTCGACATCATGGAGCTGTGGACTGATCTTACCTCGCCGCCTCTAACTGTCTTTGTGGACGGAGAAAAGCAGAAGATAGTCGAGGTTGTGCTTATGCAGCGGCCGTTGCTTTCCCCAGGCGATCCAGCTGGCGCCTATGAGATTATCAAGGTCCACCTGGTTGAACGACCGCCAGCGCAGACTAAAAGCACCAAAGGCCCGCGAAAAGTCTCAATGTGGTTCCATGATTGGGATACCAATGGCAAAAAGGGCACAGCGACACATATTGTCAACTCAGCTTCTGAGTCGTTTGTCAACTACATCAGCTCAGGCGTCTGGGCACTCTTCGTTTTCGTAATCGCAGTCATCGCCTTGTTCGTCCTGGTCTGTCTCTTCGTCATCTTCGGCTGCGGATGGTGGAACGAAAATGACTACGAAATCGCACAGCACGGCAAGAAGAACAAGAGTAGTGGTAGCGGTGGAAGAGCCAAGGATGTCGAAGCCGCACGGCGCTTCCTAAGCCCCGAAGAATTGGGTCTGAGAGGAAGTGGACGAGTCATTGGTGTAGGCAAGAGCGATTGAAATCCCCCCCCAAAATAATAAAGTTGGCATTGTGCTTGTGCACCGAATGAAATTCAAATTCAATAATGTCCAATGACAAATCCCCTCTCTTTCTCCTCCTCAAACTTAGAAATGATCCCCAGACCCGACAAGACTCCACCCTAAGGCGAAGTCGCAAACGTCTAATTCCTTCCCTAGTCATATACCCCAACGCACGTACTTTTCTACATACCTGCAAGCCTGGATTCCCACCGCCCAGCCCCCCCTCCCCCTCCCGTCGATCAACCCCACCTAGCGCATGCCTCACCCGATCATCGCCCTCAGATCTCAAATCCTAGCACCGATCTCCCTTCTCCATCCCTGACAAGCCACGCCCCCCCCCCCACCATCTAATGCACCAGCACCACCGCTTCCCTCGTGTCTAGAACCCTCCCTTTAAAAAAAAAGGGGGGGACCATTGGCCCTATCCCGCCGGTTCCAGTCCCAACGACGTCAAGGAAGTAAGTACTAGGTGCTTGTTATAGTCGGCTTGGTCATATAGTTGTCATTACTTTTTTTTGTTCTCTTCCTCACTAGTAGCCCCAGCTACTACTACGTACTAAAATAGTCGACGTCATCCCGCTGGGCTCCGCGCGCCCACGCTCAACGTCACTTGATCCAGCGCTGTTGCAAAGAAAAGCAAGCGGTGGGGCAAAAGTGGCGCCGGAACGTGGCTGATTTGCTGTCATGCTGCACGGCGAAGCATGTAGGGTTGCGGTGGGGCTAGAAGGACGGGTTGGTTGTCGTGTGGGCGGCGCCGGTGCTAGGGAGATTTTGTGAATGTTGGGGGAGAGGGTTTCCATGGCATACGTCTTTGGTTCGGGATGCGGACGTCACTGGGGTGAGGGAAGGGCGTCATGACATTGGGTGGAAGGGGGAGTTGGGCTGGAAACATGGAAGTAAGTGTGTGTGTGTGTGTGTGTGTTTGTGACGGCATAGTCTGGGGTTCGTGGTATACAAGTAGAGGAATTGTCTTGAAATTCTTTATATAACTATCAGTTACAAAACGACAGAAGCACTACAGTTTTTTTTTACCATACTGAGACGTTGGATCTTCTACGCATCTGCTAACATCGACACTGGCACTTTGATTGATTGAATCGTGTGGGCAAAGATGGGTATAACAAACGCCTCGGGTGCCGTGAAGGGCATCTTCTCGCTCCATATCATCACAGCATGCGTCTCATTCCTACTCTTCCTCGCCGCCCTGGCACTCTTCGCTAAGCAACTACGCGGTGGTGCATCGGGTCGATCACGACAGGTTATGAGAGTGTGGCAGTCGACTGGCAAGAGACACAGGTATGCCCCTCATCCTCCCCCCTCTCCCCCATATACCATATACTAACTCTACTCCCTGTTAAAGCGCCTTCGGCACCCAATTCTTCGTCATAACCGGTCTCCTCTGCCTGGCCATCGGCTACGCCGCGCAATCTGCCATCGTAGCCCTGCAATCCCGCCTCGCCATCTCCCCCTTCTACGTCACCTCCGCCTACGCCTACCCCCGCTACCCGGGCGTCTCAACATCAACCCCGGACCTGCGCTACGGCCGCTCCATCTCCATTCTGTCGTTCATCTACCAAGCCGCCATGATCATCATGAACGCCAGCATCGTCGGCGCAATCTGGATCTTCGCCAACCACGTGCACAGCAATGCCACGCAGCTGCGTGAACCGGGTTTCCTGAGCGTCGTGTTGAATTTGTTCTGGATGGTTGCGATTGGAGCGTTGGGACTGGCGAGTTGGTCGCTGGGGTTGTATCGGAGGGGTAGTGGAAGCAGTGCGTTGCCGTATCCCATGCAGATCGGGGGTGACTATGTGATTCGCACCCTATACGTGGTGTACGTGTCTGTAGTCATTGCAGCGTCGACGAGTGTGACGATTGAGGCGATTTTGTGCTGGTTGGGCATTAAGAAGAATGGGGTTCCTGGTGTAAGTACTTCCTTTTTTTTCACATTCGAACATTGGGAAGAGGGGAGGGAAAGGTGCTGACACTTGACAGAACAAGTTTCAGTCATCGCTGACTCGCATGGTTATGCTCGTTACGCCCCTCGTCTGGCTCCGCAACGCCTTCTCCATCGCCCAGCTCATCATTCTCTACCGCAACTCGCGTAGCTGGTCGCGCCGTACCACTGAAGCCCTTGCCTTCCTCTTCATTATCTTCGGTCAGCTCTGCGATCTCGCTATCCTTGCCCTTCTTCTGCTCGGTGCAAAGAGCTTTGGACGCAAAGACGATGTCCAGTATGTGGGCAAGGAGGTGAGATATAGTGAGAGTGTTGCGGGAAACAGGGATAGCGTTATGGGAGATAGACACTACATCTCCAACAATGTTAATACGACGACGAATGGTGATGGTAGGTCGACGGTTGTGGATTCCAACGGGGTTGAGAGGAGGGAACCGGCATATGTGCCGCATGTTAGTGTCTAAGTTGGTGAGACTGGAAGGGGGAAAGGGATGAAGAGTGAATAACCCAGGTGTCAAATTGGCAGACCTATGGCTTTTCCTTTGTTTGGTTTTGCAAGCGTACGAGCGAGAATTGTAAGATAATTAATGAGTAATGTGTATCGATCGATTTTACTTTTGGAGAAGTCGATCAAGTTGCGATGCTCACGTGATCTGGGACGATGAAAAGTTGCGAGTGAGAACCACAAAGTAAAGCAACTCTCATGATGGGTCTTCGGCATCTAACGGCATTTTGCCGATGCGGCATGGTTTGCTTCGCAAGCCGGCCGTTCTACTCATTATCATCGAGCACTGTTTCTTCGTTTGCCAACCGTACAACGTATAAGATATCCATTTCCCTAAGCCTCTAGTTCTAAAATGTCCATGACTATAGGACCAATTAATTATCATGTAACTAATGCTTAGGCATTACCAATTCCAACCTCAATCATCAAACGCACACACACACACACACACACACACACACACACACGCACGCACGACATTCCCAACAAGACGTCCAAGCAAAATCATCAAGAGGCAACACAAATCTTCAAAAAACTCTCTCCTTCCAATCAAGCTGATCAAATAAAAACTAAAACATAGAAAAGCACGCGCAGTGCAGTGCGCGTCCGCCAGTGTAAATGCTTGCGGTGGGGTATCTTAGTCGAAAACATGATCTTTATCACCATCCAAACTGCAATCTCGCATTTTTGCAATCGCTTGACAAACGTAGAAACAAGAAAGGAAAATGAATCAAAGAGAAGAAGATGAAGAAGAAGCGAAGGAAAAAGAGAAATGAAAACAGAAAGCTCATGAGTACTCCTTAATGCCATCGTCACGAGCATGGAAGAACCCACTGTTAGAGAATCCTTCTTCCTTGGGCGTTGCCCACTCATCAGGCGATGCAGCCTCTCCTGTGGCAGAAGAATCCAGGACCAAGTCATCAGAGTACATGCTCTCAGCGTCATGTCTCCAGTCGTGCGGTCGCGGGTGCTGGGTGTAGTAGGCGCCCTGGTTGTGTGCCATGGCTCGTGGTGTAGAGCAGTTCACGCGCTGATTATCTTCAGAAGTCATAATGAGCATGTCTGGCGAGGGCGTGGGGTATGCCGCCCCGCTACCGGAGACGAGCTTGTTTACCAGAGCTTGCAAATTTGATACTTCAATTTGCAGTGCGTGGACGCGGCGCTCGAGTGCGACTCGCGCGTTGCGCTCAACTTCCAACACTGCACGCATATCTTGCAGTGCCTTGGCTTGTTCATTGCTACTAGTAACCGGGAGAGTTGAAGTAGGAGAACTCGGCGCAGGCACAGGCTCTTCTACGTACTCGCTGCTGGTGCTCTGATGACGAAGATGAGAAGGCTCTTGGTGGATGCTCGGCGCAGAGCGCGAGTGAGACCGCGAGGCAGAGACGGAAGTGCTTCGGTCTCTCGAGCGAAGGCTCCGGGGTGCGTTTTCAAGTATAATAGTCTGTCTATTGTTTCGGGATGAAAGGCGGCGAGTTAGTGTTTCGAGATTAGAGTATTGGTTTTCAAGATGCATGAGCCGCTCTTCCATTGATAGCCGATTCGGATTTGGTGTTGGAAGGGGTGCTACCGGTGAGATTTCTTGGCCGCCGGCTTGAGAGACGGGTTCGCCATCTCGTGCCGGTTCTGGCTGTGGTTCTGCCGGCACCGGCCCGGACTCTCGGCCGTTCTTCAAATCACCGAAATTGAAGTCAGAAACGGTCGCATAGACGTCTCCTTCCTCTTTGTCCTGTTTTGACCGATCAAGTCCTGCTGACGTGGGTGTTTGCGGATCATCCGCTTGCACAAGTGTGGCGCTCATTTCGTTGTGTGAATCCGCCTCTGGCTCCCGGATCATTGGCTCCTGCATCTGTACGCTGCGGAACGTCTCCACCGTCTTTGCTGTTGCTGGCCGACTATAGACACTGGCCGACATATTGCTCTCCCGCCAGTACTTGATTTCGGCACTGCGTCTCCTCTCGGTCGAAGTAAGGTCCTTGGCCATGTCGCGAAGAGCATCCGCACTGCGTGACCTCCGCTTGTTGGGTCTCGAGGTGCCGTGCGAGGGACCGGAGAGTGCAATGCCGATTCGAGAAGGAGACATGTTGCCGTCCTCGATACGCTCTTGCCAAGGCGCCAGCGTTGGTCGCGACTCGTCCAGGCTGTGACGCTGGACGACCAGGCCTGGTACATTGGGGAGCGTAGCTCTTCGGCGCCCCGGCCTATTGACATCAAAAGTGAGATACTCGTCCGGTGGACTTGCTGGCGGCGCATTCACGTTCATGGGGTATGGCAGGTGCTGGCCCAAGGGGTGCAATGGCTCCAGCTCCTTGACGGGCAAATCAGATATCCTCGGTCCAACTGGTGACGGTGATGGCCGTTGTTCTATTGGTGGTGTCGATCTTAACAAGCCCGGATCCTATATCGTGTTAGAAATAAGATGTCGCGTATTGCACAGATTACTTACGCTATTATGATAGCTATGACCACGGCGGGTGGTCTCATCCTGTTGCTGCTGATGCTCTGGTTCGGCCGTCTTTTTACCGAACATTTTGCGAAAGACGTTCCTGAGCCCGCTTTTGCGCTTCCTCTGCGTCGCCTTTGCGGCACTTTCGGGCGTAGACCGAAAAGGCGATGGAGATGGGGCCATGGTGGATGGAACTACGCTATCGCGCTGTACAACGCTGATGGGCTGCAGATTGCGCGGCGATCTCAACGGAGCATGATCGCGTACTTCCTCCTCTTGCTGCGACTGGTCTAGCACGAGATTTGATCGCAATGGCATTGGGTGGTCTGGAACTGCCGGAGCAGGATGCGCCGGTCTTGGGGGAGTGACGGACCGTTGGCGCTGCTCTTCCAACGGTGCGACTGGCGGCTGGGGAGGATCACTCAAGGTCCCGTTTTCAGCAAATCTCTTTTCTTCCTCGTCATTGAGCGGCATGTCCTCGGTAATGGGGATTGGACCGCTGATCTTCAAGTTGCCCTTTCGGATCGCTTCAGCCTTCCAGCTGGCCCGGCGCAACAGCGCAGGCGAGGATGCCGAAGGACTCATATCGACGATGACGAAGCCTTCTCGCTGGAGCATGTGGATGTTGCGGCGATTGTGGATGAGCAATCGTCGAGTGAAGTGGACGTCGGGCGGACCGCCTCTGGAAATTGCAGTCGGGACAACTGCGACAGGGGTGCCTCAGTTCAAGTAGTGGCTCTTCCAGCGACCATCACCAAATATGCAAGGTGATGTGCATTCGAGAAGGGTTGTGGAAGGGGGTAAGCTCGGCAGAAGCAATTTATGGTTTTGTTCCTTTGGGGGGAGTAGAAAGAAAAAGCAAATGTGAACCAAAAAAAAAGGTGGTCGGAGGAATTAAGAAGAGTGATGGGCGATGGTGAAGGAGGGCCAAGCCAAGTGTATGGGTGCGTGGGTGGATAGATGGAAGGAGCGACGAGGTTAAACGAAACAAACAGGCAGGCAGGCAGGCAGGCAGGCAGGCAGGTAGGTAGGTAGGTAGGTAAGTAGGCAAGCGAGCAAGCAAGCGAGAAAACAAGCAAGCAAGCAAGCAATGAGGCGTATGAAGCCACCGAGGGCCGGGATGGAGAGTTGGAGGAGGCAAGAGAGGATGACGGGGTCGGGATGGGAGGGGCGCGTGGAGGGCCTATGTATCAAAGAGAGCGACAGTGGTGGAGCTATTCGGACCAGGGTGTGTTGTGTAGAGTGGGGAGGGTTTGTCGGAGGGCGGGCATGGCGGGTGCGGGCAGGCTGGAGGTTATTAAAGAAATGGCGTCGTTGCGAATCAAGCAGTATGGGCCGACAAGCAGGCATGGGGCAGGCCGTAGGCGTAGGCGTAGGCGCAGACGTAGGCGTAGGCCCAATAACGGGGCGTTGACGGTGGCTACTCTTTGAGCGGCATGGAGCATGGAGCATGGGAGAGCATGGTCGACAGGTGGTCGCCAACACATGCACTCGACGCCTGCATGGTCGTTGTTGCGCCTGTCGCCTGTCTGGCCATGGTTCCTGTATGCCACCTGCACCTCTGACCAGGCCGCCTGCAATCGATAAATCCGGTGCCATGCACGCGCCCGCTCTGCCCTCTGTCTCTGTCCATCTGAAACGTCGGCCTTGGAGACATCCATTCATTCCTCTCCACCCTGTTCCTTGCCGGCACCACCATCCTGGCCGCCTATGGACGACACGTCCTCGCTCGTTGCTCTCTCTCTCTCGGTCTGGTCTGTCCGCCTGCACGCGCCAAACCCCGCAACTACCTACACCACATACCCACTACTACTACTTACATACTCACTACTAGAGTAACTGCTTACACGCGACTATTAAGTTACCCCGTTTCCCGAACAAAGCCAGAAGACACAAGACAAGCGCTGGCCACTCTCTAGGTGCATACTCTCCATGTACCTACTTACCTTCTCCTCCCGACCCACACCCCTTCGCCAACAAACACCCCCCTCCCCTCCCCTCACCATCTTCCCTCGTGCTTCAAAACACCATATCGGCCAAACCCTAGCCAGACTCGCCTGGCCATGTCCCGCTTCCTCAATCAAGACATGACAACCCTTTCGGCCACTCTCTTCGCTCTTCGAAACTCCAGGGAAGGGAAAACCCCTCCCACTTTTTCCATAATACACAACCCTCCCCCCCCCTGGCCTCCATATGTGCATTAACGTGTTTGAGAGAGCACGGCGCTAAACCCTATCGGGCCCAACGAACACGCTGACACTGTGCCGCGAACCGCTTTTTTGGCGCAACACAACAGAGAGGCGAACCACCCACACCCCCCGCGCCCGCGCCCGCGCAGCAAGCCTGCAGCAAGCCCACACACGCACATCCATACGTTATACCGTCTATCGTGACGTTGTTTGGTACTTCCACCTTTGCTCTACTGCATCCCTTGGCGCCCATGTAAGGTAAAGGCCTGGAAGCAACAGAACAAAGATATAGACTTTGTGAACACTGCCTTGCCTATGCATTAGACCACTCTACTTTTTTTTCCTTTGCTCCGATGCAGCGGCCCTGACAAAGGGAACAGAAGAGAAAGAGAGAGAGAGAGCGAGGGCCTTGCAACGTGGCAGAGCCTGGCGCGGCCGTTGACTTGAACTTTCTTGATCGCCCCTCCCTCTCTCTCCCCTTCGTCTCGAACTTCGCTCTCTCTTGCATCTCTCTCTCTCTCTTTCTCCCGCGGCTTGTCCTTTCGTGTTCTTTCGGCCTTAGCTTGCGCTGCGCCATTGTATTGGATTCTATTGATTTCACGACTCGCCTACCCACCCACCCCCATGACTGCGGGTGAACCCTGAGAACCCGGCTCAATCACACAACACACTTTGGCCCTTTCCCGGCACACACACATACCACGGAGCGTGTGGTGGCGGCGTCACCGAGAAGCAACATTACTCGTATTTCACATACGCATACGCTCTTTTGCTATCTCTCGCATGTTTTTCTTTTCTTTTCTTTTTTTTCTTACTCCTTCTTTCTCGTCTCAGCGCCTCCCCCTCCCCCCGGGAGCAGCGGCCTGTGCTTTTGCAACATACGGTCCCTGTCCGCTATTCTTTCTTAACTCTACCCTATGCCGAAAGTGCCGACAAGCTACCCACACTATAAGCGCGCAGCCTAAGTACACATACATACTTACTGTACCTCATATAGAGAGCAATTGGCTCTTTTCGTCTCACTCGCAGTGGGGTTCATATAGTTGAGCTTGGTGTGTCGTGGCACTCTCCTCTGGGCAGCTCTCAGCCTTCCCTTCGCCATTTTTTGACGCTGAACTACTGCAGCTAGAGTCATGGGCCTACCGCTCAATCGCCTGCAGTGGCTTCGGTACCACCGCTGGAACCAAACTATACCAAGAGTCGTGGCCGCCACAGCGCTTGGGCCCCCCTAGCCAATAATAACCCACACGACACCCCCATGTCTCTGGCCCTTTCCTTCCCCACACCCACCTACTCTGTCCCACACACACCACACTACCCTTTCACGATAACCGCACACTTTTCTAACAGCGTTTGTTTGTGATGCCGTGTCTCTCGCCTGTCGATCCGGAATAATCCACTCACCGGAAATCTCTCTCTTACAACGGCAACAGCCATGTTACAGCCCTTTTTTTTGTGTTGCTGACCGAGCACTTCATCTCCCCGTCGTCTCGTTTGTGATATTACCTGCACTTAATCGCCGTATACCTCCGTCACATTGGCGTACCTAAGATCAGCGTGATCTTCCAGATGCTGCATCCACGCTTTGAGGAACTTTGAACCCCTGCACACAGAGTAAATGATACACTCGTTAGCAAACTCATGTTCCCTCTTTCTTTTTTTTGAAACTCGCTCTTGTACAATGACGACGACCAACTATCATCCGCACCCTCGGAACACCAAAATCTTGTTCCGACGGCCTGGGATGTAATCGATGACAGGACAAGGGACGGGTGAATATGCTACTTTGTGATAATACAGGGGAGCGTGTATCACGGCAGTTTCATCTTTTGGGGGGGGGAAGGCCCGCTCGGACTGCCGCTGCAACTTCGCACTCGGGACGCAGCGCATGCACGTAGCCTCAGGTTTCAGGACCCCCCAAAAGACGTTGGATGACGAGGCCGCAAAAGGCAACCAGAGTGGACAAACAGGAAGAAAGTGGGCTGCTGGGGTCATGGATTCGGTAATCCAAATGTGCGCACTTACTTGCTGATTGTCTCCGAATCTCCAATCACACAGAGATGCCGCTTTGGGCGTGTCATGGCCACTAATCCGGTAATCCTCATTAGCACATCCATCACCACAGAGGCCCTCTGCAGCTGCCATTTTTCATGCGTGCCATACTAAACATGACCTGACATTGTCGCAATACGAGTCCTGACTTACCGTTGAGTCGTCTCTTCTCGCCCAGGAAGCCAACTTCATGCTCTGCATTGCTCCGCACCGTGCTGACAATGACAGCTTCTTTCTCTCGTCCTTGAAACCCATCAACGGATCCCAGTTCCATGCCAGGATACTCTTCTTTGAGCATTCCAGCGAGCAATGCGAGCTAGTCACGTCAGCATTTAAGTACTCCTCCCGCTTGTCCCTGCCTATTATGCCCGGCAATTGTGGAGTAGGCGGGACTTTTTTTTCCCGTCTGCAAAAAAAAATCGCTACAAGTAGAAAAGGGACGGACGAATGATACGCACCTGCGCATTATATGGCGTAACAACTGCAATATCCTCAGGCTTTACGCCGGCAGCCACGAGATTTCTGACATGCATTCTGACCAGTGCCGCCTCGGCTTCGTTAGACTTGCTATCGCCAAGACTCATACCTTTGCCACCTTTCCCAATCACGCCTTCGTCTTCGACCTTTTCGGGAAAATCTCCGCCTTGGGTATCCCAGAAGACGAGCGGCTCCGTAGTGTCTTCTGTCTCCTGCACCTCGTACTTCAGGTCCTTGAGTAATCGCGCCTTGACAAATTCCGCAGCCACAAGTTTCGAATCGTAAAGTTCGTCGGACGGAAAGCGCATGATCTTCTCATGCATTCGGTATTGCGTCGTTAGCATACGCTTGATCGACGGGCCGTGCAAGGCCAGAAGTCGATCGAACAGTGTCGTCTCCAGTGTTATACCTTCTCCTTGCTTTAACATGGATCTATCCGCATTATCCTCTGCATCCTTAGTCTTCTTGTCCTTGCTCTTTTTGGCCGTCTTGGCCTCCTTGGAGTTCAGGGACTTAATCGTAGGCGGGAGCTGGAGATGGTCTCCTGCAAGTACCAGTTTGTTCACCTTTGTCCACAGAAGCGGCACCCAGCATTGTGCTTCCAATGCCTGACTTGCCTCATCCACGATAACAACGTCAAACTCTTGCCCCTTGATATGGAATCCACCTGCGCCGTGCAATGTGGCCAGCACTACCTTGCTGCTCGTGACCAGGTTATTGACGCATCCCTTTTCTCGCTCTCGGAACTCTTGACGCAGCTCTTTCAGCTCAGTGTAGATCTGTCGTCGCTCCTTTGCATTACGCGTCTTGCGAATCGATGCCTGTTTTTCATCCATTTCTTTGCGCACATCTTCTACCAATGCAGCTGCTTCTGAAGTCCGTGTGAGTACGTCTAGAGAGTGGCTGAGGACTGAGGGCAGTAGCCGCGCTGGATGTCCCAAGCGCACCATGGGTACCTTGTGAGAGGCTAGCCGCTCGACAATATTGTCCACTGATATATTGGACGGACCACATACTAGCAGACGTAGTTTTTGCTTGAGCAACTGCAAGATCAACTCGATAAGCGTATGCGTCTTGCCTGTGCCTGGTGGTCCGTGAATGAGAGCGACCTCTCTCGAGGCTAATGCAAACCTAATCGCTTCTTTCTGACTATCATTCAGGGAAGGATCGATCCACTCGAGTTTGTGAAGCGGGTTCGAAGGATCATTAAGATCCCTCGGTAGTGGGGACGGCGACGCCTGTCCAAACAACACCCGCATGAAGGGTGAATAGTCCTGATCCCCTAGCTTCTGTAGCCTGCCCATAGTCTGGTTCATCCTAACCCATCATCAGCATCCACGTCATGTGAAGAAAAGCGAGAAACATACCGCTTGTATGTAACATCGTTCGCCAACTTGACTCTAAAACACACATCAGCCTCATCAATCGAGTCCAAAAACTTCGTCTTAAAATAGTAGTAAAAACCCACATCCACAACCTGCCTCCCCCCGTCACCCCATCGTCATCCTCCTTATCCAGCACAACCTCGACATTCTCCCGTCGTACCTTCAACACCACGCCCTCGATCCCCCTCTTCGCCGCCTCCCTCTTCTCCCTTTTCTTCGCACTCGCACCCACCTGCTCCTGCACCGCCACGATATCCCCCACACGGATCCCGTGTTCAGGGATATCCGGGGCCGCGCCTTTGTTTACGACAGCGCCGTCGAGTCCGAGCTCGAGCACGGTTTTGCCGCCCAACCCTGTGCGTATAGAGGTGATGTTAAGGTTTAGGATTGCGAGGCCTGCGCGCGCTAGTGCTGAGGGTGTGTGCGACGTGAGGCGCTCGTTGGTTTCTGAGAGCTCGGCTTCCAGCTCGGCGGAGAGGAGCGTCAGTTGCGTGCTCGCAAACAAGGGGATGTCGGTTGGCTGTGGCATTTTGTTCTGTTTCTTTTTTTTTGCGTCGGTTTGGTTGGTTGTAGTGGTTTGGCGGGCGCTTGGTGGGATGTAGTGGGGTACTTTATTAGTGTGCTCAAGTATTACTTGGGTGCATATCTTTTGTGTGATTTGCAAGCTGTTATAGAGTTTGCTGAGGAATGCTAGCAGGTGACTTTCAAGTACAGCCTTGCATTGTGTGTATGGATGGGAAAATGAATGGTGTCATCGTCATAGTCAATTCAGTGTCGCGTTTTGCGCTAGCCTATCTTAGCCTAGCGCTTCCAGAGGTGTCAAGAGCGCGAGGTCTGCAATGGGAGTATTCATCAGATAGTGAAGAAAATGTCCTTCAGAGCTCGCCTATTACAGCTTATGAACCGAGATATGTTTGGGAATTAAATCCATTTCTGATGGATTTCTGGTGTATAATCCTGTGCATATATTATACAGTCCTGTCCATTACATATGCGGCATGTTAGTACGTTTGTCCTACACAATAGCCCGTGAAATTGTACAACCAAAACTCCTCTGGGGCAGATGAGTTAGTCCCATTTACCCTAACCACTGGTACGCTTTTTTGATCATGCGTCAGCCATTTTTCGTCCGACTCCTTCCTGGATGCAAAGCCCATTATCTGAGATGATGGCCCTATAAACCACCAATCACTGGAGCCCAAACATCCAAGATTTTCCATTGGCTCCCAACTGCTGTAGCTCCCATCGACAGTCTTGCTTGTTTCTATGCTCGCAATGACAACAAGGCCGATCATAAGACCCGTGAACAAAATAGTGTAGAGCCTGTACCATGTGCTGGATATGCACGGTAATATCGTGTTTGTCGTCTTACCTCGGAAGAAGAACAGGGTATAAATGGCGGCAGTTACAGTGGTAAACATGAAATAATACAAACTGAGTAAGAAAGAAGTAGTGGTATAGTATGCCACTCCGCCACCGATACTTGGTACAATGCAGAAAACCGCCAACACCCAAACCGCCCAAAGTATGCCCAGAAAGATGAAGCGAAATATACGGCTGCCCCAGGAGGATTCAGGAGATCTAAAGCCGGCGGATTGAAACCTCGATACTAGTAGCGGGTCTCGCCCAGTACGAGATTCATGGGCATTGATCTCGCTGTCTTTATCAACAGGCCTCGATGAACTTTGCGAAGCCATCTCCCACATAGAGTCTGCCCGCTGCCCATAATCCTGATAAACGTAGTCTTCTGTCAACCATGCGGCAGCGGACAGTCGCAAAAGTCCCAAGATCGCAAGCGGGAAGAAGATTGTATCAACGCCGAATCCGACACGATCAGGAAGCATCGAAGACCCAGTAATGGCTCCAATCAAAATCATAAGGGCTGAAATTCCCTGCAACGTTGTAATGACGGTCTTTAGGGTTGTCAACGAAAGGGGCCTTGCGTGTGTAGTTTCCGGATATCGTAAGCAGTATTGCGCAGTAGCAGAGGCCATGTGTTCACTGCCGTCCCATCCGTTCGAGGTCCAGAATATCGCGTTACTAGCCGCAAAGTCTTGCCGACTCCAATTTATAGCACGAATTCGCCGGTCCGTAATGGCAGCGTAGCGCCAAATGATAGATGTGGGGTTGTAAATACAGATGTGATCGTACCATTTGAGTCGACGATCCGTGAGATATGATATCGCAGGTGCTCCTGAAGCTACGTGCTGTAAAGGGAGACAGTTGTGTCAGTCTACACACAAAGTCTTTTTTTTCCAAACACATGTATTGAGAGCAATACGTACAGCTATTAGTGGCGCGAGACAAAGTGTAAATAACGCGATCCATTCTGAAAAAGTAATGCATTTGCTATTGAAGCTCAAAGGCATGATGTTGATCTCGAAATACGCCATTAGGAATTAGAAAAGAACGTGCAAGAGTTGGGCGGATGGTTTCCAGCAGAAGAGCTGAAGCAGCGAAGCAGCTATGTCCTTTGCCTATATGTAAGAGATATCGATAGACTTTGGGACTGCAGAGCTGAAAAAAGTGATGTGCACAGATTCAACATCCTTGCTGGCCAGGAACAGCGCGCTCCTTTTGTCGGTGTCAGCCTACGGGTGCATGCAGGTGGGGCGTAGGACCTCGGGTGGAGCCTGGTTCAAGGCGATGGATTTACCACCAAACTTTGGCTATCATGTTGTTGCCAAATGTTGAAAATGTATAACAGGAATGTGTGTCTTTTTGAATGTGGGATCATGTCTTACCATCCCATTCAAGCGAATTGCCAATGCTTGGTGTGACCATTGTATGCAAGGCTGATGGGTATAGGAGACATCATCCTGCTGTCCGCCTAAAGTGGATCAACCAATTATCTCGTGTTTGTAGCCGAGGGGGGCTGAAAGCTGTGAGTAACTCAGCCGCACAAGACCTCGCATTTACCCGAGAGCGTACGCAACACCATTATCGAGTTTGGATGTAGAACAAGCTCGCTTGCGATAAGAGCTGATTAAGCATTTCATGCGCAGATAGCAATTTTCAACGACTATTGGGCCGCCATGTTGTGATGGACGTGCTTCTGTGATGGTGTTGCTTGAGCATTTCGTCATCATCAACCCATTTAGTAACAGACGAAATGTATCGGTGATCAACACACCTACAGAATCCTGCGGCATCGCGGTCCGGATAGTGGAGACTGGCTCTTGTAGAAAGAAATCAACCCCTTTTTCCTACGGACAACATGCGAAGAGGATTAGACCCTTAAAATAGATCGGACGAATACGAGTATACTTATCGATAAGATGTCGAACATGGATCGTCTCACGTGACTCTGAAGAGTATCATCGTAAGAATGGCTTGCAATAGTTGAAAATAAGCACTAATGTCGATTCTTTCCCCAAACTTCAGAAGACAAAGAAGATCTCGCTTTCTTTCTATGTCATTGGTGGCAGCTGCTAGAATGCATAATCGACATTTGATGCTCGCCCTCATCACGAGTGCTTGTTACTTACTGGAAAAAGTAATAAAGAAAAGCAAAGCGACAATATCAACGCCTGCCTTCCTCTCTTGTCTACGGCCGTACAGAAATTTGAGGGCGCGACTGATCATGACCCAGGATCCCTTGAGTACATTGTCCCCAGAGAAGCTATATTTCTTCGGCAGGAAACATACCCCACAAGTCGTCGTATGCTTCGCAGAAATCCCCGTGGACGGCTATGAGCAGCCGAAATCTCTTGGCCAATTGAATGCAGGTTCCTGTTGCCAAGGATGGCTGCTTACTCCATGATTGTACTGCCAGACGCCCGGACATTGTTCGTTGTAGGGTTGATCTTCCGTCACGTTGTCACATGTGGTATAAATTTTTGCTCTACACCGACAAAGAAAATGTACCGAGGCGTCTATTGTTAATTAACAATACTTGGGAATGCATCGGCAGTCTAGTTTAGTCAGAGTATGGGGAAACCACCCCTGTCCGCTACCCCGCATATTGAGCCACGCGGAACTACCCAAGCCAATCCGTAGAGGAAATACCTCCGCCGTTAATGCATTGACAGATGACAACTAGCCAAGCTTCGGATCTTCTACGGAAAACGGATTGGGACTACACTTTGCTGGCAGGGATAACGATGCCCGTACTATCCATCCCACTACATACGTCACCACTTACTAAAGTACATGAATCGTGTTCAATCACACCTTTTCGACAAATTGTTCCTGTCCAGAAGGTGGAGAATATGAAGAGTTTGCAAGAATCAATTTTTCCACCCTTCATTTCATTTCTATCGGAACCATTCGCCAGACTATATTTATGGTGTGCCAAATTCGTCCGATCAGTGATTGCTAGCCCCATGACCTACGAAGTAGTACGAGTAAGCGCCCCAAGCCATGTAATAATAGCCCAGTCCTCTTCTGGATACTTCCCCTGGTTGATGTGTAGCGCGATTTGATCTGATAGATTATATTCATCGTTTCTACAAACCCTACTGCTCACGCGAGACTGATGGAGGGTACTTCACCCAATAGAGGCCGACCTGCACTCCAGGAACCAGGGAAGTATTTATCGGAGCAGGGTTACTTTTAAGATCACGGTAAATCTGGGAGTCGTATTGAGAGTCCGCAGAGGATCCATCACATGGACATCGTCGATGTACCTTTTGCCCGAGGTTGGTGCCTGAGAAAGGGACTTGCTTGCTTGTGAAATTGGATCCATGAAGTGGTTAAGTACCATGCTACTTGGCTGTTGATGAGAAATTCACAAAGCTTTTCAACTTCACTTTGTGCCACAGCAGGGTTTGTCGAAAAGAGTATCCCATCATGAAGTTTCTAGCGGCCCTAGCTCTCCTCCCATTGGCCTACGCGGCTCCAGCGAACATCGCCAAGCGTGCAAATCCTACAGTGATTGCACCTTTACCCAAAGCCACTATTGTCGGTGTCGATGCACTAAATGTTGAGTCTTTCAAAGGGATACCCTACGCACAGCCACCTATCAACCAACTACGACTCAAGCCACCTCAACCATTGACGGCTGACCTTGGAAGAGTCGACGGTACCGGCCAACCAAAAGCATGCCCCCAATTCCTCCTTAGCGTAGACGGTTCAAGCATTCCCGCTAATGTTCTGGGAAACATACTCAACATTCCCTTCTTCCAAACAGTTACCAATGCTGGAGAAGACTGTTTAACCATCAACGTGCAGCGGCCAGCTGGCACAAAGCCTGACGCTAAACTACCAGTACTTTTCTGGATTTTTGGCGGCGGCTTCCAACTTGGCTCAACTCAAATGTACGATGGAACCAGCCTAGTCCGTGAATCTGTTGAACAAGGCAAACCCATTATCTTCGTGGCTGTCAACTACCGCGTCGGAGGATTTGGCTTCTTGCCTGGAAAAGAAGTCCTCCAGGACGGCTCTGCTAACCTTGGATTACTCGATCAACGACTAGGATTGGAATGGGTCCAAGAAAACATTGCTGCCTTTGGTGGTGATCCAACCAAGGTCACAATATGGGGAGAGAGCGCTGGCTCCATTTCAGTGATGGACCAGATGCTACTTTACGATGGTGACAACACCTACAAGGGTAAACCTCTCTTCAGGGCGGGAATCATGAACTCCGGCTCGGTTGTTCCTGCCGATCCCGTAGATTGTCCAAAGGGCCAAGCTGTCTATAACAAGGTCAGTTCTCCACTCGCCAAGCACATCATTCTGACGCTAATTATATGACAGGTCGTCGAGGAAGCCGGATGTAAGAGCGCAGCTGACACTCTGGCATGTCTCCGCACAACCCCATACACCAAATTCCTCAATGCTGCCAATAGCGTCCCAAGTCTCGCATCTTACTCTACAGTAAATTTGTCCTACCTTCCACGTCCCGATGGAAAGACTCTTACAGACTCACCTGATATCCTGGTGAGAGCCGGAAAGTACACCAAGGTCCCCTTCATCGCCGGTACCCAAGAAGACGAGGGAACATTATTCGGCATTTTCACCCTCAATATCACCACAACAAGCCAACTCACAAACTACCTATCCACCCAGTTCTTCAACAGCGCCACACGGCAACAAGTCGAAGATCTAGTCAGCAGCTACCAGACCACCACCGAAGACGGATCACCCTTCCGCACTGGCTTGCTTAACAACTTCACACCCCAATTCAAGCGCGTCACCGCCATCATCGGCGACCTCACCTTCATCTTGACCCGCCGCCTCCTCTCCGAGATCCACACACAAGTGAACCCAGGCGTGCCCTCATGGTCCTACATCGCGACCTACGACTACGGCACCCCACTCCTCGGTACCTTCCACGCTTCAGACCTTATCCAAGTCTTCTTTGGTATCCTCCCCAACAACGCCCGCAAGACAATCAGAGGCTACTACTTCTCCTTCGTCCACAACCTCGATCCTAATGTCGGTAACGACTTTGGCAACTGGCCGCAGTGGAGCCAGGGCAAGAAGCTGATTAATTTCGGGGCGAATAGCAATAGCTACACCGACGATACCTTTCGATCGGATTCGTACGATGTAGTGAAGAAGAACGTCGATAGCTTCAAAGTCTGAGAGCTAGGCTGGGGGTTGTTCCTTCACTCTCGTGATAGTGGTAGAAAAATTTCATTCAAGTGTTCCTGTGTAATTGCGTGCCTACAATATGTGTGATTATTGAAACGACTAGCTGTGTTTGGGGTGGTTGTCTGTGCACTCACTGCGGCTGCTCCGACGTAACTGTTGTCGTTGGATATCCGTCGCATCAACGAGCTCGACTTTGCTGCCTCGGCACAATAAGGGCGTATTTTCGTTGGTCTCTCCGGCATTATCCCCGCTTGTGATGCTTCGAGAACGGGATGGGCCGTCCAGTTTGCTGCAGGCTGATACCCAGGCACAAAAGTACATGATTCTTAGGATATTGTTGCAACTGCCAATTTTTTTTTCATTTTAATCACCACAGCTCAATGATTATCCCGTTCGATTTCAGCCTTGAGCCAAGAGCTCTTGTATTTCCTTGGTACTTCACGATAATAGTGAAGCGTGAATGAACTTGGCTCTTCATGCCTCAGTGATCAGGATGACTAGCTGGGAATGTTGATGTTTCACGATGCTCCTCAAACGCAAAAAAAGGTGTTACGAGCCAGTCATCTACGCCTCGACTGTACAACACCATCAAGCGTAGAAATACTACAAAAAAAGATGTTGAAGCTCATATGAGCTCCGGCTTTGACTCAGCCGAGGTTTGAACTCGGGACCTTCAGTGGGCCTAACAGGTTGTTAGACTGACGTGATAACCAACTACACCACCGAGCCTTGTTCGATGAAAATTTTGGAATTTGAAAAATTTATATTGGAGTAGAAAAAGACGATCGTGAGCAATCGAACGTTGAACCACATCGGTGGTTTCTACCAGGACTTTGGGGAGTTTGTGAAATTTTTGCATAGCGCGGGGTTGTTGTTGCGGGTCCGCTCGAACAGCCCTGCTCCACTGCGGAAAGCTCCTTCTCCCGAGAGCTTTTGGTACAAGTGACAAGTTGAGGTTCCAGGTCTTGCCCAGTAGCTTAACACCTGAGAATGGTTCTGGAACTATTGTGTGTTCAAAGCATTTCAAACAGGCGTGAAGTATTGTGGCGCGTATACGCGCTCCTCTGTGACGGCGACAGCAGCCACTGGAAAATTCCGCCACACGTGTGATTCAAGAAGGTTGAAGTACATGGTGTTTCAAGTCGGCACAAAGTGTTCCGTTGAAACGGCTGCTGCATGTGCAGGGTATCTCGAGATCTCCTTTAGTTCGTGCCACTTAGCGACTAACTAGAACTGGCTTAGTTGCCAGCATCGCGCAATCTCAAGTACCGCTCGGAAACCTACCGCTCGGAAACGGCGCCCATGTAAACTTGAATAGAGTTTGGTAACGACCCGTGGGGATGTACCCGTCCTCTGGAATTATCAACGGTCTTGGTACAGCTGGGCGGATGCTTGAACGCGATATGCGTCATAAGACGAAGAGCCAGAGAAGCTCTTCGATACAACTCGGCAAATCGTCCTCGGAAATATACACGCGACCGCTAGCAGGGATACACTTTGGTGGTGGCAAAAACTGCCAGTGCAGGAGGAGTTCGAAGGTCGAGACTGCGCGCAGAGGGGAACTGAGGGAACCCCAGACGAACACCACCGTCTCTTGCTGCCTTTCTCCTTTCCTCGCCCCCGCCGCACTAGTTTCCCCCCTCTATAGGGCCCGACACGTCCCCTGAACAATCGCAGTTAAGTCTGATATCAAGCCACTGAGCCTTAATATCTGGAGTATATCTTAAAATGGCGATGGAGCTACAAGTGCGATCGGCGGTAATGTAGGCACGCGTCAGTCTCCGCAGAAGGTTGCCCATTCACAAGAAGCAGCACCTCAGGCCTCGATATCAGGCCCCACTATGTGTCTGGAGAGGGAGCAAGTTCAGCGGCCTCCCCATAGGCCAAGCATTTCAAGTGTTGCAACTTGGTTGGATTTAAGCCATGAACGGAGTCGCTTGGCTCCACAAGTCAACATTACGCGAAGCAACTGTCACGTCTTGAAATCTCCCACTACGTTTCCGAGTCGTAGCCCTGGTCATCCGCTCCACGCAGCTAAGACGCCAAGTGTTGCGTTGGAGGCTTAGCCTTTTGCAAGCACATCGCCGAGCCATGTCAGTCTGGATCCCTTTGACCCTCAGACCAACACCCACGAAATTCAACCACCCGTGCCTGAGGCGACGGCTATTGTTACCCGTTGCGGTAGGCGACCCTCCCAAGCGCCTCTTTGCTAGAATCTCCGCTTCACATATACTTGGCAATCCAGCCTTGTGGAGCAGCGACAGGCTTGGAAGCTCAAGCATTGCTGCTCAACCCGCGATTTACAGGTGTCATGGCCTTGGGTTCAGCTTGGCAACACTCATGGTTCTCCATGATCAGTCATCGGACTTGACGTCTTCAAGGGTATTCTGCTTGGCGATGTCCATGAAGTACGGCTGCTATGCAATTACTATCCAGTGTTGATTCGAATCGTTGCTACCGTCCCCGCACTAAACAGTTGGGCTATAGAAGCGTCTTACCAGTCTAACTTCAAGACTAGCTATACTCCGCAGGCGATCATTGAGGCCCCCATCAATATTGAGGCCTCGGCCTTTGGTGAGGTCAAAGACCCTGGCTATTGGCCCGCTTTGGTCATTATCCCTGTGCATTGAACTCGCCAGCTAGCATGAATTCTGCACTAGCCTTCCCTTACAACAGTTCTGACCCAACATCAAACAGTCGAGGAAGCTTGGCAACGCTGGTCTGGGAAGTAAAGCTCTGCCATGCTGTGCTTGTAGGACTTGGCACAGCTTCATGAAAGTTTCATACCACTTTGAAGCTGGTTAACGTATCTTGGCAGAGGATGTGACAGTGCTCGTCCGTGGTCACGATTGAAGTTGGGTATACACAGTATAAGAAGATGTTGAATCCACACTCTTCTGTTCTTCAGTCCGGTCACTCACTTTCACTTCTTCACATACTCTTCATTCACTATCCTCGCCGTGCGAAGTAATTTACTTACTACAATCATCTATTCTATATTTTTGTGAATCATCACTACCCGACAACTCCTATCTTTTACTCTTTAATCGAAAGATTCAGAAAACCTTTAACTCGCAAACATGCTTCCTCAACACATCCTCGTTGCGCTCGTCGCCACCGTCGCTGCCGTCCCCCTTAACATCAACTTGGGAGCTTACTCGCCTGCCTTGGTGGTCGGTGATGGTGAAATCTCGCTGGGATCAACAGAATCAGCATCAGAACTGATGGCTACATTGGCTTCGGGAGCCGCAGCAAAGGCCGGAGGAGAAGCCGCCGCACAAGGTCAGCAAGAACCCGCTCCCGCAGCTGGCGGGGAGCAACCTGCAGGACAACCAGCTGAAGGTGCACCAGCCAAACGATCCAACCTCCGTCGCGCGATCAACGACATCATCGCCAAGCGCGCTCCCGTCGAGCCCAAGATGGAGGCCGTCGAGGAGGCCATGCAGTGGATCAAGCGCGATCTCGCTGGTTTCAACGCTGCGCTCAGCTACGCCAAGGAGGCCCTCAAGGACCAGCCCAAGGTCGAGCTCGGCACCGAGAACGCCGGTGTCGGTATTATTGTCAACCCTGGTGTCAACGTTCCCGCTGGCTCTGCTGCTGCCGGTGCCTCGGGCAAGAAGGAGAAGCGCGACGAAGTCGTCGAGGAGCAGGATGCGCCCAAGATGACTCTTGTCGCCATCACCGAAGTCTAAGTAATATGCTTATCACTTTGGCCTTTTCCTCCCTCGGCACTCTTTTTCTTCCTCTCGCAGTTGCCAGTGGGATGACGTTAAAACGGACTTGAGCGCGGAGTTTTTTTTTGTTTCCTTTTCTTTTACCGGCGAGTATCGCCAGGTCTCATGTATACAAACGGATCTGGAAATTGAGGAGTTTTTCATTGGGTGGGGTTATGAATGGATATTGATTGTAGGGAAGGGGCAAAAAACGACGCTTGGATTGTGAATGTGTTGGAGGATTTAAAATTTCAAATCTCAAATCTTTTGATGAGAAATATTCTTTTCTTGCAAATCTGGCTTCGAATCGTGATGAATCTCCAGCCTCTTGGTACATCGATAACTTCACACCTGTTTTTTTGGGATATCCGATAAACTACAGATCCGAAAACTTCATGGCAGGCACCGGTTGACAGATGCGACTGTTCGCCCTGTTATGCGGTGGAGTCGCGTACGTACCCAGTGACTTACCGAATCTAGCAAAACTGCGATCCTTGAGACGCGACATTCGGCACCTTCCGTCTTCGAATTAAGCTACAAAACCAAGTCGCAGCCAAGTCTCAGTAACGTCGTACTGAGTCTCGGCAGGCTGCCAGCGATTCATGGTTCATCGCGGACCATGAAACATACGCTTGGCGGAGATGCGGGTGGTAGGAGTGCGGTATTTATTCTTCACGAGCAATAGCAGAATGATTATTATGAAAATTGACGGAACCGGATGTGGTAATCCCATGGATTTAATTCAAGTGTTGATGGCAGTCGGGGAATTCCTGCCGCCACAAAGGTGCTGTTACGAGTAAGGAACCTTCTGTCTCAACCTTGCGCGCTATCCACGCTGCCAGAACTTCCAGCTCTTGCCCTTATCCTTTTTTTCCGCACTTCCAACCACATTACCTACCACCTTTTGATCCATTTGGTCGAGCTTGTAGTTTTTGAGGAAGAATGTTAATGGCAGAATAGGCGCAGCACAACAAAGAGCACCGATCAGGAGGTAACGCATCGTCTCTTGGTATGCCCTATTGATCGCAATGCGAACAGGTGAGCCAGGTGGATAGGTGGCGTAATCTGCAGCTATTGTAATACTGCCGTAGATTGTTGCCCAGTCTGCTGCATTTGCTTCAGGGAGGTACTGCTGAAGCTTTGCAGGAATGTACGTTGACCAAATAGCGCCCGAGATAGCCGATCCAACAGCACCACCAACTTCAAGGAGCGTAAGCCATACGGTTGTTGCCGCTGCAACTTGTTGATGCGAAGCCGATGCTTGGACACCGAGTTGTACCGGGACGTTGAGAAAACCACCGCCGATACCGATGACGATCTGAGTACCTACAAGCGTAGCCGTAGACGCGTCTTGCGTGCGGTAGGCTAGCATGAGGCCCATCCCTAAGAGGTAGATGGCAGAACCACAAGTCACATAGTACTTGTAATGGCCAGTATACTTGATCATGAGCGAGACCACGACCGACGAGACTGTCGAACTGAAGCTGAATACTCGGGTGATATAGCTGGCGGCAGTAAGGGACTGGCCCTGAACGATCTGGAGATAAGAGTAGAAGTACGGGAAGACCGACATGTAGAATGCCACTGTCAAATGCTCAGTAATGTTTAATAGTCAAGTTCGGTTGTGACTTACTGAAGTAGAAGAACGCTATCAAGACACCCGCAATAATGGTTCGCTCTTTGAACAACCCGGGTGGGAAGAATGCTATCGGTGCTAGCTTCTTACTAGTCTCCCACAACGGAAACAAGAGTAGCAACACACCACCAACTACAAGCATAGCGATCATGCTTGGGTTGGTCCACTTCCCGTCGGCATTTGGAGCTAGCGTGAGTGGCAATAAGATCAAAGAGATGGCAGCAGCAAATAGTAGCAGCCCGCCAGCATCAAGGTCAAACCAGATATTCTTGATGACTTGAAAGGCGCTACTGCCTCGAAACGGGCTGGGAACTTCAAAGCCCAGTTTTTTCGCTCGCCGTTGGTTCGTGAAGAGGCTGACTGCTAGTGGGATGAAACAAACGGGCAGAATGATAGCCCAGATACCATATCCCCATCGCCAAGTAGTATTTTTGAGAATCGACTGTCCGACCTCCGGTCCAGCCCATGTCGTCCATAGAAAGGGTAAGTCGAACAGGGTTGAGAAGAGTGCACGGTTCAACAAGTCCGTGGTGTCGGCTACGAAGATCTGCTGCAAGACCTGCAATCCGTTGAAGCCAATCGACCAGAATATTTGCGCGCCAGCAAATGTTTGAACACTATTCGAGGCGGCCTGCATGATATAGCCAAGAGTGTACAGAGTGACGATGATAGTAAAGGATTCCAGGCGACCGAAAACATCAGCGATCTTTCCTGCTGGAGGTTTGATGACAGCTACATAACTTCATTATTGGCTGCTCGTGGACACGGAATCATGGGCACTTACAGGCGACCACACCCTGCACAACGGTGACAGTAGAAACCAGAGAATGTGCGGAAAAAGCACTTGTCGCAAATGGTACCAAGGCACCCGTGACTTGAATCTCGAGGGAGGTAACGTTGGCGATGAGGAGAAGGCTGGACACAATGTTAGTCTGACGACAATGTATCAAGAACAACCAACTTACGAGACATAGGCGACGATTAGTGATGCCTTTGTCCACGCCTTACTCACAGCCTCGATGCGCTTTACACCAGCCTGAGTGGTACCATCACCCGAAGTTTCGCCCGGAAAAGTTTCGTGGCCGTAATCCGCATCCTTGCCAAATTCTGGATGCTCAGTCCGATTCTGAAGAACTTGGCCATCAACACCCTCATCAGGCCGCATCGAGTCCCTCATAGTCGCATCCAAAATCAAAAAGTTGAATCAGTGGTGAGAGGACGCGTCGAAAATCGAGTTTTCGCGCAAAACTCCCAAGACAACGGTACGGCTGGGACGCTACTTTATCTGATCGACCCTGCGTTGCAACCTTGCTGATTCACCCCGAACGGGTTGACCGACAGCGGTGTGCTATTGGCAATTCATTTTACCGCCAAGCAGAGCGGTGACTTGGCCGACGAGACCTTCACCACGCGACCTTGCCTCAGCCCATCCCGCAAGTCTGTGCGATGACCACATGGCGCACCCATGTACCGCGTGTTAGGATCTTATAGTTCACTAACTAGTGATAAGGCCCATCTTATCTGATCTTTCTGGCTGGAGGACGTTCTTGGCGTGAAAGGTGGCGGCTTGGAATGCCGAGACTATGTGCAAGCTAGGCTCGATGGTTTTTTTCTTGGGCGGCCTAAGGAAATCGTGTTTCGGCAAGACCGAAATCCATTTTATGTTTGTTGATGTTGCCTCACGGTATGTACACTGCTGCTGTCAGCGCTGAATGAGGTTACGTGAAATGCTAAAACATGTGGTGTGAGGAGATACAAGACCAATGCAGTGACCCCCGAGCTCTTTAAACATTACCTTACAGATGAGCACCCCATGACATGGCGCTGTCTGACCCAAAATTTCCCCAACACTCAGCTGTCCACTCCTCGCAGCATTGACAGTGCTGTGATCTGCCAAAGTCAAGGCTCCAGGATCGTTGTTCAGCCGAATCATCCGAAGCGGGATTGTCTTCACGTGCCTAAAGCATGCCATCGACAACACCATGCCATGTCGAAAACAGTTGACAATCCTTGAGTGAACGCTCATGTATTTCACGATGTCAAAGTGCTGATAACATATGTATTTGCTCATTAGGTGGGCCATGTGGGCTAGAGGGGACGTATTAATGTACATACATGACAAACGAGATGGGATTGCTCTACCTCACCGCAGGACAACCCCCGCAAGTAATCGCACCAATTATCCTAATTACGGTTCCATATCTTTATCCTTTGCTGGGGCTTCCCTGTTCGCTTCCCCATTGGTATCACTGTCCCGGGAACTCCTCTCTATCTCTCCTGCATTGGCGCCATTCTGGACGCCACCCTCGCCGCTCGCAACCTCCTTCTTCAACGCCAACTCTGGATTCAACGCCTCAAGCTGCTGCCTTGTCTTACTGTTCATCTCTTCTAGACTAGGTACTACCCACTTTGAGCTTTCCCAAGGCTTGACTCCCATCAAGTACATCGTATCGATCTCCTCCAGAGTGCGGCCTTGGCCCTCGATAACGAAAAAGTAGACGATGAGGCCGCCAAGTATATTAGTTCCAGCAAAGACGTAGCCATAGCGGAAGTCGATAGCGCCAGTAATGAACGGAGTGAAGAAGGCCAATAGGAAATTCCAGAACCAATTTGATGCTGTTGACAAGGCCATGGCTTTTGCGCGGTAACGGCTGGGGTACAGCTCACCACAGATTGTCCAGCTTATCAACCATCAGCAAATTACATCCTAAAGAAGGAAGGCATACTCACATCATCGGGCCCCAAGTCGTCGCAAATCCAAAAATGAAGAAACAGGCAAAGCAAATCATAGCCGTTGCCGCGCTCTCGGTATTCTCTGGGTTCTGTCGATCCAGCGAAAAGTGGCCAACAGACGCAAAGATCAAAAAACAGATGAACATCCAGCACGAACCAGCAATCAATGACCTGCGGCGACCATAGTGTTCAACGATATACAGGCCGTAGAAAGTGACCCCGAAGTTTATGCCATTCTGCCAATGATTAGTCTGGATCTCGAGTGATTTTTTGGATCAGGAAAACTAACAAGGATCATCTGTGTTACGAACGAATTCTTGATACCAGTACCTGCGAAAACAGTGGTGCCATAGTAGAAGCTTCAAAGTGTCAGTATAGTCTCTAGGAATATGGGCAGATACTAACAAGTAGTTGGCTCCTGTCAGTTGCTGGAACATCTGTAATCCCATACCGATCGCAATACGATATGCCATCTTCGGCGCTGACCACATGCCGATCCATTCTTGAATAGGATTATTAGTGATTTTGCTCTCAGCTTCCAACTTCTCCCGCATTTCCTGCAGTTCCATTTGGATGGCGTAATTGTTTTCGGGTACACCATATACATCGACCATCGTCTTGGTAGCTTTGTCCACTCTACCATGGCGGAAATTGAAACGGGGCGTTTCATCAAACCACAAAATACCGACGGCGAGAATAGCAGCGGGCACGAATGAAAGTCCCAATGTGATCAGCCACGAAGCCTTTTTACCAGATTGGTGCTTTTCAGCTGCATAGTTGAAGACGGCAGCGAGGAAAATACCAAAGGTAATCATGAGCTGGTACGTTGAGATGAGAGCGCCACGAATATGGCGCGGCGCCGTTTCCGCCTGCACGTCATTAGCCCTCGGTACATCTATCGGTCACCACGACTATACATACCTGGTACATGGGCACGAGCAAACTCATAGCCCCGACTCCCAAACCAGCAACAAATCTGCCCATCATGATCTGGTACCATTTGTCGGTTGCAGTCATTTGTACTATGAAACCCACAGAAAGGATGCCACACCAGGCAATGATACTCATCTTCCTACCAATCTTATCTGCAATCGGTGCCGCAATGAGCGCTCCAAACAGTGTGCCAATGGAAAGCAAAGCGACAATGAGACCCGACCTCACGTTGGAGAAGTAAAGGTCGCCATTGCGGCGTCTCTGACCGAAGCGACGTCGGAAGTCGACCATCTCCAGGAAGCCAGAGATTTGACCAGTGTCATAGCTGCGCAACCATGGACGTTAGCGAAAAAGCGGAGTGGCGCAGCAATAGAAGAAGGGAAGTGATGAGACGACATAGCGAAGAAGAGAGGGATATCCATACCCAAACACGAAACCTCCCATTGATACCAAAACACCCATCCCCAATCCCGCCCGGGTGAAGCGAGGCAACGGCGTATTATCATATCCAGGATGCTCACCCACCCACCGCGACGATTTCTCCAGCGGGCCACTACCTGTCAACCCCTTGATCTTCTCCTTGATCTTATTCATTACTATTTCCCTCTGTCAAATCTCTTTCTTACAATTAACTTAGTAGTAGATCTGAGTACAGGTTCAAAAAAGAACTCAGGCGTAACAAGGCATTCTTACAGATCTTCTACATTGCGTAACCCACCCCGCCTTATATACCTGAGTCCTTCGCAGGCAACCCATTTTTCAACTCGGAATTCGGGATATCAATCCGCGCTTGCTCGCTGCTGACTGCATGTTCATTCATCTTCTTTCCCCGCTTCCTGACACCCCCCGTGGCCACGAGACCGGGTATTGGATGGTGTGCGATGGCGATGGCGACGGCGACGTGTGTGTGGGGCGGAAGGGTGCGGATGGTACTGTAGTAATACTGCTGATTCGGTGCATCATGTGGCTTTGAAGAACCGTTCTTGAATCGTTACTGCTGGGGTGGTGTGATCGTGGTTTGGACGGATGGATCTGGGGAACGCGAGGAGAGAGATAGAGAAATGAAGAGTAACCTACCAACAGTATCAACATTTGCTCTTCACATCTTCACATCACATATACAGAGATTCCACAAGGATACAATACTACTACTACATAAACCTAATGCAGTAACTATCCACTATCGTACAACCCTCCCCCGGTGCTCCGCCCCCTCAACCACCCCAATAAACCCACCAAACCAATCACCCACCCACTGACGTCACACCCCGCTGACGCGCCCCCCAATCAAAAAAGCTACGCCCTTACAAAGCTTACCCACCGAAGCATTTTGCCCTTGACCAACCTTCTAGAAGCCCGTTAAGCGGGTACGTAGCGTGACACAACCGGGCGGGCGGCGTATCCGCTCGCTTCCGGTTCGTACAATGCATACATGGCAGCGAGAGGGTTCTCAAGTATCACGACATAGCTCGTGACGCGGTGTAGAGGGGGGGCGTGGGGATTGGGCAAACGAGATGGCGAGGAGGTGTAGAGTGAGATTCTGGGCCTGGGAGACGGAGGAGAGGGGGGTTTTGGGGATAGTGTGGGTTGGTGGATGGGATCGGATCGAGTGCGGGTATGGGGATTTTGGGGAGGTAGGGTGATGGGAGGGTGATGAGAAGTTCTTGTCCGGGATTCGTCCAGAGGGGTTGACTGGTTTATGCAACGGCGGTGTCTTTGATAGTCTTGGTCCTGGTTGGAAGTTGTGGTGCAGGAAGATGTATGCAGTATGCAATGCATGTCATGACTCCAGAACTAGAGGCCTTGTTGTACACTAATATTTGCTTGATTTGAAGAGCCAATGCTTTTCAATTGGGCATCCGAGTCTACGGTAATGTGTAGCCACCATCAATCACCAAATTCGCACCCGCTGTGTCATTAGTTAGCTTTCATATATCCCAACTAACCCCCAGCGCAGCAGACCAAAAAATAAAACAGGGGAGAAATTACGTAGGGGGAAATTGACTTACTCATATAACTACTCGCATCACTCGCCAAAAACACATATGCCCCCTTCAACTCCCCAGGATCACACAGCCTCCCCGCAGGCACCATACTCAACCACTTCTCCCTCCACGCCCTCGGATGTACATCGAGCATATCCGTATCTATGAACCCAGGAGATATACAATTGACACGCGCGAACTCCACCCACTCGACACTCAGACACCGCGCTAGCTGCACGACAGCCGCTTTGGACGCATTGTACGCGGCCTGTTTCTGAGGCACATTGACCAAGATGGCGGAGACGCTGGCGGTGAAAATGACGTTGCCGTGGCCCTGAGCTTTGAAGATGACGCCAGCGGCTTGTGCGGTGTAGAAGGCGCCGTCGAGATTAATGGACATGATGTGGCGCCATTGTTCCTCGGTGTAGTCTTCAGCTGGACGGTGGTTTGCGATGCCCGCATTCGCAACGACGATGTCTAGGCCGCCGAAGTCTTTTGCAATTGTGTTAATTACGTTGTTTATTTCGTCTTTGTTTTCGACGGAGGCTTTGTAAGCTTTTACTGTTGCGCCGGTGCTGGAGGCGATGCGCGCGGCGATGGCGTCGGCATCTTTGGTGCTCGAGTAGAGGATAGCGACGTTGGCACCTGCTTCAGCGAGGGCTTGCGAAGCTGCGAGGCCGATGCCTCGGACGCCTCCCGTTACAGCAGCGGTTTTGCCCTTGAGGGAGAAGAGGGAATGCACTGGGGCATCGGTGTTGGATGGTTTGGCGAGAGGCATTGTGGATGGTTGAGATCAATCGCGATGCGGATGCGCAAAGTTGCACTGAGGGGTAAGAAAAGTATTCATGATAAGTTTTCCCTTATCGATGGATCAGCATCTCGAAGTGGGTATACCTGCTCTTCTTTCAATCCATGCTGGCTTCAAGTGCGTTGGCATAGGACTAGGGAGTGCGTTAGGGACCCACCCCGCATCAGATTGACGGACTCCAGTTCCCCCGCATTTGTGCCTCATAAGCCCCAAATCTTGACCTATTGCACAGAATTCAACAAGGAAATTGGCACAATTGAACTCGAAAAGCTTCACCAGTCATTCTAAGCAGGCAAAATGTCATGGGTTGGAAGAACAACATAGTGTTTTATTGTCTGTTCAACATCTCTCCAAGGATCACATCGTCTTTTTCTCCGGAAAGGAATGTCTAAAACTGGAGGGAAATGCAAAGATTCCTGACTAATTGTGAGCATTATATGATGTAGAGTTTGGAGAGAAACAAGATGCGTTCTATCAGCAGGAGATTTGAGGTGGTTCAGGCCTTGTTAATAGTACAAGCTCCGCTTCATATCTTGCACGTCCGGGACTGCCTGTTAAGGAAAGTCCGTCGTACTTTATCTTGCCGAAAATCAAGTATCAGAGAACAACATCGGCGCATTGAGCACGAAATATATGTTCATCGACAGGAGGGTATGACTTATGGTGTACGCAGAAGCAGGCGTTTACAGCAGCTTTCAGATCAGCTGTCCCTAGATTGAGAATATTCCAGGATGCAGTGTATAGTCAGATTATGTTGTCTAGTGAGGTTATGTCAAGGTTGCGTGCCAGAGTGGAGTAATCTCAACATTGTAGCACCCGAACCGAGTCCCAGGTAGCCGGTCCTATTTTCTTTGACTATCAGTTCATGTCATCAACTATCTGTTCTTCATCAGCTGACAAGAGAGAGGCAATTGTACCGCCAATATCCGTCTTGGCTCGAGCGCTGCCCTACCATTGCCCATCCCAAGTGAAGTCGGACGGGCCAGAAGGCGGAGCCTTGATCGAAACGCCGATAAGCGAGTCACCATTTGTTGCATCCGTGATCGCATTGTAGGGTTGGGCAGGTGCTCCTACTGCGTATATCGTTACTCTAGGCTGCTTCTAAATGCCACATGCGCGCTTTGGTGGCTTGGATGCACTGCTTGGCCCGAGCGACTCGGGCTGTGATCGACGAAGCTGTTGGTCAACCCGAGTCAGATTTTTGTGTGTCAACGGCGTCCTGTTATGCTGTTCGTATAGGTAATGTGTTGGGGGCCTTTTGCAAGGCTCGTATTCGGGCAGTGACTTAGCAAATCGGGCCTTTCGTCGGCTACACTTATTGCAGACTTGGGTGCGGTAGAGGCCGGCATCCTCTAGGCTGCTGGTGCTGTCCATATATGTGAGGCATCAGGATTGAGGGTGGTGACAGTGTTGTAATGAAGTCTGAAATCGATTGGTAGTGTTGCGGGGTTGAGATCAGGGTTCACTGACTAGCAAGTCAGGGCATTCCGGGAGGCGATTCATTCCCATTACAAGCATGAAACCGATGATCAGCATATAGGGCCTGTTCTCAGAGATAAAATCATTTTACAAGGTTGATGAACTCTGTAATGTAAATTTAAATGCTGATTGTTGCATTATGTACAGCCATGCCCCAAAACTCCCTGACGCCTGCTTCCATGCATAGTAAAAAGCTTGACTGCATCCCTTATGCCTTTGCTTGCGTCTTCTGCCATTTGAGAACCCGTTTCCTGATGTCTGCTGCTGTCTGTTGCATGGGATTGAGTTTGAGGTCTCTCGCCATCTTAGCGTAGTCGTCGCCGTACTTGTTGACCAATCGCTCGACCCATTCTTGTTCTCGCTGGCTCTGGCCTCTAGGTGCTTTTCTTGCGCCATTCATTGCTGCCTCTTCCAGCTGCTTGATGACTGGGTTCTCCGGTTCATCCTCCTTGTGTTCAGGCACCATTGCGAATCCGTTCCATTCCATTTCTTCGCCATCCTCAATCTCGACTAGCGGGTCATTAAATGGATTGTTCTTCTTCTCGAGCGTGCCGACGACTCGAAGAATGGCACCAGTCTCGGGATCGCGCTCGACTTCAATCTCCTCTGTGGGGATGTTTTCGGGTTTCTTCGCTTTGGAGACAATATTCAGAGCATTCGCGGTACTCCCGGCGGCTGTGTCGGCGCGCGATGATTTTTCGTCGTTAAGGCCAAGGAGAGCAATGGTCTTTTCTGTGCCGCCAGTGGCATGATTGAGGCGCGCCGTAAGGCCGAGACGGCGATAATTCTGCGACAGCGTTTCTTTTTGGTTCCTGGGGTAATAGTTAGATTCCACGATGATGTTGAATGTAAAAGCGCATAGTACCAGTGCTTCGCTATGATAGGGTTCTGCAGGATCTTCTTCTTGGAAGGTCCCTTTTGGCGCTTCTTTGGGATTGAAGACTTATTCTTCTTCTTCTGGAGCTCGCGACCCATCTCGACTAGATTGGAATGTGGTTGGGGATATGCAGGGGGTGGCTTTGTTGGAGGGTCACGTCGCGAGTCGCATGTTCCAAAAGTTTTGGCGAACTTTCTTTCTGCGGCCTCGGCGCTAGTCTTATCGATAGCAGGCGGACCCCCGAAACACGCCTGAGGCCACTGTGCAGTTGCACCCATGTGTACTTTCATTCTGAGCAGCCCCTTAGCTCACCAATTCAACCTTCTACCACCCCATACTCCGGCATAGAGATCAATTCACGTGCCGCCATGGTGTCGCGTCGCAACAGGACTCTTCTGTCCCTGGCAATCTTCATTGGAGTGCTCGCTTGGAACGTGGCTGCTGCAGCAGTCAAGGGCGAGACCGGCACCCCAGTAGAGAACCTCACAGTCCACGATATTGAGGAGCAGTTGCAGGTATGACATTCACCCTATGCGCTGAACCCCTCACGGTGTGCCGAGGGCCATTACATTACATCTCATCAAAACTTTAACAAGCAACGGCGCCCTCGTGACGCATCCCTAGGCCAGCACTGACACGCCTCGTTAGGAATGTCCCCTCGTGCAAGCTCTCAACCAGCACAAAGTGGCCTCCAACCCCACTACCTCTTCCCTCACCGCCCAAATATTCGCCTTCCTCTTCCCTGGAAGCCCTGCAGTTAATTCCCTGCTGGCAACTCTCTACATCTCTGGCCCTCCTAACTTCCTCCTTGCACTATGTCCGCCCAACATCGACCCCTCGTCACTGTCCGTCATGGTGGCATTCGCCGTAGGTGGCCTGCTGGGTGACACGCTCTTCCACCTGCTGCCGGAGATATTTCTCGGTGAAGACGAACCTAACTCTGTCAAGTTCGTCATGGTAGAGCCTAACAAAAACCTGCTGCTGGGCGTTGCCATCATGGTAGGCTTCATCACATTCGTCGCTATGGACAAGGGATTGCGCATTGCGACTGGAGGTGCAGGCGGACACGACCATTCGCATGGGCACTCCCATGAGAAGGTAGATGCGACTGTCAAGGCAACTGGAGTCGACGTTGACGGATCAAAAGACGGAGTCCGCGCTCGCAAGGGCACTGCAGACAACAAAACTGCTAAAGCAAGCGTAACACCAGATACGGAGAAGGAGATCAACGCCAGCGTCAAGCTTGGCGGTTACCTCAATCTCATTGCGGACTTTACCCACAACATTACCGATGGTCTCGCCCTTAGCTCTTCTTTCTACGCATCGCCTACAATCGGCGCCACAACTACTGTAGCCGTCTTCTTCCACGAGATCCCCCACGAAGTTGGCGATTTTGCGCTCCTGATTCAATCTGGCTTTAGCAAGCGCGCAGCCATGGGTGCTCAGTTTGTAACTGCTGTGGGCGCTTTCCTGGGAACATGCATTGGCATTGCTGTACAAGAATTCGGCGGAAACTCTAACTCGGCTGTCTCTACTGGCCCGGGTCTCATGGGCACTAGCCTCCAATGGGGGGATATGCTGCTGCCCTTCACTGCCGGCACCTTTTTATATGTTGGCACTGTTGCTGTTATTCCCGAGTTGTTAGAGACTGGCCCCAACAAGGGTCAGGAATTGAGGAAGACCCTATTGCAGTTTTCTGCAATGTTTGCTGGCGCGGGCATCATGCTTTTGTAAGTCTCGCCATTTCCAACAACGCTAACCTGAAACCTATGCTGACCTGCCCAGGATATCTTGGGACTAGCCTTACAGATGTATCTACTTGGCACCCGAGAGATCATCAAACTCTAAATTCTCGATATGGACTCTGAACAATTTGTATTCCAGGATCAGCGTCTCGCGTTTCCTAACATGTATGTACGCACCATGACTCGCTGGTCAGATAGAGGTGCTGCTTATGCAATCCGTACAATCCGTAGAACCATTTTCACTACATCTCACATCATATCATCACACCGCCGGTGTCTTGGGATATTAGGCCAAGCCCAAAAAGTCTCGCACGTACATAGCATGAACTTGGTCGGGTTTTTCGGACGCTTCTGTGGCCGACTTTATGTCTCTACTCGCACCAGGTGCAGCTGTCGCTTAGGTTGAGCCTGAAATATCGTCAACCTAATCCAAGATCAAGACACAAAACTTGAAACATAAGCTTCGCGGATGCACCGGATGCGTCACGCGCACTTCGGACATTTCCACGGCCCCGATCAGAACTCTACTGATCACTGGGTGAGGTTAGCTCCAAGAGCGCCTCGTCTCGGCCGTCAGCACCATTCACTTTGGAGGCCAATGCGCTTCAGCCAGTGCGTTAAGCCAGTGCGTTACCCCGGATTACATGCCGTCTGTGATTTCTGCTCGAGTCGAATCAAATCTCCCCCTGTGGCAGCACAAGCGGCCACACTAACTTCGTATACATGCCAAGCATCTTGGATAAGATGACATTGCACACTTGTTTGGGTAAGGCGAACCACGTCGAAGCCACTTCCTGCGTCGCACTTAGCGAACAAGCCAAGCTCTAGTACGAAGTATACATTAGCGCCGCCGTCTTACCGCTTCAACGGGCACGAACTAGTTGCTTACTAGCCGCAGTTTCCTATCGTGCCTATGGGCCGCATGGCGGTTATGCCACTGTCAGATTTATATCGGCCCTCTTCGCGCCGCAATTGTCATCTTGTTGTTTTCATCCCTTCTCCCTCTTCGTTTTAGAGGTTGCGGTTCCACTGGTGTAGCACAACAACTACAAAGTACTCCATCTACGGCAAACAACAGTAAAACCATATAGTATTTCACCTTTCACATTCCAGCTTCCTCGTTTATAAGGGGGGCTCATACCATAAAAGAGCAAGGACGCAAAGGCACCATTCTCGACCAGAACGATATGCGTCTCGCTGCCAGACCAAACCTCAAATACATACCCGTTTACTCACCGTTCCTACCCACCCTCCTCATCTGCTCTTGCATGCTATTCTTCTTCTACCACCTCGTCCCCTCCTTCACCACCGCAACCGACGATATCGTCACTCTCCTCGTCGACAACCTGAATTTGCGTCCCTCGGGAAGCAATGACTGCACACAGGAAATTGGCACTGTACAATGCTGCAGCCTCTTCCTTGACGCCACGCCCTGCCTAGACGAATGCAGAAAACTCCATGTCGACCGCGAAACACTATCGCTCACCCTCGCATACGACAATTGCGCAAGCCAATGCTTGGCCGAGTATCACTCTTCTTGTCCCAGTAGCATCGCCAGATAAAGCATCACATAGGGGAAGTCAGGAGGAAACACTCAACTTCTTCGCCCACGAGCAATCAAACCCCGCTTGTGTCGGCCTTATGAAAAAAAGATACGTCACAACTCGGTCAGGCCTCCCTGTATACAATACACAAACGCACACACTCCCTCTCGGCAAATGAAAGTACGGAGGGGGAGGGGGGCAATGCAAAAAATAGTGGGGGGACGCTTGCGCCGCACCGCCAAGACTGCGGCGCAGCGCGTGCCCCGGTTAGCTCGGCACGTTCCTGTGTGGCTCGTGGCTGGGCGGCGCTGGGGAACAGGTATTATTAGCCAAGGGGAAGGGGCGTTGCTGGAGGGATGAAAGGATTAGAAGATGAAGGAGGTGGGGTTGGACGGGTATCGGAACTGTAGGTTAGATTGAGGACGGGTGGGGAAAATCAGAGGGGGGTCTGGGAACAATGGGAACAATGGGAGGGTGTGGTTCAATGAACTTCTTGGAATAGAATAAGGTACACACTTGGGGTGCGGGGTCGGTCATAAATATGGGTTAGGACAAGGGTCATTTCTGTGACGAAATCGGAAAAGTTCGAATGGGTTCTTATTCGAGATTTGGTTCTGCTGGTGTCTCTGATTTGGATGGATGTGGGAATGAATTTTACACGTTTTTTCCATGTGTGCGTTCTTTGAAGTGAAGCAAATTCTCTTGGTCTAGATGTTTTGGAGTTATTGGTGGATGGGTCATGTCCCGGAGATAAATGTTGGAGTATTCAGCGCTTGGTAATTTCGGATAAGAGGAAGAGTTGTGCTATGGGATAATGCAAGGTTGATATTATGAGCAGTCTTTTGAGGTCAGAAGCAAAAGGATTTTTTGAATTGTGTATTGTGCTATGATGATGGTGGGATGAGGTGGATAGGGTGAAGGCAGGTGGTTATTTTGCTTGTGCGATGTATGAAGGGATATCACCGATTTCACTACAATCAATAGGTGTTGGGTTGTAAGTAGATTGGATGAGATCATGGGTAATAGTTAAACTGGGGTATGAGGTGTTGCGAAGAAGTGAGATCAATTGGCAACTACACCTCTCACTCACTGCTGAGATCGATCAGTAGCTTTGACTCTCAATCGCCTCCGAGATTGCCTGAGGACCTTTCTTCTCTCACTCATAGAGATGACTGGCGCACACATCTCTCTTCTACTGCAGGATCTAATTGATAGCCATCCCTCGTCACTTAAGACGGAACAGTAGCTTTTCTTCTTTCTCACATACACACCCGTGGCCAGCTTCCAACTCCCGACTCTCTACAATCAACTGCAACAAGATCCTCCACCCCTACCCTCCTCTTCCACCATTCCACCAACGATACTACAGCAATAACGACATGACCCCGCCAATGCCAGCCTCTGGTAGCTCTACTGCCCGATCATCGACACTTAATACACCACACTCACCCCTTTATTGCGGAACATGTAGTCGTCTCTTGACTGATCCAGATAAGCGGAGAAAAGGTGATGGATACTATAAACACTGCAAGAAGTGCCGCGATAAACTTACAGTATCCCGTCACCAACGGAGGAGTGAAGCTATTAAGAGAAAAGTGGATGATACGGCGCCCAATTCACCAAATCAAAAACTCTGTCTAAGCAAGCCGGGTAAGACAGGAGACAAGTATCAGACTACTCCTTCCAGTGCTCCCAGTGCTCCCAACGCTCCCAACGACCGATCGGAACATCTAGCTTCAAAAAGTTCTTGCAACTCAATTGAGCAGGACGTAAACCTGCCAACTCAGCTTCCTAAGAAAACCATTCACAAGCCTAGTGAAAACGATATCACCATCATCAACGACTCAGTGCCTGGTGTACGAAAATGTTCAGTGTGCTCAGAATCAATCCCAATCCCAGATTTCCCTCACCTTAGCTCCTGCAACCATATACCAGACGTATGCCATGATTGCCTTCTTCAATGGCTAGATCAAGAAATGGCTGCAACTCAAGATATCCAGAAGATACGATGTCCAAGCGACTGCGCAGGTTTGATGACCTATCAAGATATACAAAAGTATACCTCGGCTGAAGTATTTGATCACTATAACGAATTATCCCTGCGTAGCTTTCTCAGTACCCAGGAAGACTTTATATATTGTATCGCGCCAGGGTGCTCCTCAGGACAGATACACGATACTACAACATTAGGCGAACAAGGTCCGATATTCCGATGTATCGGTTGTGGATATCGGATGTGCACTGCACATACGCCCGTGATACCATTTCACGAGAACGAGACATGTGCGGAGTATAACAAACGTATCGAGACTAAGCCAGCACAAGAAGGGGCCAGTGCTGCGCTCCTCAAAGAGAAAGCACAGAAATGTCCAGGGTGTGGGTCTCAGATTGAAAAAACGACGGGATGCGACCACATGACCTGTAAGATTCTAAAAACAGCTCTGAATAACCTACTACATATGTTTATATACTAAGCTTGAACAGGCAAGTGCGGGTTCGAATTCTGCTATGTTTGCCGCGCACCATATGCTGGCCCACAGGGCATTCGCGCTGTGGGTAATTCAGCTCATCGGGAAGACTGCCAGTATCATACTACCAGACTCCCTGCCCATCCAGACACAGTTTTCGGGTCTTGAAAATGATTTGAGGCTTATATCGTGGAGTCAAGGGAACAATTTGCAAAAGGAAATTTATTCGGCATTTGGTGTACGTGGTAACCTCTCTCTTTGATCGAGAGTTACTCTTCTGGTGATTCAGAAGACTAGTCTCTGCCTTCGGATATGCTGGGTTCTTTAATATGTCAATGTATCAGGGCTAACAAAAGCATATTTTGGAGTTATTGGCATTTTAGGGACGGATAGTAATTCGAAATGTGCAAGGACCAAGCAAGAACATGTCTTCACCTTTGTGCCTTTGTTACTTTGCACATAATGCGGATTATCGCATTGTATTGATTTAAGGCCATTCCCAGCATCCTTTGTTCGATTTTCGCACTACAAAACATGTTGGCAAACACAATCTGCAAACTCTCGAGATTGCTGGTACTCTCTGGATAGAAGTAGTGAATCCGACCACCGTAAACTCGTCGCGCAGATCATGGCGAGAAGAAACAGAAATAATCCGCGTGTTCCTCCGTGGGCGACGGCTAAACCATATTTCAGACACGCCGCACGAGCCTTCAAAGACGCACATAGACTAGATTGGACTCTCAGTATGTGATTCTGCAATAAACACAACTCTTCACTAACGACCTAAAGTCCAATTACAAAATACGATAGAGACAATATGGGCTGGCGACGAACTAACGCGCGATTACTATGAGGCACGCAGAGGGAGAGAGAGACTGTATGGCTTGCCTCCAGGCCGCGATATAATACCACAAAACCCCTACAACGAAGCGGATGTTGCTCACGCAAAAGCCAATAAGACATTACCTCTACGACGTGACGCACGAGGAAATCCGATCCCCCCTGTGCCAGCCGCACCTCCACTACCTCCACCACGACCAAGGAACAACTACCCCTACGACTTTTGGCCTCGAGAACCCTGGCATCCCGAACCAATTGATGCAACACGAGACATGACGCCGAAGTTCATATCAGAAAACACGTATGTCTTTCTAGAGACTCCACCTCACCAGTGGCCGGTAAGTGATGAATCAGACATGCGTGGAGCGAAGTTTTTGGGATATGGATCATATGGCTGCGCGGGATTATGGTGCCAGGTAAATCCAACAAATGTGATTGAAAAAGTGAGTAATCATGTGTCATATCTTATAATAGCGAATATATACTAAGACATGGGCTCCCAGAGATTCGTCATTAAAGAAGCACGGATGAGTAAAAGTGATTGGCGAGATCCCATTAACTGGCGTGACCAACTCCCAAAAGAAATCCGAATCCACCAACTCGTCGACAGCGATCGTGCCAGAAATCGCGCTTATGGCTCTTTTGACCATGATACACTCATTGAACACTACGGGTACCGACTGATGCTGCGCCAGCGCAAATACCGCATTTACCTCGCCTACTATGAAGGCGGAGATCTCCATTCGGCACTAAAAGGAAGAATGCCCTCTCCAGAATTGTTGGACCTATATACATCGCCACGCAAACGCGAAACCGAAGCCCAGGAAGGCTACTACTGGGACGCTGAACTACGCTGTTACAGAGACCAAGGAGACAATCTACCCCCTGTATTACCCGAGCGACTGATCATTGAAATAATCACTGCCCTTACCAAAGCATGCCAGATTCTGCATTTCGGGCAAGCAGAAGACGAACGCCTGATTCCAGGAGCAGAAAGAATCACGCACCGCGACATCAAACCGGACAACATCTTCATTGCCCCATCCAACCAACCTGGCGAATTCCCGACATTCGTTCTTGGAGACCTTGGACTCGCCTTCTTCCCGCACCGCAGAGACGAAGACGACGACATACCCCGTCTGTCCCGCGCTCCACCTGACAACCCTAACCAATACACCTGGTCCCACGACACATTCGACCACCGCTACGCGCCCGAAGTGTACGGGCAAACGCAAGACACGAAGCCAAACGAGATCGGCGAAAAAACAGACGTCTGGCAAATCGGCGCCGTCCTCTTCTGGCTGCTCGCCAACGGCTTCGAGAATTCCGCCCGCGGTCCCCAAGCAGTGGAATGGGGATACCCCCAGTTCATCTCGCGACCTGAGCGTTTCCCGCGAATGGAAAGGTATAGCGGTCCGGATGGGCTTGACAATAGGTTTGATCTGGAGTTGTTCCCCACGCTGTTGAGGTATGCGCCTAAGCTTAGGAACCTGTGTGCAAAATGTGTGAATTGGGATCCGGATCACCGACCGACGCTGCAGGATATAAGTTGGGAGTTGGACGAAATTTTGGAGGCGGATTTGGATATGAGTGTGAATAGGAGTTATGGGCTGTTGATAACGAAAGTGGATATGGAGTTTGTGGTTGGGTCGTTATGGCCGTATTATCCCCAGGGAGGCTTGTAGGTTTGAAGGGGGTCAAATGATTTTGATTTCTTTTGGTAATGTTTGGTTAGGTATGGCAGATTATGGGAGACTTTTGGGAAATTATCGGTATGAAAAGTGTACGATTGGGTGTTGGATAACTTGTATCTGCTATACGTATGTCTTTTACGCGAAAGATAATGAAATGATGTTTTCTGCTTCACCGCTTATGAATTCCTTAATACTTAAGTCTATCAGCAAATTTTGGAGCAGGAGCGATATAGATGTGGGTGAGTATGTTTTATTTGATCGGTCGATCACATTCTCAGGGACCAAGTGCTTGTAAACTTGGTAGGCGGTAGTGTCATCGCATCATAGTTCAAATTTAGTCCCTACCAGCTTCTCGCTCAACTCCCAAAGCTTTTCAGCCTTGTCCGGATCGGTTGCGTGTGGCGCTGCGTCTCTGATTTGGCAGTCATCGAGGAAGACTCCTTTCTCGTCTAAACAAATGTCAATGCTTAGCCTCTCATTCAGAAGGCCCTAGAAGGTTTCATACCATTCAAGGCTGGGTCCAGTGCTGCTACTAACACTGTTGCGGCGCCTTGGTCAAGAGTCTTCAACAACTTCATTGTCTTTCCAACTGCTTCCAGCTCTTCAGAATTAGAATCAAGATCACGACTCATATTAGTTGGTATCGCTAGACAGGTCAGGGAGAACTTCTGGATTGTTGCAAAAGTAAATACTTACCTCCGGGGTGAAGAGCGTAGCTCCTTATTCCTTTGCCACCAAGCTTTTTGTTGATACCTATGGAAAACAAAATGTTTGCAGTCTTCGACTGACCGTATGCTGCAAATCCGTGGTATCCATTGCGGCTTGGAATCTTAGCAAATAAAGGGGGAGGTGTGTATCGCTCTTCTTCCGGAAGCTCCTCGTTACTCTTCTCTAAATTGTAATCCGAAAAACGAATACCACTCAAGCGATGACCTTGCGATGAGACGTTGACGACACGTGTCGCCCCCGGAGTAGATGATGCAGCGGACTTTAGAAGTTGGGGTACAAGAAGGTTGGTGAGTAGAAAGTGACCGATATGATTGGCACCAAACTGGGCTTCTATGCCCTCCGCAGTCGTCCGGCGAGTTTTAGTCATAAGGCCTGCATTGTTGATGATCAAGTCCAGGCGATTGGTCAATTCTGCAACCTCTTTTGCGGTCTTCCTGACGGAGTCTTGCGACATCAAATCGAGAAGCACAAGTTTAGTCGTAGTTTCGGGGTAGGCATCTTGTATGGCCTTGCGTACTTGCTCAAGTTTCGATTCGGTGCGCGAGGCGAGTATCAAAAGGGCGGGTGCTTGGGAAGCGATTGAGAGAGCAATTGAAGAGCCAATGCTTTCTGGAGATACACCGGTAATCAGTACTATCAACTATTCAGTTAATTGATAGTATCAGTATGAATATCAAGCAAAACTACCGTTCTTTTCACGAATCTGATCTGCAAAGGCTTTGGCAACCTCTAGCCCGCCCGTATCCTGATTCCATTCCAGATGTGTCAAAGTCGCCATGGCGGATAGTACCGTATAGATTTCCGGACCTTATTGAAACCGTAAATTTGATAGATAAACTTAGATTATCTGATGCGTAGTACTGCATTGACACGTATGCGTGATGGATGTATTGAGCTCGTGTTGCACTGCAACTAGTTGCCGAGCCAAGATTTCCAGCGGCGATCTTCACTTCCTACTATTCTCTGAGGTCACCTGAGCCCTGCACACACCATGCCTGCAATGATATTTGCCCAGACATTCAGCAATTTTTGGACCCACAGATCCCGAGAATAAGTATAGCTAGGCTAACTAAAACCTCTGTCTACATTTTTGAAGACTGCAACCTGGATCGCAGACCTGAAATATGACTTTACTAACGCCAGGGATGTGTCCTGATTAGCATAGAGAATAACTGCAGACATTGTGTAGGGTCGCCTTGCACTGTAGTATTTTGACAGCAAGGGTTTTGCGCCTCGTTCTGACAGCAAGGATTGTGTGATCCAGGACTGCTGGATAGTATGTAGTGGATGCGGGGAAAGCCAGCGGGGAAACTGGTGACGATGTGGGGCATATACATCGCCCGGTTCGTAGACGGATCTACGTACCTGTGCGTATGTACCATTCAGGCTCTTCTCGACGGAATCGATATACCGCGAATGAGCCTGCAGAGTGACGTGCCGTGTTCCATGTTCGTGTGGGCGTGCAGGTCATCGGAGACATGTCGCCTGCACGCCTGGATCCAGGTATCAAGCTCACAGATCGGCAGATGGTACGTCTTCGGGAAGTGGCGGGCTATTCTGCCCCGCGCTTTCTGGAATGAGTTTTACATCCATATCGAGCACCGCGATCAGTTTTTTCGTATTCTTTCATTGTTATATCCTGGGCGTGACATTTCTTTTCATTCTGAACTCTAGTCTGTGAAAGAGTAGACGAAAACGAACCACAAAACATGGCCTCTTTGAAGACAAATGGCAACAGAACCCAGGCCACTGGTACTGTTCCAAAAACAGGCATCAAAGTGATTGTTGTCGGTGCAGGTACATATTAGCCAAGGATTCACGACATGTCCGCTTTCTAAAAAGATCAACTAGGTTTTGGTGGCCTGTCCACGGCCATAGAGTGTATCCGTCATGGCCATACGCCTGTAATCTATGAATCTTTCCCGTCCCTCAAAGTTCTTGGCGACATCATTACTTTCGGACCTAATGGGGGTCGGATCTTCGCACGCTGGAGCGAAGGCCGCGTTGCGCGTGAAATGCGCAAGGTCTCCATCGACTTGACCAATTATGGTTTCAACATCCACAAATGGGACACCGGAGAGATAGTAGTCAACCAGAAGACACCGCCGCGCAATGAAAAAGCGCCCAACTTCAACGGGCATAGGGGCGAGCTCCATGAAATCGTCTTTGAATATGCAAAAGAGATTGGTGTAGAAATCAACTTGGGACAAAAGATTGAGCATTACTGGGAGGATGAGAAGGAAGCAGGTGTTGTGCTCGCGGATGGAACGAGAGTGGCTGGCGACGTTGTAGTGGCAAGTGATGGTGTCAGAAGCAAAGCCAGAACACTAGTGCTTGGGTACGAAGACAAACCAAAGAGCAGTGGTTATGCGGTTTGGAGAGCGTGGTTCTCGAACAAAGACATGATTGCGGATCCAGAAACTAAGCAGTTTTGTGAGAATGGCGATACATTTAATGGCTGGATTGGTAGGTCTTTCTTTGTGCCTTGTACCCATTGATCTAAACGCGCGATAAGTAGTAGCAACTGACACAAATATTAGGCCCCGACGTACACTTTCTCTTCAGTACCATAAAGAATGGCTCGGACTGCTGCTGGGTTTTGACCCACCGCGACTCGCATGACATCAAGGAGTCCTGGTCATTCCCTGGCTATCTCAAAGACGTGCGCACAGTCCTTGAAGGCTGGGACCCTATGTGCTGGAAAATCGTCTCTAAGACGCCAGAAGAGAAACTGGTAGATTGGAAGCTTGTTTACCGGGACCCTCTGCCCAACTGGGTCTCTGGATATGGGTCTGCGCCCGGCCATGGCCGCATATGTCTACTAGGAGACGCCGCCCATCCATTTTTGCCAACAAGTGCACAGGGCGCAACCCAGGCGTTGGAAGACAGTGTTACGCTGGCAGTGCTTCTGAAGAAGGCAGGTAAAGGTAATGTGAAAGGAGCGTTGAGAGCATACCAAGATGTGCGGTATGAACGTGTGAAAGCGGTACAGAAGACGGGGGAGACTACCAGAGATATGTGGCATAAGACGGATTGGGAGAAGGTGAAGAAAGACCCTACTATCATACAGTTCCCAAGGGAGGATTGGGTGTTCCTGCATGATGCGCAGAAGCATGCGGAAGAGGTAGGAGATGAGGTAATCAAGAAGGCTACCAGTGTGGCTACATAGATTGGGTCCAAGCCTGGTGAACGAAGTCAGAGATAAAGATATGCTCATTGCTTTTATAATATTTACTCCTATCAATGAAACTCATGAGAGTGTTATCGCATCTATTTTGATTCATCCTAAGTTACACTTTGTAGAGAGGTGTAGTTTCCATAGCTTATGAATATGGTGTGTGTATTTTTCCAGAAGAATAAGCAGAAGATTCCTTAAACCCAATAGAGATGTAATACGACTATATGTTCAGAAACAGACCCCGAGACTGTTTTACCATCCATCGATAATCTTAGTCACGCTTCCCCATGCTGACAACTTCCTGATGTACAGCTTCGTTCTTCTCACTATCGCTCCGTGCGATCTTTTCATCTCTACCTTGTACATAATGGCCAACGCACACATACTTTCTGAACTTGCGGGCTGGAAGTCTCGCTTCAAACATCTCATCAACCTCTTCAAGTGTGCGGTCCTTAATCTCCGGGAGATAGAAGTAGACCCACAAGGCTGTGATAAAGCAAGATGGCCCCCAGATCCAACCTGGTTATGAAGTAAGCACTGCTGTAAAAGGAATTTGCAGGAACATGGCAAGGTAGCCAAAAAAGGGAACTAACCGTATTCTGGTCCCCAATTGAGAGATTCGGGATTGATGAAGTAGGGTGCTGTAAAAGTGGTGAGCCAAGCAGCAGCAAAGGCAACGGCAGATGCGACGCCGAAGGTGTACGACCGCAAACGCTGTGATGGGATCTCTCCACCAGCAAGCCAGGAGTAAGCCGCAATCATGCCGTTGTATCCGCAGATGTACACGACCGAAACTCCAACAATTATCTTGTTCTTGTTAGTACAGAAAGTGGTGGTCAATTTTGAGCTCAACTGTAACGTACCTTTCCGGTGCGAGTAGTGCGAGGATTGACGTGGTAGACAGCGGCGATGATCATCTGGGTGATACCGCAGATTAATAGACCTACCATGAGGAAAACACGTCGCCGTCCAACTTTGGAGATGATACAGCTATTGACCGCTACTGCAACGATACCGACAGCAATCAAGATGCATGTGTTCATGAATGGGCTGCCAACGTTTGCCATCTACATTATAGTTAGTTCAGTATTCGGGTAAGAGGGTTATTGTCTTTGTGACTTGCCTGGAAGAAGTATGTGCCATATGCAATAACAAACATGGCACCAGATGCAGCTTGAGTAGACACTGCTGCAATAGATAGCAATGTACGTCGACGGTCGACTGGGTTCCTCCAGATATCCATGAAACTCGTACTGGCATTGACAGCTTTCTCGGCGTCGATGGCTGCTTTCATTTCGGCAACTTCGCCGGGTACGCTCGCTGGATTCGGGCGCATCCAAAGCAGCGATTTCTCAGCTTGCTCATTCTTTCCGACCAGAACGAGCCAACGTGGTGATTCGGGAATGAAGAACAACCCAATGGACATAAGGAATGGAACGATGAAAATCACTCCCAATGGAATGAGGTACGCTTTGCGGCCGTTCATGTCGTGTGTTGCATTGTCAACTACGGTGCCTACGAGGGTACCGATGGAAACCCATATTTGATATACGGATATCAGAAGACCACGATAACGGGCTGGTGCAGATTCCTGTTGTGACATTAAGCATCCAAGCCATGATGGCAAGTGAGGTTTCATTTACAGCCTTACCTGAATGTACAGCTGTGCGAATGTCATGTACCAGCCGTTCGCAAATCCAATAAACAGCCTGCCAACATACAATCCTGCGGTGTTTGTTGTAGTCATCATGACAATGTTGCTGATACAGCAAAGCGCACTGGCTAGCCATAAACAGTGTCGCCTTCCTAATTTCTTCGCTCCAACTCCTGCAAACCCCGAGCTGACGAACGCGCCCAATGTCATCAGAGAGAACATGAGCTGCTGTCGCTCAGTTGAGATATTCCAGCCAGTTGGACTGGCGGGATCACGATGTCCAAAGACTTCGAGGAAGCCACGCATAGCTTGCAGTCCACCGATGGCGCCAAAGTCAACGCCATACTGGAAAGTTGACATTGAGACAAGGGTGCATGCTGCAACGCATTTCCAGTTTGACAGCAGACTGCTGTCGAGTTCTGGCATTGTGGTGAATATTTCCGAAGTTCCACGTAGAATCGAGAAGAAGCTGATAGAAGAGGCAAAGATGGGTAGCCAGAGAGATCAGGTTGTTGGCAATCTTCATACATAGGTGGGAGAGGGCCTCCACAACCCGACTGTACACTCGTGGCTGGACGTAAATAGACAGATCGACGCCGGTGGGCTAATCCCGACGTGCAGTATTTGCCGATAGTGATCATGAAGCATATGTACCCCGCTTCACCGTAGCTATAGTCTGAGCTTGGAATTGAGTGTTCGAGCTGGAATTGGTTTCGCTAGACCAATGGCGTTCCCTCCTCATTCCCACGCATTGCATGATCATGCCTCAACGATTGTTGCATCTTTGGGGCGCAGAAGAGTTAATCAGTAATCGCGTCAGATTTATTAGTGGCTCATTATTCGCCCATGCCTTATCCGCCATGTCTTGTATATTGAAGCCTTGCTCGGCATCTCTACTGTTTCCGCAAAGTCAGCATCTTGGCTATAGATGTTGCGGACTTTGCGTTAGAAGTGCTGCAATAGCAGCCGTTTTCCTAGCCAAGAATGTCAACACCATACAAAAAAGAAAATGGGGATATGCTACGAACCGAGACATTCATGTGGGGCAAGTTTGTGGGGCGCGTCAACTGATCCCTTTGGCTGGGGTGGATGGGTACATAATTGTGTAACTCCATAATCATGCATTATGTTATCTGCAGGGATGGCTGATTCCGGCCCAGAGTGCCATCAGCAGGATCAGAGAGATTTTTGTTTGTGGTGATTGGATGGATAAATAAACCATAAAGCGCATCGCGTGACCATAGGTGTATCATTAGTTATTGTTCTGAAAGCGGTAATCCAAACATTCCCCATATTTTTGGTACAGGATCATCGTTAGAGTTGACAAATTTCTTTCTCAATAGTCTATCATGGCGCCGCAATTAATAGACGCAACCGAGTTCATAAAGCAGTGTCTCATCCAACCCTCGCCATGCCAGCCATCTTCGTTGTCAAACACCAATGGGGTGTCAAAACTGCTGACATCCCAAAATACTTTGACCCAGTCCCAGCAAGATTCATCGTCGCACTCATCGACATGTGAAAACGTCGGCTCCATGACTTCATCGAAAACTGTTTGGAAATACACTCTCAAGGCTAACAGGTAATACCCTCCAGGGAGTGATAGCCAGTTTGATTTAAAATAGTCTACGTTTGACTTGGCCAGAGAGCTGAAGAGAGCATGGAGGGTATTTGGGTAGTGGAAATTAGTATGCTCTAGGACGAGTCGGCGGAGAGTTGGAGAGTGTGTATCGATAATACGGTCCAGAGATGGTGCCGATTTACTTGAAATAAGTCCATCCAATTCAAGTGTTCGGAGGCGGAATGGCGGATTGTTTCCAAGCTGTTGAAGTAACGGCGCCCAATTCTCACTGCTGGTGCGGTAATACCGAATGCTTCTCGGGCTTGTGCGTATTTTCAAGACCTTGAGGTTGGCATTCTGCTCGGTGATTTCGACAAGGTTTAACATGCAACTATTCTCACTGTTAGGAAACATCTCCAGCTGTAAGTCGATGGTGGTCAAGTTCTGCAAAATTGGAACATATGCCATCCCTTCGAGTATCGATTCTGCCGACGCCAGCCATGACTGCCACTCTGATTTCGCAAAACCCAAGATTCTGATCTTCTCAAGATGTGACACTGTAGTCTGCGTGCAGCGTACTAGTTGGAAGACAAAATCGCAAATGGCGTAGGCTTCAATGCTCTGGTGCTGTCCAGAACGTAGAATTAAAAGCCCTTCCAACTCGTCACCGTACACCTCTTCATAGTCTCCGGGCACCGGCCTTGCCATCAGATGTCCGTCTTTCGTATAAACCTGGCCTTCTGGTGCTCGAATGATCAGTTCGCGTAGTAGCGGTGCTTGATTGAAGATATATTCAATAACAGCAAAGAGTCTTACTGCATCGAGCATTTCCAGTGTGACAAGTCCATCGAGAACTGGTAATCCTTCTTCACTCAGTTGTTGAATACGAGATCCGAGGTCGAGACAAATTTCCAACGTGCGAATATGCTTGGCGAAGCGTGAGGTGCTTAGTCTTTCAAGGTGTCTGACACTGCGGTTGGTTGTTTTACAGATGCGGTGACGGAAGTATGCTTGAACCTATAAATACGTGTCAGCGTATGTGTATATTGAACTAGACGATATTGCATTTACAAAGTTATGGTCAATGTGTTGCGTGATATGCCGGCTGCCGATCTCTCGAAGCTTGCGTAATTCTTGGTTCGGTAAGTACCTGGAGATTATGCTCAGTAGCTCTCCAGGTAGCTCATCTAGCTTAAGATGTTTTTGTCGTAGGCTTTCCTCAAAAAAATACTCAAGCATAGCCGCGTCTGTATCCATAACGCTCTTCCTGAAGTTTCGGAGCCACCTTGACCTGTTCGTTTGTCGTAGGAATGTAGAAAGTGGCATAATTCTCTTCCGTCTGTGCGCATGAAGAATTACATCTTTATAGGGGTAGTTGGGACCATGGTTCCAGTGGAACATGACACTAAGAAAACTTGCTAATGGATCACTAAGAAATTTTATTTATGAGACCAAGATGATCTGATTCTTGTCATTGATGAGTCTAAGGAGCTATACCAATGCTCTCCACACATCACCTGTTTTCGGGTATTGTTCTTTCAGGATCGCAGCCCTGACTTCACAACGTTTCGATATTGTTATTGGCACAGCACTACAACGATATGGTTACTAGGGATGACGATGACAAGCAGTTGTGTAATGTTGCTAGTCCTGGTAAGTATGCCATGTTCATAAGAACGAATCAAAGAATGGAACAGATAACAGACCAATAATACCCAACAGATTGCTCAATCACGTTACAACTAAATATCGGAATGTAATCCCAGCCAATGGAACTTTGTCTGGTTATTACCTTTCCCATAGACTCCACTGGTGACGCCAGATACACAGATGCTTGAATAGGCGACGCGATGCAGCCAATAAGGGCTCCAGTTCTAGCCTGTTCAAACAAGTTGCAGTCCTCGCAAGGTTCAACTTTACCCGACGTTCATGCCCCACCCCCGGAATGTGGGGTGACCCGCCCCGCGTCAGTGAGTCTCTACAAAGGGCTGCATTAGAAGTTGCAGAAAGCTATGGAGGTAGTATATCTGCAAGCCGACATCGAATCATAGGTCATCGGATCCATTAGTGGACCATTGCTATGCATTATAGCTTGGATTGATTTGCCTTGATGAACACACCTCCAACAGCTCAACCATCTTCTGTCTGAATACCTTAGCAGGAAGAGCACACACTTTTCGGCAACATGGCGATTGAGCAAATTTTCGAGGCACTACCAGTTCACTACTTACAGCATGTTATATCAAAATTCGGTGCTGGAAACGTCACCCTGGCGGTTTTTGCGATAGCCACACTCGGTATTCTCACAGACTATGCCTGGATGCTGTACATGAGATCGAAGATGGTAAGGTCATGGTGACAAAAAGACTAATAACTTTACTGATGCTAAAAAGCCCCCTGGGCCCTTCCCATACCCTATCGTTGGGAACACATTCCAACTACCCGACAACAAACCATGGATATATTTTGAAGAGCTGTCCAAGAAATTGAATACACCTCTTATCACGTATTGGATAGGGCGAAATCCAACTGTATGGATTAATGACGCATGGACAGCGAATGAGCTTCTTGAGAAGAGAGCAGGCATATACTGCTCGCGACCACGCATGTTGGTCTTTGCAGAGCTGGGCTCTGGCCAGAATAACCTCGTCAATCTAATCACTACAACCCCGGCTCAACGTGAACGGTTTCGGATGCTGCGTAAGCTGACACATCAGGGCGTTGGCATTCAGCAGGTAAAGAAATATCGTAGCTTTCAAGATGACGAAAGCAGAGTCGTTGCTCTTGACTTGCTCCGCACCCCCGAGAAATACGTGGCGCACTTTGAGCGATACGCAACGAGTGTGGTGTCAATCATTGGCTTTGGGAGGCGAGTTTCCAGTCCAGAGGATCCCATCATCACGGAAGTAATCGCATTAATGCATCGCGCCGCCGATCTCAACGTGCCTGGCAAGACTTTTCCAATGTTGATGGAGACATTCCCTGCATTAGCTCGTGTGCCGACGGAGTATGCACCCTGGAAACACGGAATGGGGTCAAAAAAAAAGTCCCATCGTGGTCATGACTTCTTTTATTCGTTGGCAAGCGAAGCCAATGAGAAGCCAGGTCATGATGACTGCTACGTAAAGATGCTATTTAGGGAGCAAGAAAAGTACGGGCTAAGGAAAGAAGAGATATCTTCCTTGGCTGGCAACTTGTTTGGTGCAGGTTCGGATACTTCGAGTAGCACTCTCATTACAGCGGTACTTGCGATGCGCGCTTTCCCGGAAACTCTTGAAGCAGCCAGGCAAGAGTTGAATAGTGTGGTAGGACCAGACCGAAGCCCGTCGTTTGAGGATGAAGCAAATCTACCATATGTACGCGCTTTTGTCAAAGAAGTGTTCCGTTGGCGTTCTGTAGCCATTATTGGTGGGCAACCTCATGCACCAGTGCAAGATGACTACTACAAGGGTTATTTGATTCCAAAGTCGACTTGGGTGCAGGGCAATGTATGGGCAATACATCATAATGAACGCGAGTTTCCGGACCCGGATCGGTTTAACCCGAATCGGTTTCTGAAAGGCCATCCAGACTCACGGCCTTTCCCTGGCGAACGTGGATACATGACTTTCGGCTGGGGACGACGGGTGTGCTCAGGACAGGCGCTTGCCGAACAGGGAACATGGCTGACAGTTGCGCGACTGATCTGGGGCTTCAAGATCGAACCAGCGCTAGACGAAAGTGGAATACCTGTTCCCGTCGACATATTCGACTATACGTAAGTCGATCATAATTTCCACTACCAAACCTAAAGCTGACCACATCACAGCAACGGCCTGAACATGCGTCCAAATATCTTCAAAGTAAGCATCAAACCACGAAGCGATAGGATCAGAGAAACCATTGAAAGGGAAGGAGAACAAGCGCTTGCAGATCTTAGGCCATATGAGGGAGAGACCAAGTACCGTATGAGTACGTTCTATCGGAAATGAAATTTGCGGCCATGAAAAGCTATCTTCAGCCGGTTTGAGCGACTACGAAAAGGTAGAATAGAAATTCAATCATCGTCAACTGTACTTTTCGTATTTTCACACAATCCTTTCGCTATGAGCTGAGCTTCCACAGTGATCAGAGAGCATCTTCCTTCCTCTGGAAAGCTACCTAACAGTCTGAGAATCAAACACAAAGAAAGCTGATTCCTTTGATTCGACACCAAGCTTAACGGTTATACCGTCGCCGATAACACTTTTTAAGTGATAAAGTTTAGCTGTGACCACGGTCAGAGACTTCCCTAGCGCTTTGTCCACCAGAAAAGTCATCTTGCCTTCATACCTCTGACTCCAGCAACATATATTTCAGAGTAATCCATAAGTGCCTAAATGATGCTATGTCACGACAATGCGTCAACAATGACATGTTCTCACCGTTTCTATCCAGCCCAAAACTGCAGCGAGGTCCGACTGCATGTGGGGCACAGGAGATCTCAATAATGAACTCGCGGTTGACAAGGCATGTGTACTATTCTAGATCACCTCGAAGAACGTATTGTTTTCCTAGGCAGATAGCTCCGAGAGATAATGCAGGTGCACGTAGGTTTAACATCACTCCACCAGACCGACGTGTACAAGTCTAGCGCTCTTACCGACTAGGACACGCTTTGCTCAGATCATTGAAAATACACAGTACGCTAGAAGCTGCAAAGAAGCTAAACTAGTCCGATTACGACTCAGAACAGAGCTTAACCTACGTGTACTGTGCCCGTGCGTATACCCATTTGTTAACGTTTGACAGTAAATACTTGGCGTCCGTTGCCAAGACATCATCTCTACTTCTCTTCAAGTTCTCAAAATGATTGCTGACGGCATAGCCGCTATTTTTTGGAGGCGTCTTAATAAAAAAAAGACCCTTAGCGCTCACGAAGTGAATTGAGCCTTCCTGATGTTCCCGTAACTTGATGATGCAATACTGACTGTGAAAGAAGAAATTGGGATATTCCATGTGAGGAGTGCGTGTTTGCAGTGGGCATGCGGGTTCCGAGAATTCCCGAATTGAAGATGGCCGCTGTGCACAAAACTCTTTTGAATACCAACGGTGTAGACAGACCAAACGGGCCGGTTGTCTCACCGACGTTTGAGGAATGCCAGATTGTCTGCTATAACGATTCTCCAGATATCACGTTCAAAGCTATCTCCTGATATTTGAAGTGTGGCTCACAATGGGGAAGTACAGGCGTCATTCTACATGGGCTGACCTTTGTTTCTGCGAGAAAAAGGAAAATGATAAAAAGCAAAGATGCAAGGCCCCAATGAGGTGCCTCAGAGAGTGGCGCGGTAGGAAGAGCCGGTTTCTCTGAATTTTCCTAAAAATCTTTGCAAATGATAGGTCCACGAATAACTGTGTGATCAGCAGCTCAGAAAAAAAACTTAAGTGGACCTTTTCTATTAGTAAATGCACATCCAACCCCGCACAAAGGCTTTCCTATCTGTATAACGAAAACTCTGTAGATCCTTCGATTTGTATCGAGTCAATCAGCCTCCACATTCAGACATCTTTCGCATTCTCTCTAACACCCCATTTTCGGTTCTATTTCCACGCTAGTATTGTACTTGCATAATTACAAGATCGATTGTCTTTTGAACCAAACGTCCCGCTAGGGCGGTGTAGTTTCGCTTCCAGTCTATAGAACTAAGCGGTGTGTTAGTGCTACTATGGTATGGTGTTCCGAAGCTATCGACCATCTCAGACAATACTACGATACCACACATCACGAAGCCGCGAATCTGGAAAAGAAAAGCAGCCAAACGTGAATTTCTTTTCGGCCGAGAAGATCCCGACAGCCCGCTTAGCTCTGAATACATTACTAACAACGAATCTGTCTTGCAAATACGGAACATGTATTGTAAATGTTGGTTTCACAACCATCAGCATTGCTTGTCTAATACACCCGCGTGAATGGTGCATAGATCTAGGCCGATCTGGACTAGACCTTTCCATATGCGGCCAACGATTGCGCATGTAAGATTCCCAGACCCCTCCCTCGGGCTGACATGCTTCCTGCGGGGACAACGACACGTGTACAAGGTGTGATGGTTAGTTGGACAAATGACGCATTTCTGTACGACATATGCATATGCATATGTATCGTTATTATTTTTTCCCCTTCGAATTTTGAGCAAATGTTCAAAGAACAATGCAGATTATTCGTCTCTATCGGAGAATTCGCAGCCTTGCTGCAAGGAAACCTAAGGAACCGAAGAAGGTGAAGCAAAAGAGCCTGGGAGTATGGCTATCTCTCAATGAATCACTGACTGTTTTCGACGAAGATACTCGCTTCTGGTGGGAAATAACCGGGCCCATCCTTGCGCGCATGATGGAATTAATGGGGTACGACCAGGATACACAGCATAAACATTTACTGTTTTACTACATGTATATTCTACCAGCTCTTGGTAGAAGACCGTCCTCGGATGGTCACCCCAATGGGTGGGAAAGCTTCATGACCGACGACTGCTCCCCTCTTGAATTGAGTTGGGAATGGGGCATGTCAGCCGGGGAGTCACGCGTTCGCTTCTCCATAGAGCCAATCGGAAAATATGCGGGCAACTCGGCCGACCCTCTGAACGAGAAGATGGTATTCCAACTTATCGATACGCTCCGGCCAGCGTTCCATAAGAGTCTGGACCTGACCATTTTCAATGCATTCTCCGAGGCTCTGACCACAACCCACAAGAAGCTCGACACAAAACATATTTCGGTAAATGGGCGTTCGCAGCACTTTGTTGCTTTCGACCTCGATGTCGGAACTCCCTCTTTGAAGGCGTACTTTATCCCTGGCCTGAAGGCGGTTGAGACAGATACACCAGTTCCCGAACTGGTGGTCCAAGCAATCGACTCATGCAAGCCACATCTTGGACACGTCTTCATGAACAACTTTCGCAGGTTCAACTCCGACCTGACGAACTTCTCCAAAACTAGTCCAAGTCGTCCTCAGATCGAAATCATTGGCATCGACTGTGTCGTCCCCATCAAGTCACGAGTCAAGATCTACGTCCGTCACCGAGAAACATCTTTCGACAGCGTATGTCGAATGCTTTCACTGGGCGCCAGTAAGCCTATCGACCCCGGTTCTTTAGCTAGCTTGCACGAGTTATGGTCTCTAGTTCTTGATCTGCCAGAATACTTTCCTTCGAACCAAGAACTGCCGAATGTTCCGCACCGGACCTCGGGTATCCTCTACTACTTCGAAATCAAACCCACATCATACGACATAGTTCCAAAGGTGTATATTCCTGTTCGGCATTACGCTAAAAACGATCTCTCCATTGCCCAGGGGCTGGCCACGTACTTTGAGCGTCGCGGACAGTCGGCGACAGCAGATAAATACGTGCAAGCACTTTCGGATATCTTGTACGTAACGCATCTTGAGCCTTCGCATTCATAGCTAATCATGATTGTAGTTCACATAGATCTCTTGACTCTGGACTTGGCCTACATACCTATATCACATGCGCGCTTAAGAAGACAGGGCTATCTGTGACTTCATACTTCAACCCGGAGATTTACCATCCAAATCGGTACATCTCATGAGGGTAGTGCAAGGTAGTTTGTTCTATATTCTTCTTTCTCAGTTTATATTTTCCTACGTCTAGCATACTTTTATTTCAGCCTCCGAGTTGAGTTTTCCTTAAGACCTATATACCTGAATAGTTGCATAGCGGATGGTGTTGAATAACGAACGGTGTCGGATAACGAATGATGTTGCATAACGAATGGTGTTGGGTAACGGATGATGTTACATGAAGGATGGAGTTACATGGTCTTTTATTTAATGTGTTATAGTCTTTTTAATCTCTGCACCAAATTTCTTCATATTGAGCTTGCAATGTACTGCAGTGAAGATGGAGTGCGAGCATGTAGTATACAGGCATTGGACTGTGCTGTTCTTTCCTATGCAAGTGGTTGAGATATATCCTGATCAATATAAAGAGTTTATTGGATCTAGAATACTAGTTTTCAAATTTGAGTTATAATGTATATACGGATTGTTGGAACCGGTTGTGGCTCCACGACTAACACCAAGTCCAGGCGCCCAGTGCCAGATGTCTGCCCACGCAGCATCATCTCCAAGAAAGATGCACATGTGACTCCGATATCAAAATACGTCCTCTCAACAACTTAACATAAGAATCTCACCGTCTTTTAGATCGTGATGACATGCTTCCGAATACGAGAGAGATGACTACTGCTGATGCGGTCGTCGCAGGTTAGAGGGGAGAAGCAGGGATGACCGTTGTTCGGCTTACCAAGCGTACTGTTTAGCACTACACTAAACTTTTCACGCTTTAGGTCTTACAAAAGGCCCTGCGATTTCTGCATGTTCGATCTGCCCACGTGGAACCCCAGATGCTAGATTTCTCAACAATCCGGGCTCCCTTGTATAGCAGCCGGGAGAGCCGGCAATGTGCGGCTACAGGACAACTTGGTGAATCCGCATGGTTTACGCAATTGCAAAAGAACGTCATTTACAACAGTTTACCATCTTTCAGGATGACTAGCTTTACTAGCTCTGCAAATGTACGCCAAGCGTAAGCTGTGTGTGGGTCGGGATTTTTACTAACAAGGCGCTATCATACGCAGGGTACTACACCGTCACACACTAAACAATAACTCCTCTCGAACGAAATCAGCAAAGTAGACTAACAGCAGGAAGATAACCCATTCCAGCAAAGAAAAAAACAATCCCCGCATCTTGAAAACTTTGTGATCCAAAATAACCGCAACTCAAAAACCCAAATCATCCACCAACCACCAACCGCCAACCACTAATCACACGGAATCTGACATCCGCATCCAGTATCCAAGCAAACCCTCCTACGCACAATCCCAAATACCCTCACGACTCTCTAACCCAAACCGCACCAACCCATTCACACTAACTCTCCGTCCAATTTCTCATTCCCCATATTTCATTAAGGAACTCGGTAACCTCGGTCTGCGCCCACTAGCCCCGCACGTACTCAACGCACGTGAGTCGGCTTTAACTCTTACTACACCCATAACACTAAGCGCAAAGCAGTTGAACCAAGAAACCTGACACGCTTTACCTGACGTTCATACTGCTTTTGGTAGTTGAGCGTGCGGGGAACCGAGGACATGGAGTGATGCTTCGTACGAGGCTGGATGGGAGGAGGGGCCTGCGTTGCGGTTACTGTTTTGAGATAAGGGGGGGAGGCTTTAAATGTATATAGCATGTAATTTATTGAAACAAACATAGCTTGAGGAGGATATTTTAGATTCGCCGTTTTACAGAGACCGAGAGAAGAAAAGGTAGTAATAAAGTGGTGTTGCTACAACATCCCAACACTATACAGAACTCTGACACATCTCTAGGTCAACTTGACAGCCAACTAGCTACTCCAGAGTCCAAAAGCAACAATGCCCGTAAAATCCCGCTTCAACGTCCCCATCCCCCAAGTCTCCCTCCCAACCTACATTTTCGACTCTCCCACTGCGCCCTTACCCAAAACACCGCTTCTTATCTCCGCCGCGAACCCAGACTCGCATTTCCTCTCGCTGCACGACCACCGGCAGTATGCAAAGCGCTTCGCATCGGGTCTGCTGCGCGCAGGACTGCAGCCGGGAGATCGCGTGCTGCTCTTCTCGTCGAACACACTCTTCTTCCCTGCCGTCGTAATGGGCACCATAATGGCCGAAGGCATCTTCACCGGCGCAAATCCAAGCTACGTGACCCGGGAACTAGCATATCAGCTGCAAGACAGCGGAGCGCGGTATCTGATCTGCGCGGAAGCCAGTCTCGACACGGGGATTGCAGCCGCGAAAGAAATCGGGTTGAGTGCGGATCGGATTTTTGTGTTTGATGATGGGGCTGCGACGTTTGAAGGTAGAAAGGTGGAGCGGGACTCGGAGCTGGGGCGTATTCGGCACTGGACGGAGTTGCTCGATACACCAGAACATGGCGAGGCGTACGTGTGGCCGGAGTTGAGTACGGCAGAGGAGCTGGATCGCGTTGTTGCGCTGAATTACTCGTCGGGCACGACGGGGGTGGCGAAAGGCGTGATGATAACGCATAGGAACTACATTTCGAATTGTGTGCAGCAGTTGTACCTTCCAGCGCAAGAGGAAGGGTGGCAAGAGTCGTTGCCGCGAAGAAGGTATCTCATTTTCCTGCCCATGTATCATTCCATGGCGCAATCCTGGTTCTGCATGGGCGCCTTGAAGCAGCAGATCCCAGTGTACATGATGGCCAAGTTTGATCTGCTGCAAATGCTAGAGTATGTGCAGAAATACCGGATTACAGATCTCGTCTTGGTGCCGCCTATCCTTGTACTTATGGCCAAGCACCCTGCAACCAGGAAGTTTGATCTGAGCTCAGTGATGAGTGTAGTCTCTGGCGCTGCTCCTCTCGGTGGCGAAATCAAACAAGAGTTCGAGCGCCTATGGCCATCAGGCAAGATCAGCGTCAGAAACGGATGGGGTATGACGGAACTCACATGCGTTGGCTGTAACCATTATCCCTCGCTCCAGTATCCCAATTCCTCTGTAGGGGAACTGTATCCAAATCTCGAGGCAAAGATTGTTCTGGATGACCAGGGCGAGGTTGAAGCCCCTCAAGGTGAAAAGGGTGAAATCTGGATGCGCGGCCCCAACGTCATGAAGGGGTACTGGAACAAGCCCGAAGCAACAAAGGAGACCATCACATCGGACGGATGGTTGAAAACTGGAGACGCAGCATATGTGGATGCCAATCAGAGCATTCATATCGTCGATAGAAAGAAGGAGTTGATCAAGGTCAAGGGACTACAGGTTGCGCCCGCTGAGCTGGAGGCATTGTTATTGGACCACCCCGAGGTACAAGATGCTGCTGTCATCGGGGTACAGGCGTAAGTTTTGAAGTCACATGTAGGCGCACACCTGCTAATCGTGGTCAGTGAGGGTACCGAATTGCCACGAGCATATATTGTGCTTCGGTCTTTAGACAATGCCACACCGGAAATGGCAGCAAATATCAAAGCATGGCTGGCGGAGCGTGTCTCGAAATACAAGCGGCTGGAAGGCGGCGTGCACTTTATCGATGCGATTCCCAAAAACCCGTCTGGAAAGATTTTAAGGAAAGAATTGAGGAGCAGGGCTGCGCAGGAAGACCCTAAGCCAAAGCTGTAAATAGTCGACTACACATTTGTATCTGTCTCTGCCTATACAGGCCATCGTGGTTCTGGAATGACTATCAATTACAGTCTTGTTCTAGCGTGAATTTGGGTTGCAGTGCTGATTAAGACTGTCTCATAGGGCTCAAAGAAGGCACCAAGTCGCTGCCATATCCTCAAGCCATGGCGTCATGTCTGGTAGCCTTGGGGATGTCTTCAGTGCTGAAATTGCGTGTCCTCTGCTGCTTTGGTATTTACATGCAGCGGCATCCGCTCATGACTGTCATTTCCGTAATCTACCCTGAATGGGCACCTGCCAACGCTCTAATTGCTTCGCTCTCCGCCCTTGGCCGCTCTCAGCTCGTCCATCTTCTTCACGCGCTCCTTAAACTCCTCGTACTGGCACTTCTCGTATGAGTGTCGCTCGCTCTGTCCAACGTAGTCAGTCGATCTGCGGTTTCCCCCCACGTACACGGGAAATGAGCTTTTGCGCACCTCACACTTCCATGGTAGGTAGTACTCCTCGTACCGACACCGATTCAGCGGAATCAGAAGGTGTGCGCATGAATCTCTGTAGGGAAGGGGCAGCTTAGCAGCGCTCATCTCCTCGCGGGTAGCCTCTGCGTAGTTGTCAGTGTCTGGCATGCGGAGCCAATTACGTATGGGTACGTGGGCGCACTCACTCCGGGGCTCGCCGAAGCCGATGGCATGCTTGATGGATTCTGTGACAGTCATATTGGCGGCCCAGGGCGGTGTTTGTCGTCAATGGCACGCAGGACGAGGGGAAAATGGTGAGCGAGAGCGTCGTTTGCGGGCGAGGTTGCTGAGGTTCACTACGGTCGGCAAAGGGAAGCTGCCACCGCCCGACCCCGATGCTTGGCAGGGCAGGGCAGGCGCGACCGCGGCCCTTGCAACGCGACTTCCCCCCAGGTCTGACGCGAACCGCAGACACGTCTTCACGAAATCACTTGACACGCCTGCAAGACGCCGCTTGTGCTTTATTGAATGGTGAAAATGCCCCCGGCGCCCGATGGCAAAATATATTCGGCGACCTACAGTAATGTGCGTAGCGACAACCCGCCCTCTGCCTGTCGAATGTCCCTCGATGCTACTTGACTGCCATAGCTACCACCATCACTCCACCTCGGCCTCCCTGCTAACACTCGCCCCAGGTCCCCGTCTATGAATGCAACGTCAACGGCCACCATGTCATGCGCCGCCGTGCCGATGACTGGATCAATGCTACACACATTCTCAAAGTAGCCGACTATGACAAGCCGGCGCGAACCCGTATCCTGGAGCGCGAGGTGCAAAAGGGCGTGCACGAGAAGGTGCAGGGTGGATATGGCAAATACCAGGGCACATGGATACCGCTCGAGGAAGGGCGCGGGCTCGCGGAGCGCAACGGTGTACTGGACAAGATGCGCGCCATCTTCGACTACGTGCCAGGCGACAGGAGCCCACCTCCTGCGCCCAAGCATGCCACGGCTGCGTCGAACCGCATGAAGCCGCCTAGGCAGACGGCAGCAGCGGTGGCTGCGGCGGCTGTGGCTGCTGCGGCTGCTGCGGCTGCGGTTGCGAATCACAATGGTAAATTTGTCCATTTGTTTAAATCTATCCAGTCTCTTGTCGATGCAATCATGTGAGAGAATTTGCGCTGATGTATCGTGCAGCACTCATGAGCAATTCGCGGTCGCAAGCCAGTGAAGACCCGTATGAAAACTCGCAGAGGTCGCAGATCTACCGCGAGGACACACCTGACAACGAGACGGTGATTTCAGAGTCGATGCTGGGTGACGCCGATCTAATGGATATGTCGCAGTATTCGGCAGACGGTAACAGAAAGCGGAAGAGGGGGATGGACCAAATGTCTTTGCTAGACCAGCAACACCAAATATGGGCAGACCAGCTACTGGATTACTTTATGCTGCTGGACCACGAAGCAGCCGTGTCGTGGCCGGAACCACCGCCAAGTATCAACCTAGACCGACCGATTGACGAAAAGGGACATGCGGCTATGCACTGGGCAGCAGCCATGGGTGACGTCGGTGTGGTCAAGGAGCTAATACATCGAGGAGCACGTTTAGACTGTCTATCGAACAACTTGGAGACACCTCTGATGCGTGCCGTCATGTTCACCAACAACTTCGACAAGGAGACGATGCCGAGTATGGTCAAGATATTCCAACAGACAGTGCACAGGACAGATTGGTTTGGCAGTACCGTTTTCCACCACATTGCAGCGACTACGAGCAGTTCGAACAAGTATGTTTGTGCAAGATGGTATCTTGACTGCATCATCAACAAGCTCTCGGAAACTTGGATACCGGAAGAAGTCACGAGGCTTTTGAATGCAGCGGATCAGAACGGCGACACAGCCATTATGATTGCTGCACGCAACGGTGCGAGGAAGTGCGTACGAAGCCTGTTGGGACGAAACGTAGCAGTGGACATTCCGAACAAGAAGGGCGAGACTGCCGACGACCTGATCCGAGAGCTCAACCAGAGACGACGTATGCATGGCCGAACGCGGCAGGCCTCGTCATCGCCATTTGCGCCAGCGCCAGAGCACCGACTGAACGGACATGTTCCCCACTTTGACGGTGGGCCGTTGATGTCGGTACCCGTTCCTAGCATGGCAGTTCGTGAGTCAGTGCAGTACCGGTCACAGACTGCTTCACACTTGATGACCAAAGTAGCGCCCACGTTGCTAGAAAAGTGCGAGGAACTAGCGACGGCATACGAGGCAGAGCTACAAGAGAAGGAAGCAGAGTTTTTTGATGCCGAACGTGTAGTCAAGCGGCGGCAAGCAGAGCTAGAGGCTGTACGGAAGCAAGTAGCAGAGCTGCAGAGCATGTCAAAGGGGCTGCATATTGACCTCAATGACGAAGAGGCGGAGCGGCAACAAGAAGATGAGCTGCGGCTACTGGTGGAAGAAGCAGAGTCGCTCTTGGAGATTGAGCAAAAGGCAGAGCTGCGGCGACTGTGCAGCAGCATGCCGCAGCAAAACAGCGATAGTTCGCCAGTGGACATTACGGAAAAGATGCGTCTAGCGCTACTGCTGCACCGAGCACAGCTGGAGCGGCGAGAGCTGGTCAGAGAAGTAGTGGGCAACTTGAGCGTGGCGGGCATGAGCGAGAAGCAGGGCACGTACAAGAAGCTGATTGCAAAAGCATTAGGGGAGCGGGAAGAAGACGTCGAGTCGATGCTGCCCGAGATCCTGCAGGAGCTGGAAGAGGCAGAGACGCAAGAGCGGGCCGAAGGACTGGATGGTAGCCCGGTGTGATTCGAGCAACTTGGTCAGATGTCTGCCACCGACGTTTTTTGATTCCCCCGGCGCATTCTTTCTTGGTTGCTGGGCTATGATTTAGGGAGGACGGATAGGGTAACGAGCATTTTACGACCGAGATAACAGCACTGCTAGTTCCTAATGGACGCACGGAATCGTGATCACTTTTGTTTCCGTTATCGGTCATGCTGTCATTGTTGGGCTTCAGCACATAGGAGTACGTCGAAAATAACCTGCTCGCGTCCCCCACGGGGCTTGGAGGCTGCTTCTATCTATCTATACTAGGACAAGCAAGTCACTTGATGGCGCATGGGAGATGCAGAGTCTGGTCATCTGAGAGACGTGGACAACAGGCGACGCCGTTCGTGAAGCTGGGTTGTGATTCGACTATGCATGCAGCTAAAGTATGACGTGATGCCGGCCGGCCAGCGGCATGTCACGTCGAATTGCCAAGGGGTTTTGAGGAGGAAGAAGTATCCCAAAAGGCGGCGTGCGGTGTTTGTATAAGGTAAACGATGAGTAACAAGATGGAAAATACAGCTGGACGCAGACTTGGCTGAGACGGGGAGATTGGATGCGAGGGAAAAGACGCGTAGGCGGCAGGTGGGCTCAGCTGCGATTGGGCCGTGGGGGAGGTGGAGAGTCAGGTCAGCGGAGTTTGCACGGAGGTTACGGCATGCAGGGGGCTTGGCCGTGTTGCAGTAGTACGCGGCTGCGATGCCACCAGGCACCTGAAGACAGACATCGCCAGTCGCCAGTCACAACTACTAAGCATTTGACGCCTGCGCCCGACCCAAGCAAATCAATTCCCACAAAAAGGACACCGCCACACATTCCCCCCCTGGTACCTTCCCACGCTGCAGCCCCCCAGGCCCACCCACCCATCATCACCTGCCACTCGGCGCGGCCTCTTGCTCTGCCCAACAATCGCCTTATATGCCTGAGTCGATCCCTCTACGCAAGAAACCCCCAGCAACTCCTCGCGCCCTCGCCCATACCCACTCCGACGACTTTAGCCTCTCTCCCGCCTCTAACGCGCGCCATCTTTCGCGCTCACGCTCCTCCTCACGACAGCCGCGCAACCCGGCCCGAGACTTTGACGATTGGGATGACCACGACCCAGCCATGCCCTCCGATCTGAGACCCTCCCTCGAGCGCCCCGATGGCCGCGCCAACTCCCCTCTGTTGGGGCGCAAGACCGAGGACGATACCGTCGAAGAGGGCCTGTTGAGCAGGAGCACACACCACTTTCACGAACGAGACCCAGAGACACAGGCAAAACTTGAGACACGGAGAAAGTACACGTATGCTGCTTTCCTGCTGGCCCTGAGCCTGATCAGCTTCACCGTACAGACAGAGACGGCCGTGTACATCCAGCACCAGCTCAAATGGGAGAAGCCATATTGCATGCTGTACATGACCCACGGCTCCTGGGTTGTGCTGTGGCCTGCGACTCTTGCCCTGCTCCGTCTCCAGAATTGGAGCGAACCGTGGCCGACGTTTTGGCGCAGACACGTCCACGTCCTGCGCCAGACGGCCCTCATGGTCCAGCACCAGACGCTCCACCCCACGCCTCGGCAATCCCAAGTCTCTCCCGTCCCGTACATGGTGAAGATGACAGCTTTCATTACATGTGCTTTGACTCTTGCAGGAGGCAGCTGGTATGTGGCCGTTAACATGACGACTGCCAGTGACCTGACGGCCATTTACAACTGCTCTGCCTTCTTCGCCTACGCCTTCAGCATCCCCATCCTCCGTGAAAAGGTGCGCGCCAGCAAGGTCTTGGCCGTCGCCATCGCCATTGCCGGTGTCTTTGTTGTGGCATATGGCGACCAGGCGCCCGCAAAGCACGGCTCCAAGTCTGGCGGTGGGGCCGGTGGTGATAAGGCGCCGCCTTCACAAGAAGCCGAGAACCGCGCTTTTGGCAATTTGGTCATTGGCGTTGGTAGTGTCTTGTACGGTCTCTACGAGGTCTTGTACAAGCGGCTGGCTTGTCCGCCAGAGGGTGCTGCACCAAACAAAGGCGTCATCTTTGCAAATCTGTTTGGCAGCTTGATTGGCGCATTTACCTTGAGTGTGCTGTGGATTCCATTGCCATTGCTCCACTGGCTGGGCTGGGAAATATTCGAGCTGCCCAAGGGAGAGCAAGCATGGATGATGGCTATCAGTGTTTTGGCAAATGCCAGTACGTCTCCCTTTCTTTTCCTTTGTTCCAGCTTTTCCAAACCCATTCGCTAACTTTTGCATCTCTAGCCTTCTCGGGCTCTTTTCTCGCCCTCATTTCTCTTACATCGCCCGTCCTTTCTTCGGTGGCGGCACTTCTTACTATTTTTATCGTTGCGCTAGTCGACCAGCTGCTTCCCCCGCCACTCAACTCGCCGCTTACGCCCGCCGCTATTGTAGGCGGTCTTTTAATCATTGGGGCTTTCACTCTCTTATCCTGGGCTTCGTATAAGGAAATGGATGAGGAGCGTAGGCATAAACTTGAAGAGGCTCCTAGCGAGCTGGACGATTAGAAGGGGAGGCTCTTTGTTTTCTTCCATTGGCGTCTTAAGAAAAAGAGAGGGCGGCTGTGCGATGGATTCAGCAGTTGCACTTTTCCCTATGCTTCCTTTCGATCTTCATCTTTCTTGGATTCACAACAAGGTCATTCGCTTATCGGACCTTTGACTGGTTTCTTGAATCTCGGCCGCGACGTTTTTTTGCATCTTTGGGCATTGTTTTGCAACTTGGAGATTTGTTCGATAGACCACTTGTTTTTTATCTCTTTTTATCTACTAGGCGGTAAACCAAAGGCGGCGGTGTGCAGCATTTGACGAGAAAGAGCATTGTTGGGTTACCTGTTGGAAAATCTATTAGAAGGGCGTTATCTGTGGCGTTTCTGTACCGGTGCAGACTAAGAGGTCTTGCTGTCTTTCTGTTCTTCAAAAATCCAAACCTTGGTTCTTCGTCGGGGTGTTTTTAATCATGTTGAGTGAGCAAGATATCAGGTCAGAGAATAACAACAGAGTGTGTCTTGGGGGAGACCAAGGTAGACATTACCATTGAGAAAAGGAGTTGACAATATGAGATTCTAGATGAAAAACAGATGAAAATAAAGATTATTCAAAGACTTCATAGGCCCGGAGGGGATACAAGACGAAGATATTGAATGTCTCTATTCTCCTGTGAAGACAGACATGGGATGCAAAAGAGTGGTATGACTGGAGGGTAACAGAGGCAACAGCCCATACGCTAGTCATCAGACAATGTTCGCGAAGTTTCGATACACTGCCCTGCCATACATGTCAAACCCTTGGTGTGGCATCATAACGGCGTAGGGCAGCGCCCTGACCCGCTCCTATCCTCTACCTAAGATACATCAACATCATAGTACAAGCACATATCTTCGACCTGAACATAGCCACTACAGCACCATGACACAAACACAACCTGCTGCACCCCCCGATCTCAGCGCCAAACTCCCCAAGCTCATTCCACGCAGACGCGCCCCCACGACGCGAGAACCACCTTCTGCCCCTCCCCCGCCGACGCCCTCACTCCCCGCGCCTCCAAACCTAGCGCAGCACACATACATCCACCCGTCGCGCCGCATCCTCAGTCCCCAAGACCACGAGCTCTTTCTAAAAAGCGAAACATGCACCCTCGTCGAAGCCTTCATCTTCGGCATTGCCGACGCCGTCCGCGATAGAAGCATATCCAGCGTGCGCGACGGCACCGAAGCAACCCCAATAATCAAAACCATCGTCACGATCCTGCGCTCCGCCGAAGAAATCCTCTCAACATGCCCCCCCGAAGACACGGGCTCCCGCTTCGGAAACCCCATGTTCCGCTCTTTCCTCGACGAGCTCGAAAAAGCCCTGCCAGCCTGGCACGAGCAGCTCGGTCTCAGCGACACAGCGCAGATTGAAGAAGTATCAACATACCTCCGCCACTCCTTCGGCAACCGCCAACGTATCGACTACGGTTCCGGCCACGAACTCAACTTCTTCCTCTGGCTCCTGTGTCTCAACCGCCTCGGCTACCTCCCTCCATCTACCTTTCCCGCCTTAGCCCTCGTCGTGCTCCCCGCATACCTACGCCTCATGCGCCGCGTCCAAGAAGCATACTACCTCGAGCCCGCGGGCTCCCACGGCGTTTGGGGCCTTGACGACTACCAATTCCTTCCCTTCCTCTTCGGCGCCGCCCAACTCCTGCATCACCCGTACATCACGCCAAAATCAATCCACAACGCGCTGGTGCTGGAGGAGGAAGGCAAAGAGTTTCTTTATCTTGACCAGATTGCGTTTGTAAACAGTGTCAAGAATGTCGAGGGACTGCGCTGGCATTCACCCATGCTGGATGATATTTCCTCGGCGAAGAATTGGGGCAAGATTGAGGCTGGTATGCGGAAAATGTTTCGCAAGGAAATCCTCGAGAAGTTGCCCGTTATGCAGCATTTCTTGTTTGGGAGCTTGGTGCCTGCGGTCGAGGGGATGAGTGTCGAGGATGAGGCGGAGAAGGAAGGGGAAGAGGAAGGTGCGGAAGGGGGAGGCGAGGTGCAGGTGTTTGATGATGAGGCGGGTAAGAGACATGTGCATGCGAGCGTGGGCTGGGGCGACTGTTGTGGTATTCGTGTGCCTGCGGCTGTAGGGGCGGAGGGCGAGGCAAGAAAGGGAGGTGCGAGGGGTTTGAGGAGAGTGCCATTTGATTGAGAGACTTTTCCATATGGCATCAAGTCGACTGGCGTTTTTGTTTTTGATACGAATACCCAAAAGAAAGAAAGAAAGAAACAGACTGCAGATCACCCTTGATATAAGACATATACATACCAATAAAACCATATAAAATCCAACAATTAAGCATTCATTCTATTCTTATTTATCGTGCATATTTAGTGGTATCAATCATGCCCTCTTCTTCTTCTTCTTCTTTTTCTTCTCTCCCTCATCATCCCCGTCCATCAACCATCCCTTTTTTATTTCTTGCTCAGCTCCTTCTCAATTTCCGCCTTGAGATCCTCGGGCTTCTTGGTACTCGCCCAGCGTCCCTTGACCTTGCCATCGCGTCCAATGAGGAACTTTTCAAAGTTCCACTTGACACGCTTGAGGCCCATGAGGCCCGGCTTTTCGTTCTTGAGCCATTCGAAGGCGGGGTCTGCGGTAGCGCCGTTGACCTATTCAATCACAACAATACATCAGTAGCTATTCCCGAACCCGTATTCAATCTTAAATCTTGTCATGGGTTTTGTGTGTGTGTGTGTGTATGTGTTGCCCATGGCAAGCCATAGCGGCAAAAGAAGAAGCGAGAAGGAGAATATACGTACATCAATCTTTCCCAGCACCGGAAAACTAACACCATAGTTCACCTGGCAAAACTCCTGAATCTCCTCGTTTGTTCCGGGGTCCTGGCCGCCAAACTGGTTGCAAGGGAAACCGAGGATTTCAAAGTCATCTGGGTACTTGGACTTGATGTCCTTGTAGAGTTTCTCGAGGCCTTCGAATTGAGGGGTGAAGCCGCATTTCGAGGCCGTGTTTACGACGAGGACGACTTTGTTGGAGAGTTGGGAGAGGTCGTAGGGTTGGCCCTTTTCTGTTGGGGGTGGTTGTTAGTGCTTGGGAGTCTTGGGGGAGTAGAGAGGTGGGAGTGGTGTGAGCGAGAGGGGAGAGGTGGAGGGGCATGGGAAGAGAGGAATCATGTGTCTGTTTCGCAGGAACAGCAAGCCTCTGTCTCCTCCTCCTCCTCTTCTTCTTCTTCTTCTTCTTCATGTACATCCTCGAGGTAGAACAGCGGAGAGAGAAAGAGGACAAACTCACTATCCTTGGGCTTAAACTCGTAGAAGCTCGTCGCAGAAGCCATGGTCGCGTATTCTCTTCTCTTCCAGCTCTTAGCAATAACAGTGCTTCTCTCACTCGATCTAACAACAGCGGCGATACGTGTTGCAGCGAAAAAGGTATTCGTAGTAGTAGCAGTAGCAGGCCGACGAGGCAAGGTTAATAAGCCCGGGTCCCTCGCAACAAGCTCACAACGCGGGGCAGTGCTCAAGCTTCTCGCCCCTCGCCGGATTCCTAATCCCACTCCACTACTACCCGCTCTGCACCACCACCACCGCATCCACCGGACATGTGACACCACCGCCGCCGTTCCAGCCGCAGCGCCCTCGGACATCCTTCCCAACATCATACTGTACTTTCGCTATTTCCAAACCTGCAAGTGTATCACAACTGACTCCGGGGGGGGGGGGCTGAATCGCAGAACTTACTGATGCACGGCGGTCCGGACCCTGCGAGCTGACAAAATAGCAATACAAAAAATAAAGGTGTGATTCGTAAATGACCCGTTCGGACGGTTTGGCAAGCACGGTGGTTATGGCGTGTGTGTGTGCGTGACGGAACACCGCGATGGCGCTTATCCTACCCCCCCCCCCCCCCGCTTGCCCGCCCAAAAAAATGTGAGGAAACAAAGTCGGCCGAGGTATATCTTATCGGCTGAGAAAGCAAAAATGCGGCAGTGGACCTGACTCCTTTCTCTAATGTGTGTGCGTGCGTTACGAGGCTCTGACTCGGCTACATAGTTTTACGTGCGTAGTATCGTATGGAGCTGTGTAACGGACTAAAAAAAAAAAAGAGGCGTGATTAATTCGGAGTGCAACTTTGATCCTGGTGCAGAGTGAATGACGTAGGGAGGGCTGGTGATTGATGGCTGCATTAGGGCCGAGCCTTGGAACAAAAACCTTGCTGGGCGATAAGCTGGGATTCGGTCCGACTGTGCGTGCTGCATGCATGTGGAGAGAGAGGAGAGGGGCACTGGAGGGGCACGCATATCCGGTGAGTGATTGAGATTCACGCAAGAAGGTTCATGTTTGGATTCAGCACGCTTCGCTCTCACAACTCATGAGCATTGGATGAGGATTAAACAAACAAACGCCCCTCTATTAGATATACAAAGTACAAAAGGAGGAGGGGCCACCAACTTCCGCAAAACGGGCAATGATGGCCAATACAAGACTGACCTCTCTGAATTGGTCACCTCCTCTCTTCCCAATCCTAGTCTAGATATGCCATTTCGACGCCGTAAATACAAGAACAAGAAGATACAAAAAACTACAGCCAGATGATAGGCTCTCCTCCGTTAACATCAGATCAATCAATCAATCTCGCACATCGACCAAGACTCATGCCAACCATATTGCAATGAGTGAGGACCGCAGTCCATCTCCCCTTAAAGGGGTTCTCAGCTGTCGCCTTGACGGCAGACCAGCAATCCTTCGGCTTCCGAGTCCACGGCTGGGACAAAATCCTTGGGCTTTATGCATCCTATGGCTTGTATCCGGCAATGTTCATCCATCCAGGGTCATGGGCATCCAGAGACTTGTGGCAAGTCTTGATCCTTCATCCGCTAGGCATGCGGGAATCCCATCCGGCTTTTGGAGAACGCGGAAAAGCAAAAACGCAAAAGTGCATGTGTTGAAAAAAGAGCAATAGCAGAGGGGTCCTTGGGTAAACGACAAACCTACTTGGATGCGTCACGGCAGACCGACTCTACAGACGTATCCTTCCTTCAGCCACCGAAGACATCTCGGTACTGAGTGCAAATGTCGTGAAGGCCGACAACCTCCTTGGTCAGTTGGATGTCATCACCGAGATCGCTTGGGTTGCTGAGGTTGGTGAGCACCTCGATGATGTGCTGCTTCTTGGCAAGGAACTCCTTGGAGAGCGCCTCGCGACGTTGCTGGCGTTGTTGCTCAGCAGTAAGCTTGACAACCTTGGCACGCTTCTCTCCAGACTCCTCGGCAGATGCCTTGCGCTTGCGCGAGGAAGACTTGCGAGTAGCTTGTCCTTGCACAGGTGGCGAGGGCTCAGTAGTGGGCCCATCGTACTGGTGGACTCGCTTCATGTGGTCAAAGAGGTTGTAGCGACGAGGGAAGCCGTGACCAGGCACAGCTCTCTCACAATCCCTGAAGTGGCACAGGTGTGGCCGAGCGCCGTGACCGTGCATACCGTGCGCCTCGCGCTCGTGGCGGAGAAGGCATGCAGTAGAAGAGAACTGCACACCAACGCAGGTCTTCTTGTTGCAACGGAAAGGCTTGAGGTGAGAGTCGACGTACTTGCTAGAAACAGTTTAGACACGTGTCATATAGTAGGATGGACGGTATGGAACGTACTCGTAGTTGCACTTCAAAGCAGTTGGCTTGTGGCTGCATCCAGCCTTGCCCTCCTCAGGGCAGTGGTACTTGCCATCCTTGTCTGGCGTTTGTTGGTACAGTGGGTGGCTGCGGGCAACCTTTGTGCGCTCCTCCTCGAGCTTGGTGTCAGCGGCCTCAGATTGAGAAAGTGTGTCGTGTCCATCTAGCGACTGAGGTGCAGATGCTGCCTTGATGTCCTCGTTCTCATTGCTTTGAAAGGTATTAGCGGACATATACATGGTAAGAGGGAAAGGATATCTACCGAGATTCGGCAAGTCTTGACTGGTCAAGGTCGACCGTAGGGAAGTGTACACTGGTGGTGCTAGTAGGAGTGGCAACGAATGCACCAAAGGTCGAGTCCTGTGTAGATGCTCGCCTAGACTCCTGCTGGAAGCCGTATGATGAGTAGCGTGCAGCAGCAGGGCGCTCAGAGGCATCGAGAGAAGCATTCTGCCAGTTGCGTTGAGAAGTGGGGGTGCTGAACATGGCATCGTTGGTGTTGTGTGATGGCCATGAAGAGAATGGGAAGGTGTTGTTCTGGAAGTGGGCATCGGCACTTGGCCAGTGCGGCGAGCCGCTGATGGAGGAGGGTGTGAATCGTGTCATGTTGGATGTTGTGTACTGGGTGTAGTCCTGAGCAGTAGAGTAATTAGCATAAGCGAGGGGACCATCCGTGGGTTCCCATGATCCGGAAGTGGATGTTTGTTGCACGTGGCTCATGTCCAGGGCGTCCGGGAAAGCACTGAAGTTGTCTGAGCTCATTGTCGGTGAGTAAATGTCGCTGCCAACAAAGTGGCTGCTCATCTGGCTCTCCTGGCGGTTCATCTCTGGCTTCCTGGGTCCGCGCCGGCTGGCGCCGCTCTGGCTCTGGTATGCGCTGTCCATGCTGCACTCAGAAACAGTATCCTTCAGTTCAAAGAAGTCTGACGTGCTCATGTCCTGGAAATCTGAAGAGAAAGGAAAGTCCGGTGCGGAAACAATAGGTGCAGGGATCTCCTTTCTCCACTCAGTGATGTTTGAGATGTAGAATGCGGGCTCCGGTGGTGAATCGAAGAAAGAGTCGCTGGACGCCAGAGTCAGTACCAAACACACGTTCACGGCAAACCTGAATGATAAAAGAACAATTGAAGACAAAGGAAAACGCCATGTTAGTACATTAACCAGAAGGAAACCTGTGCAAAGCCTCACGTTAGCAAAGATCAGTAGACGGAAGACATGGTGGTAAGCACGCACCTCAAGGAGCCAGTAGGGTCATCATCATTGGCCATAGCATATCCAGGTTGACGTATCCACGTCGGAGCGAGAGTGGTTCGACGAGTAATATGACAGTATTCCCTGGTCGAGTACTTATAGCAGGTATCCAGGATCCAGTAGAAGCAGTTCACAGAAAACCAGGGCAACTCATCCAGAACAACAGGTGTTCCTTTGACCACACTCAAGTTAGTTTTCGATCAATGGGTCGGTAAGGATAGGCAGACTCTAGCCCATGTACGTACTTCATGTCCGACCAAAAGAATCAATCTCCAAACCCATAACCGTGGCCGGTCTGGGCTAGCGCGTCCAGGGTATGGTCCAGCACGTGACCTGACATAAAAGTCACGTGTTCCATCGGCTGATCCTTGGTACATGGTCCATGGCTTGGCGTCCTTTGGGAAAGCGTACACTCTTATTACCAGTGTGGTCTGTCGTTTAGCCTAGTTGAACAGCAACAGAGAAGAACGACATTGTCGGAAGGTGCCTACGTAATCCTGACGGCGATGCAGGGCTGCATGCCGTTTGTCGCACAAAAAAATTTGATCCAGTGTGGTGTTGGGCATCATTAGCGAGGATCCACTCTCGTATGTTCACCGCCGTTTCGAGAGCTCTGCATTTTAGCTCTGAATCGGGGGCATCGAGGCCTCGTGATTGTCGTTTCTACAAACACTGCAAGGGCAGTGTGCTACGTGTCTCGTATCCTGGGAAGATTATCCTTGGGGGGAAATGTGGTCCTGGGAGAAGTGAAGAAAAGTGGCCTTGTGATTGTCCTTTACCGGGGCGGTAAATCCTATGGAAGAAGGGTATCCGTATCCTGTGGCATCCTTTGGGAGATCCATCTGGGGCTGTAATGGCGGCGAACAGAAAGACAAGAAAAATCAAACAGTAGGAAAGAAACACATGATTGTAGCAAGACAGGCGGTAGTATGACGGCAAGACTGAAAGGAAAAGGTGAAGGTCAAAGCAAAAACAAGTTGGGGGAGGAAACCGTTGGGCAGTAAGTACCTGGATAGGGCTCCGTCTGGGCTCCGAATTGTCATCCTGAGCAAGGGCTCTTGTTTTTTTGATGTTGTATATGTCGTATTGGACAGATTAAGCAAACGTCGCAAAGAAAGATTGCTAATGGAGCTTGTTTGCAGCGTGATGGCAGTGGTTGAGAGTAAAAGCTGTGGTGTTGAGGAGGAAAGAAGGAAGCGAGAGAGGTGAGAATATGCGGGCGCGGACTTGGGTTGCTGACGGGATGGTGGCTTGGTTTGAGTGCCAACGCATAGGAGAAGGCCCCACACGCAAGTGCCGCGAGCAAATGTCTTCGGCGGTTTGGAGGCCAATGGGATGAATTTGCGTGCGTGGCCGGGTTGGGAGAGATGCACTTCTTATCACTCCGAGTCAAGCGCTAACGTCACAGACTTTGCGCTCGGTTCACGAGTCACCCTTGGCCGCTCTCGCGATTCACAGACACTGGACGGGATTCCGTGTCGGCGTAATACTCTGCTCCTGTCGCTCCCGGCTCGCAATAGGGGATGCTAAATTGAAATGCCGCCAGGGGCCCGTCGGGGATTGCAGAGGGAGCAGTGATCATCGCGGGTGGCAGCCAACCGCGTGGCCCGAGGGACGACGCGATACCACCGTCACACCTGCAAATTCAGGGAACCCGCCAGCCGAACGCGCACACACGGTGGATGCACCCCTCGTCTAGCTCAGCGATCAACCACGACCAAACCTGAACTGCCTGAACTGTGCCGAGGCCATGCTTGCACTTGCGAACCATCTCAGAAAAACAAAGCAGCGGCGGGCTGAGCTTTGCGCAAAATGCGGCAACACGAGCGCTCACGCAATAATGCCAGCCGTCGTTTTATTTATTGATATGCCACGGCCTGCGGGATACCGGCTGGGTGCTCCCTTGACCCGCTCCATCCGCAGGGCCCGGCACAACAGTCCGACCAAATTTCATTTCCCCTGGTCGGCCATCATATTGCAGTTGCAGTTGCAGGTGCAATTGCACTCTCTGCACACGGCGGCCAACTGGCCATGCTTCACTGCATACACACATACTTACTTGAACCACCTGCATGCATACTTACCGTCATACCATATGTATGGACGCATACTGTACATACACATCTATGCACACTTACGTCCGCCTGACCTGGGCAAACGACCAAACCATCATGTGATGCAGACGTAGGCGGCGGCCACTGGTCCAAGGGAAACCATGCACGGCGTACAACCACATGCAGCCGTGATATACCGCCAGTCCTTCATACCACGCCCCTATTGGCAAACACCGGCCACCCTCCTTGATCTATGGCACAGTACTCAAGGCAACGTGGCTCGTTCGCAGAGAAGTCTATTTAGAGTCAGAACTTGTTGTAACAGCAAGCGGCCAATGGCACAAGTTGGGATGGTGGCTGTGATCAGATAGGAGCGAAAGACAATGCTATTTGGTTCCTCAGTGTCCTTTGGACTAAGATGAACTATGCTTTAAAAAATGTGGTATCATCATGCAAGGGGATGGGATTGTTGACAAGTGTCACGTACCTTTGCTGGCCAATGCCATGTTTGCTGCAAGGCTGCGGCTGCTGCAGTGAGACTGCACCAGAAAAACTTGATCTGATGCCAACGTCGAGGCAGTAATTTGAGTTACACCAAGACAGTTTGCGCAGCATGTGTCGGATGGCGCATTAAAGGGTGGAGGGCAAGTCGTGACACGTGCGGCGACAAGCAAAAATATTCCTCATCGGCCCGGCTGCTATGTATCCGAAAGATCTGCATCAGTAGCTATCATTGCAATTGCGTCTCTCTCAGGAGACAGCACGCAACCTGTTAACGGCTGGAGGCGGCAAATTCTAAAAAGGGGCAGCCATTGCACATGCCAGAAATACGAGGTCGACGGCTCAACGCTGTGCTGAGTCCGGGAGAATTTGCGGAAGTCTGCCCCAAGGTTACCTTGCTGAGGGTTGAGGAAGAGATTGCTCTGCAGTGCGAGCGCGAAAGACATTTGCTCTCGCTTAACAAAAGCGGTAACGCGCGCTTATTTGTCAGCCACTGACGTCACTGCTATCAGAGCAACAGACGCCGACGGCGTTATTCTTCACTCAGCCGCCGACTTGTAATTCCTTAGCCACCAGCCGTGCCTGCTAGCACTGGTCATACATACTTACCACGAAATCAACGACAATTTTCAAAGACATGACATCAACTATGCCGACATATGGCTCCTGCGCCTGTACAAAGCTTGGCTGAATGCCGTTGGTGGAAGCTTCTCGATGGTGTCATAGCGTGCCTACAACGCTATGCATCCACGAAGGGTCCCAGTAGCTTTACTTCAAACATATGGTCGAATCCACCGTTGTTGTACTACCCAAAGATCAACAGGTGTACATAACAGCGGTCGGTCCATCACGGCCGCCGCGATCTGCTTACAAAAACTAGTGCGATCGATACCCCTTCCCCGACTGCGCCTCAGTACCCCTTAGCATGGACAAAGCCGCATCTGTCATTGCGGTCGCTGGACCCTGCACGCCGTCTTCGACGCCTCGACTATCGTCCAAGATCGATGTCACGTGCAAATAAACGGTCTGGCTAGCATTCACGCTTTAGATCATCGAGCCGTGTCAGGTGTGGATAAATTAACTGAATATGATTCGCTGCCAAACTCCGATTAGATTTGGCCAACAGAAGTAAGTGCAGCATAGCGCCGTTTGCTTGCCATTCATGTCATCGCTACAGACGTTCAGGGTCCAAACTGCACTGTCAGAATGCGGGGGAGGGCTAGACCCTCACTGATTGGTACGATCATGTATCGTCTGCGTAATGGTCATGCCACATGCGATCGTGTACTCGACAGTATGGGACTGAGGGGGTATTTATCAGCAGTTTGAATTCCTGTTTGCAAAATAACCAATATCCGCAATTTACTCTCAATCCACACATCAAAGTTTTATTTCAACTCTTCACACGATTTCTATTCATACTAAATATCAAACATGTCTTCTCCAATCAACAAAGTCTTTGGCAATGATGCCACCCCAGCCATGCCTGAAGCTCCAAAGCAAAACAATGATCGCCGAGCATCTGATGCCTCTGTCGGATCCGACTCTTTCTTCAATGGTCGCCGAAGGGTATGTTGAATACTTGGCCGATTGAGCAGCCGTGACTGACATTGTGTAGTCTTCAGCAGCCCAGAGGTTTGCAAACCTAGAGGCTCTCAAGCGTCGTCAGGATGAGGAGAGCTTGGCTCGCAGACAGTCCTTCCATGATGCATACGGAAAACCTGGTATCATCGGTACTTGGTGGAACAAGTATGATTCTCAACTCTTCAAATGCTCCCAAATTCAATACTAATTGTTCTCAGCTTCACCCGTGGACCTCTTCATCCCACCACCCAGTCCCAACAATCGAAGGGCGGATCGTCATAAGTTTTTGTTTGTTCAAGTGCGCGACATGACAATGACATGAATGTTTATGAAGCAAGAAGTCAACAGGCAGACACGGTTTGCTCACAGAGTCGATGACCAAAAATGAGAGAACTGAGCGTTTTCGCAAACATGTATTATACCAGCATGATATGAATTCAAAGACAAACAACATACAAATGAGCCCATGGATTCAGTTGATACATGTGATGAAACGTGAGATCTGAGCTGTGAGCTGTGAGCTGTGGGCTGCGGCTGAGTGTGGGCCAGTGCGGGGAAGGCCCACCAAGTTGCTATTGGCTGTTGTGAAAGTGACGTTGTGGCTACATGCGCCCAATATTCACGAACGAACACCTTTCTTTATTACCACCTTGCGTTCTCCTTGCTGTTGCCTGATCCGTGCTGCTGCTGCTGCTATAATACGCTGGATTCGTAACTACACTACAGAAAACTTGCGCGACTACTATTTCCCAGTCCCGGCGCCCCGCTACACACAGCACTTCGTCATTTATGCCAGGTTGCGTCGCGCCATCAATCCAACGACGCTATATCAAAGCAAGCGATGACTGCCAGATCTCGCTCTCCAGGATCTGGCGACATTACCAGTATCAACCTCAATCGCCTGCTCTCGAGGCTAGAGCGTATAGTATTGGCAGATCCGTCACCAGAGCTACGAAAGTCCAGTTATGAGCGGGCACGCGTGAGCGCAGTAGGTTGAAGCATATGCACCATGTCTATAGATATGGCTTGCTAACACTCCCCAGAATATCGAACATGCGCGGACATTACTCCTCAACCTTGAACACTCGGCCTCGACAATACCCTCCAAGTCTAAGAAATCGGAACTACAAACCGATCTGCAGCAAAAACGCGAGCTTATAAAGCAGCTGAATCAACGGATATATGAATTGAATCAGCTGGACGATACAGAATCGGAAGGGTCTGTAGACTCTGATCAAGAAGACGCAGATGATTTTCCTTCATATGCGCCGAGAGTGAAGACAGAGGCTGGACGGGATATTACAACGTCAGGGGGAAAAAACGAAGCACTCGAAAATGCTGCGCAGGGATTGGCATCAGAACTGCGACGGAGAGGCAAACCAGAGGCTGACGGAGCAAAGTCTGGGGCACAAGCAGCCTCTGGCAATTCTCTTTTCCCTTCGAAACCCACAACGACGACAGGCGACCCAAGCCATGCGCAGACAGAGGCTCTCCTATCGTATGAAAGAAATGAACAAGAAACGCTCACGACAAGCCTCCTCGACATGGCCAAGCTATTGAAGCAACAATCGATAAACTTTTCAAATACGCTAGAGGGCGATAAGAGTGTGGTAGATCGTGCATTGGCTGGGCTAGACAAGAACACGTTGAATATGGATGCTGCTAGTAGGAGGATGGGCACGCTGCGGAAGATGACTGAAGGCAAGGGTTGGTGGGATAGAATGAGGCTCTATGGCATGATTGCTGGCCTATGGTTGATCGCATTCCTAATTGTATTCGTAGGGCCCAAGGTCCGTTTCTGAAACTGCCCTTGCGGGTAGCGACGTTGTCAGAAAAGAACGATTGGATTTCCATCCATGTTACGAATGTTTCGCAAGCATGAGGGGCGGTGGGCGTGGCACATAGCTCACATGGGCACGCCAACATCACCATCAGCACCAATGACAGCGTGTCACGCATGAGCTTGGCCAAAATTTCAGTCAACATCCATGGCGCTACGCGCTTTGCGCCGAACACGTATCTGCGTGCACACCACGTGGCTCACACGGCAGCCTTGATGCATCTTCACCGCTGAGCCACAGAACTGGACCCTGCGCCCATCTCGCATCCTGCAAGCAGCCGCTTAGCGTCATTGAGCCCCGTCTTATTATGTACCTTGATTCCGCCAAGTGCATCACTCAAGAACAACAATAACTCAGTATTAATCTATTGCATCCCTTTCCAATTGACATACTCGGTGTCGCGACAAGATGACAGCCATACAAATGACCGCTTTGGGCTCACGCTGTACGTACCCAGCCCCCCCCCCATGTTCCTGATCGCGCCTACCCGCAATTGCGACAACAACTAACAAACACGCTCAGCTCTCAACCACTCTTCCGCAGATGCGGAGGCTGAATATGACCGCCTTCGCGATCTTGCCCGTCAAGAAGCCGCCAAACGCTCCTCATGTTTCGACCGCGCACACCAAGCGTACGAGTCCGGCGATGGCGCTGCCGCCCACGAGCTCTCACAAGAAGGAAAGAAGCACGCCGAAAAGATGGAACAATACAACCGCCAAGCACGCGACTTCATCTTCCGGGAAAACAACGCCGAAGGGCGCGTTGACAGCGACACAATTGACCTGCACGGTCTCTTTGTAGAAGAAGCAGAAGACGTGCTCGAGGAACGAATCAAAGTCGCCAGACAACAAGGCCAAACCCACCTCCACGTCATTGTCGGCAAGGGCAACCACAGCAAGAACCATGTGCAAAAGATCAAGCCGCGAGTCGAGCAAGTATGCCGCGAACTGGGCCTCCAGTACCGCACCGAGGAAAACGAAGGTAGAATCTTCGTCAACCTACAGGGCGGCAACGTTGACGAAATGCCACCGCCTCCTCACGCGCCCTCGGCTGGATACCCCGGACACAACCAGCAGCAGCATCACGGCGGTGCTCCCCCGCAACACCATGGTGGTCAACACCAGCAACAGCCTGATCAGCAGCAGAACCAGAATGATGAGATTGAGCAGATGGTTAAGAAGGGTTTGCCCAAGTTGCTCAAGATGCTCAAGTGCTGTACTGTTATGTAAGGCTGTTGCTACTGTAGGTTGGCTTGTATTGCGAGAGATATGTACATTTGCATATTTGTAAGAAGGTGTATATGATCCACATGGCAAAAAGAAACAAGAAGAGTAAAAATTGGAATAAGAGAGTGGCAATTGGGAGAAATTTGTATAAAGCGAAAAGCAAGATTGTGATACCCAAGAGAACGTTGTTATACGTGGGTGAGTGAGTGAGTGGGTACGATGAAACACTTTTACGGTCATGTCCAGAAGGAGACCTGTTAGGGTCTCTCTCTCTCTCTATCTATCTCCACGTATGTATATTTTTTTTCTCTTTTACTTTTAGTTTGGGGGTGGTACGAGGGATGCATGTCACGCCGTTATTTGAATGATTTAAGTTTTTTATTTTTTTGGTTTTAGCACTATACATTTTTCTCTATATTTATGAACCTGTGCTATTTACTGCAAATATCCCTTTTCTCTCTCTCTCTCTCTCTCTCTGTGTGTGTGTGTGGTGGCATAACCTATCTTTCCTCCTCTCATCACTCTACCCGGCCATATTTATCCCTTTTCTCGCAATGTTTTTTTTTCCTTAGAAAAAAAATCAGAGTACTTGATATTTCTATGCACAAAACAATCACCCCTACTTTTCTTAGTTCTATGTCGTATCCTTATACTTTCATGTACCTCCCATTTTTCTCCCTTTGATATAAAAACACACAATGATTTCTTCAATCTCACCATCCCACACGCCGAGAGCAGCGGTTACTTTTTCTTTTTCTTTTTCTTCTTTCTCATCTTGTGGGAAGGAGTCTAAGGATGAGGTTTCATAAGAGGGACTAGGTAAGCAAAGGTGAATATTTACTTAGTTACGCTTTCACATCCCCATGTATCTAGAAAGAGGAGAGAAGAAAGAGAAAACAAGAACTCATACGAGGAGTTGACGTTTTTTTCCCCCAACTTTCTACTTTGTTATTTTTGGGAGATTTCTTTTTTTAGTTAAAGTTTACATACGTGTGTATGTGACAAGGGAAAACATGGAGCTCAGTTAATGGTAGCAGTGTTGATGGCAAATGGAAACAGTTGGATGAACAAGGTAAATTCAGAATTGTCGAGCGTTGAATCTTCTGAAGAAAGAGACTTCGAAGAGGCTATATAGCTTACCAAAAGCAAGTATAACCACGTGTTACTTGACTTTTCTCTCTCTCTCTCTCTCTCTCTGTTTGCTATGTAGCGTATTAGATCAGTTATCTCAGAAAAGAATGGTAGGTCACACCCCAACCTGCCGCAATCGAGTATCACAAAAAATTGACTTTGCAGTCAAAGTGAAATGTGCTGGTAGTACTACCAAAACCCTCTCAACGGGTATATGTCCATTGAGCACATCCATTGGGTACGACAAGCAAAATGCGGTTGCGACAAAGGCAGCAGAACAGTCACGTATATCAATGATGGAACCCCAGACACAATTCGAAACAAACACGGTTTAAATTCTCTTCTAAAACTCAAAACAAACTCAACCGGAGTATGATTTTCATCTCACCTTTTTCCTTCATAGCATTTGTGCAAAAGTCAACCACACCTACATGGAGGTGATAAAAGAAAGGAATGTGAGAAGTGGTGAAAGGAAAGGCCAAATTCTTGTGTGTTTGATGCTCAGCTCTTCCGGGCTGCAGTCGGGCTTACTCCCTTGTGCACTTCATCTTGACGCATCATCCATATGGGCTTAATCCAGGGGCACGGTGGATTCAAAGCTCGCATGTTATTGAGATGCGGTAACGTGCTAGCGACGGATTGCCGCAGGTATGGCGGTATGCTGTCCGGAGGAGCCGACACAAGCTGCAGTACGGACTGGACCTAATATCAATATCAGTGCCAACGCACTGGCGGTCGCCTGCTCTGGTTCTGCCGACAGAGCATGTCCTAGGTCGGACGGCCGGTGATGAATCCGGTCTGTTGCTCGATCGGGTGAAAGAGAGAGGCTCGCAGCCAAAACGTGTAAGAGTAGTAGTAGGGTATGTTACCACTATATCAGAGAGGCGTGATCAGTCATAGCCATTACCGGTGCCAATCTGACTGGCAAAAGCAGTGGAAACACTGCGAGCATCATCATCCTCAAAGCCACCAAGTGCACCTCGCAATCCACGACCAGCGCCAAAGCCAGTGCCGACATTCGGACCCTGGCGAGTCGACTCCACAAAGCGGTTAAGTCGGTCTGACTGGCTAAGTGAGGTGGGCTTGCTGTAGTCGTTCAGACTCAGACCAGAAAGACTGATGCCGCCAGGCGCATCGCTACGGGTGTCTGTGAGCTCGCTAGCTGCAATGGATTCACCAGCAACGCTTTGGGGCGCGCCATTCTTGCCCTTGCCGTTAGGACGGCCAGGCAGGGGCCAGGACTCTTGGAAGTTGGAGAACATTGGGGGATAGTTGGAAGGAACACCAACACCGCCAAGGGCAGAAGAGTGGACAGAAGAAACATCATCTGGGATGTAGCCCACAATGGAGCCGTTGTCATTGTACTCCTGGCGAGGTTTGTTGCCATTGAAGCCTGGTTGGCGACTAGAGGTCATGGCGTTGGCGTGCTGGTAAGCCATCTGGTAGCGTTGAGGCCCGCGATATGTCTGCTTGGGGCGGCTGAATTGGAGAAGCGACACCTGCAGGTTGGTCAAGGGACCTTCGACGAGGCAGTTGCGCTCCTTGAAATGAAGAAGAAGATAGTGCCACAGTGGGTGCTTGGATAAGACCTTGGGGTTACCAAGAATGACGAGACCGTACTTGGCACGAGTGAGGGCGACGTTGAGACGACGAGGATCACTCAAGAAACCGATACCCTGGTGGTCATTGGAACGTACACAAGACAAGATGATGAAATCCTTCTCACGACCCTGGAAAGCATCAACGGATGCAACCTCAACCTCCTTGTAGTTCTCCTTCTTGAAGCTGCCAGTTGCCTGCATGGAGCTAACAACATAACTGCGCTGGCCCTCGTATGGCGTGATGATACCAATATCGCTGGGCTGAACGCCTGCCTTGAAAAAGCGGGTCACAATCTTTTCGACATTCTGGGCTTCGGTCCGGTTGAGGTAGGAAGTTCCAGAAGCCGAGATTTCCTCAGCACCAAGGTTTGACCAAAACATCATTGGGCTGTCAACAACTGGCCAGGGGAAGTCGACATCGCGGCGGATGCGCTCTTGCATAGTAACACCATTCTGGAGCGAGCCTTCATAGAACATGTTGGATGGAAACTCGGACAGACACGGGTGCATACGGTACTGGACCTGGAGTCGGATAGGAGAGCATCCAAGAATAACAAGACGCTCGAACAAAGACTGGTTAAGACCAGCCGTTGCGGCCTTCTTGTTCATGATGACGGGTCCAAGTTGCTGGTGGTCACCAACCAACACGACCTGCTTACATCCCAGGACCAAGGGAATCATGCACTCTGGCTCTGCAGACTGTGTCGACTCGTCGATAAGCACAGTGCGAAACTTCATCTTAGACAGACGAGGATCACCGGCACCAACGCAAGTGCAGCAGATGACATCAGCTGCATTCAGGATCTCACGCTCGGCTGCGCGAGTGAGCTGCTTAAACTTCTTTTCGTCTTGGCTTGAGAGCTCGCCTACGTCGTTCTTCAACTGGTTCAGCTTGTTGAGCTCGACGTTGGTGTCATTCATGCGAACTTGCTCATGAAGGGACAAGAAGCCAACTGGAGACTCGACATCCTCCCTGGACTTTGCGGTTACACGTACTGTCTTGAGACCAGTAAGGTGAATACGTTCGCACAGCTGATCGACGGCAACGTTAGAGGGTGCGCAAACCAGGACCTGACTACCGCTAATCTTGCAAAGGTGGTAGATGATAGTGGCGGACGTGACAGTCTTTCCGGTACCAGGAGGGCCTTGAATCAGACTGAGCGGCTTCTGAAGGACGCTCTTTACGGCATTGTTTTGACTGTTGTTGAGCTCCGGGAGGCCTGGGACGCTGAACTTGCGGGGAATCGTAACCTTCATAGGGGCTGCCGCCACTTCGTGACCAAGCAGACGGTGGAAGATGTAGCCAGAAACACTCATCTCATCAATGGCAAACGTCTTCATAGCATGTTGCATGCGGTCAAAGGAGGTAGCTTTCCAGACATAGTCGGCACTGAAGTTGTGGGTGCACTCGGTAGGAACTGACTTGTGGTCGCCCTTGGTACGCAGTTCAATGGTGACCTCGTCCGACTGGTTGTTGGGGATCTTAATAACATAGCCGACGCCTTCCCAATGCGGGCGAAGCTCTCCAGTGTAGCGCAATCGCATCTCGTCACCGACGGCGAGCTTGACGTCGCCTAGTTCAAGCTTGGGGAGGATGAAGCTAGCTGTGTGCTTGTTGTTCAGGGCCATATCCCAGCGCACGACCAGGTTATCTTGCGATTGCGATTCCTTAAGTTTTCGGTCGTAGTCGGCCTCGATCTTGACCAGGGGACCAAAGACATTCTGGTACTGGTAGGCGTCATCGTATCGAAGTAAGACCTTAGCGATGACCTCCTCCTGGCCGGCGCCCTTTTCGAGGTCGGCAATTGTAGCATTGGCGTCGTCCTTCCACAGCTCCTCGAGCTTTGCAATGGTCTGGGGACTCAGATGACGGGCGCGGAGCTGCTCCTGGTCGGTTGGGGGAGGGACAAGCCAGGGAAGGAAGGAACGGTCTTCAATGAGGGGCTGCCAGCGCGATGTGTCCCAGTTCATGTCTTTCTGCGAGGGCATGGCGGCGCATGGCTGGCGACAGAGCAGCACAACGACAGTGTCCGACTTTGCGGGGATGAAACCGAGCAGGAAGACATTCTTGGTGCCGCAATTGTAGCACTCGAGAGTCGTGTCGCCGAGCGAAGAGGCGGGGTGTAACTGGACTTCCTTGTGGCGGGCGCGGACCAGATGGTTGATGATGTGCGACGACGACGAGTTGCCACGGGCACTGCAGAACCACTTGCTGCAGGCCAAACACTTGACGACGCTCCCGGCGTTGTGGATGCCACAGTACGCGCCTAAAGCAACCAGTCAGTCAGTATAGCCTTTGGTCGTGCCCGCCCACTTCCTTCCTACGTACACGCATGGGCCGGCAGCTCAACCTCCGCATCCTCCGCACGCATAGCCGACTGGCCCCCTCGGCCGCCTACTGGCATACTGGCCATGCTCTCAGCATCATCGTCGTCATACTCTTCGTCATCATCGGCGCGGCGCCTGCGCGAAAGCTGGCCGCGGGAGAGGTCGCCATCCAGAATGCCCTCGTCTACGTCGCCGGCATTGATTGTGGCCGCTGAGTCCGACACCAGGTGATTGCCCATATGCGTGAAGGCGCCCTCCATATTTACTGTTGTAGCCGTTGGTTTTGTCGTCTTCGTCGTAGTCTCGGCCGTAATCGAATTTAAGTGGCGTGGCGCTCGAGGCCTCACTCACCCCCGGTTGGGCCTGGAAATTCGTGGGGCCGAGTGCAAAGTTTCGAGGTGGTAGTAGTGGGTGATGTCGATGTTGTTGGTAGACAGCAGGGGCTGAGAATATGTCCGTCTCTTCTGCTCACACCATTGCCAGCGCGACAAGGCCTTGATGTTGCGCAGGTGGGTTTGCGACTGAGTGTAGATGGATTGTGGCGGACAAAGATTGTGTTGAAACAAAGTCCAGCGGGGTCGGAATGTCGGAGCATATTGTCCTTGGCGCGTGCTCTCTCCCACGGTTGCCTTGATGCCCACCCCCAACACTGTATCTTCTTTTCACCAATCACTGCATATGCAAACAACAGACCGCATCCCTCTACACAGCCATCAATTTATGATTAAGGACATATTGACCTACAAAAGCCCGGCAGAGAGACCGCCATCGCCAGCAATCGTCCAATTGCCCCCCCACACACGTCATTGACAGCCACTGTAGCCGTGCATCGAGGCCCATTGGCGTAAATAAAAACCCTCACAAAGCACATACTGGACTGGCCATAATGTAAGATCCATTGACATTCGTATACTCGCTGTACCCTACACGCCTGTGGTACAAGCTATTCGCACCGTCTGCCCTTGATACTCTCCTTGAAAGAATGCTTGGATAAAAGGCCATCTTCTACACATCCTCTTACCAGGGCTTGTGTAAGCATAAACCATGGGTTCGGTCTCCACCCAAAGGAAGAAACTGCGGTTGGAGACCCAATGCTTCCATGTCTCTTCGGTCCATCCTGATACTCGGACTTATTCAGCACAACACAACGGCTATCACCGAGCTAAGACAGATGGGCATTTCTATTTGCCCATCTTATCGGGATCGGTTTTTATATTCCCTATCTGGCGGCACATTATCTCAGCTACTTCTTGAAGTCCACATTCATTTGTGGTCGAGTCTTTCAATACCAAGAGAGCATATGATCAATAGGGTCCAAGTCATCACATGGCTCATCGTCGATACTTTTCCTAAGTGTTGGCAGCTAGTGCAGCGGCCAGATCTCTGTTGCCAATGCCATCCCGTTGACATCAGCGCTCTCGCCTTGGGCTGCCGGGCTGCCTACCGGTCTGCCTGTTGGTCTGCCTGCGTGTCATAGCGAGAGCAAGACTAAGCCCCAGCATCAGCTGTTCACTACACACATGGTGCGGTTCAAATTGATCACGATGTTGCATATGCGACTTGTCAATGGCTGCCTTGTGCATCTACTGCTAGCGATGATTCCATATATTGCGTCCAACTCACAATGTGCAGTTTGTCAGCTGTCCCGTCATGATGATCAGATTCGCAAAAAGCAGGTTTGTACTTGCGTGCATTTGCCTGTGCATATGCACTTCCACTATAATTCCGCAGCACAACATACATCGTTGATGCGAGTGTGGGGGAAGTTGGAGCCGTATTTGCAAAATGTCAGACGACAACGCCGTGCATTTAGCACCATGCAGGCCACCGTATTTGCAAAAGCCAGAATCTTTCACCATAGGACCACGATGCTGACATGCGATCGGTTATCAGTCCATATGCAACCCCCACAATTGGGACCACGTTGCTCAGCGTCTGATTCCATGCAGGTTCGCATGGCGCACCCTGTCT